GGAGGAAGTGAGGGAAGGAGAAAAATACAGAACTTATCAAGGACACTTCACTGCCAAAAATGAGAAGCACCTGAAAACGCATCTTGGCATTTTCAGTAGAATTCTTTTTTTTTTTTTATCCTCACCTGAGGACATTTTTTGCATTTATCTTCAGACAGAGCAGGAGGGAGAGAGAAGCATCTATGTGAGACATACATTGACTGGCTGCCACCCACACGACCCCAACCCAGGACAGGGACAAACTGCAACCAAGGTATGTGCCCTTTGTGGGAACTGAACCCCGGGGCGCTCTGGTCCGCGGGCCGCCGCTCTAACCACTGCTCAGCGTGATTTTCAGTAGAATTCTAAGAAGTACTTTCCAATCACCTACCACCCAACTATCCTTATTTTCTACTTCAAGCTCAAAAGAAGCACACAAAGTAAAACACAAATTTTCCAGAGTGACAAGAAAATAGGAGCCCCAAAAAACAAACACTTTAATCAATGACTCTTACCTGGGTACAAAAGAGTGAGTACAGAGTTTGGTTTAAAGGGGATTAGACACCGGTAACTCCACACACATGACAATTGTTCTTCCCTCCCTCAGGATGTCAGCTGTCCGGATGAGGGCGTTCTTCAGGAGGCTCCTCCCATGTTCCTTCCGCTTCCCCTACATGTGGGACTGAGAAAGAGAGCGAGCAATCAGCACGGCCAAGGAGGAGATGATCTGACTCTGTCCCAATGGTGGCAGCCTGTTCCTTGGGATCACTAGGTGTCTGGCCCCTTCTCCCCAGGCAGAATGAGGCAATATTAGTTAGCATGACAAAGCAGCTGCATGGTCTCCAGTGAATGACCTGACCTCTTTGTATAATGTGAGAATGATAATCAGTAGGGTAGCCACCTCTGGAGAGTGTTAGAGTGAGAAGTTAGTATAGTCCTTGGCACACTGTAAGTGAACAGAAACTGCCAGGTGTCACTGAGCTAAACTGGTAAGCACACCCCCAATAAATTATATTCTATGGAACAATTATTTTTGAGCATGGAGGGGATCAGTATGGGATTGGGGGTGTCCCAAGTCCCCCATCTTGAGGCACTGGCAGCCTACTAAAGAGATTCTCAATCCTAAATGTGCATCAGCATCCCCTAAAGAACATTTGTAAAACTACTGGGCACTACTGCAGAGCTTCCAATTGAATTGGTCCCAAGTGGGGTCTGGGCACCAGTATTTTTCAAAAGCCCCTCCTCTTCCCCGTGATTCTAATGCTCACGAGGGCTGCTTGACCCAGGAATCTGCCTTGTGACTCAAGGGCACAGCCATGCCTGTGGGGTCTGCTGGACTCGGGCAGGACCAGAATCTCCTGGGATAAAGGGAGGTGCATCCTTATCTGTTGAGCCAATCCCCACAAGCCAACAAATGACAAACCCCACAGAAACTGGTGACCGAAGAGGGAGGGTCCCCAAGGTTGGTGTTTAGGATGTGTAGTGTGGTTTGCATTTTGCTTTGGTTGTAACGAAGGTGAGCGGGCCCCTGTGGGAGGAAGTAAAACAACTCCTGCCTGCAAGCAGAGACAGGTAAGGTTGGAAGCCATACTAGCCACTATCAGGAGCTGGAGGCCTAATGAGCTGTGACAGAATAAATAAACAATGCTTCAGTTAATTTTGGTCCTTTATTTTCTCTCTTCTTTCTCTCTCTCTCTCTCTCTCTCTCTCTCTCTCTCTCTCTCTCTCTCTGGTTTATTTCTTTTTTGCTATTCTTTAATTTTAGAAAAATTTAGTTCTACAATCCTTGTCTGTGCCTGAGTTCCGGGCTCACCCTCTGGTGGGAGCATTACAAGTGGACTAGCTCCCCCTAAAGGCCAGCCTTGGTGGTGCAAACTGAATCACAGGGCACTGCTCCCAGGTGTGGAACACTCCATGGGGCCCGAGTTGGCGCCATCTGGTCAGTCTCCCCTCCCTTCACAGAGACTTCCCTTCCAGTCCTCTGACCCGTCTTGGGAGAGTTTTCATAAAGAAAACCAATTCCAGTGCGAGGCTGAAGGAAACAAATACTAGTGGAGGCATGTGGAGGAGCAAAAGGCGGAGGCCCTGGCTCTGCACGAGGGGCCAGGAGGTTCCACAGAGGAAGGCCTTACAAGCCCACGCTTGAAGTGACATCTCAGTGAGCACATACTGGACATGGGCCATCAGCTCACTCGCTGGGAAAGATTTAGGACACAGGTGATCATGCTTTCTGAGAGAGCTAGGAATTGTGTGTGTGCGTGAGCGCGTATATGTTTATGGGAATTTTTTGTGATAAAATTCATATAACACAAAGTTCACCACTTTAACCATTTAAAATTATACAAGGGAAAATCTGCTTTATCCCAAACTACCCAGAATAAGGAAAAATATATTCCAACCCTTTCTACTCATTTCCTCTAACCATTTTCCAGTCAGACCATTGGACTCATTATTTTGGTTCAAAAATCCCTGGCCTTTTTTTGCTAAAAATCTACTTTTCCAATTCCCCCCAAATCTTGCAATTGCTCAGAAACAGGAAGAAAAAGCTGATCACCAGTGAAACAGCAGAAATGCAGGGAGGGAAGGGACAAAAACTGGCACTGCCCTCCAATCCCTCAGTGACTTGTGCCAGGAAGTGGGACTGAGCGCCCTCAGCAAAAAAAAAAAAAAAGGTTCTTGGCATCAAAAGCAATATTTGAGGTGGGCAATGATTAAAAATATTAGCATCTTGAGCCAGTGTGTTAGCTGAATATCGACAGCACCTCTTGTATTAACAATATCATCTCTGTAGTTCCTGCTGAATGCTCTTCTCTGGAACTGGCTTTCCAGCTTCAGCTGCTTGACCTTGCTTGTTTGGGTGTTCCCTGGATTCACTGTGACACTCAGCATCTTTCTAATAAATGCCCTATTTGCTTAAGACACCAAAGTCATGTGGCTAACACAGCCCTCCAGGACCCCAGCCTCTAATCTGTGACCCAAGATGTGGGGTGGAGTCCACTGGATGGGATCTTGTGTTGTCTTGGAACCCCATTTTCTAAGACAGAATTTACTCATTCTTTTCTCACCTTCTCTCTATCCCTTCCCATCAGTGTCCACAGATCAGCTGGTTCAGGGCTTAACGTAACTCGATGTTGCCTATGTTGAAATTCAACACAATTTGGCATTTGGTAATTATGCGGGCAGTGTTCCCTAAGTGGTAATTATGTGGGTTATGTTCCGTATAACCACCTAATAAATGCCTAGATGACTGTTTCGGCAGCCGGAGATTAAGTGGCCCAGAATCCATCTTTTAATCTACCAAGCAGAACGTTCCGAGCTAGCAGCCTGCAGAATGGATAGTCAGCTGTCCTCCTCTGTGCTGCATGAAGGCGGTGAGTACTAGCCAGCCCTGAGGCTCTCAAACCAGATTTTCAGAAACCTGACCCTAAGTAAAAACCTAGCATGTCACCCCACACTCCTTTATTGTTTAAAAAGACTCATAATGCCCGGTAGGTGTGGCTCAGTGGATTGAGCAATATCCCATGGACTGAGAGGTCCTGGTTCGATTCCTGGTCAGGGCACTTGCCTGGGTTGCAGGCTTGATCCCCAGTAGGGAGGGTGCAGGAGGCAGCCAATCAATGTCTCTCTCTCACACATTGATGTTTCTATCTCTCTCCCTTCCTCTCTCTCTAAAATATCAATTAAAAACACATATTGAAAAGACTCATAATTATTTTGCAGTTGCTAGAACGAGGGACTTCATAATGAACACCATACGATCCAGTGGAGACGTTCATGGGGAATATCCACACTCTCCTGGTCCCAACGGCTCTGCTCTCTGTCTCCCCAGGGCCCTCCTATCACACACTCCAGGTTTGAGGAAGCAACAGAAGTAACGGTTCGCATGGTCGCTGAAGCCACACTGCCCAGCTTCGTGTTCCAGCTCTGCCACTCGCTAGCCCTGCCACCCTGAGCCAGGCACCTGGGTGCTCTGTGCCTCGGTATCCCTACCTGTAAAATGGCAGTAGTGATAGCAACTACTTCATAGGATTGTGAGAATTAAATATTAACTCATTTACTATGTGTAAAGTATTGGGACCAGTCCCTGGCACTCAGGAAGCACTTGATAATGAAGAGCTGTTAGTCTTTCGGGCCTGGGTTAGGAAGGGAAAAGAAGAGAATACATGAGAAATGATGACACCTCACTCTAGGGCCAACTACTTGCCACATATCTGAAATCTAGAGTTGCTTCATTGCCTCATTCAACATTCACTCATAAAATAGATTTACGGAGCACCATCTGATACTGGAGCGTCATCTGATACAAAGACAGCAGCAGGTGGGGAGTGGCCGCCAGAGCCTTGCTGAGGGCACGTGCCTGGCACACGCGGCTGAGTCCCGAGCTCAGTGAGATTCCATCACACTGCACTAAATGTCAGCTATAAAACACTGAGCAGGAGAGGCAGGTTTCATTCGAGTGGAAGAGGCAGACTTTTAAGCCATCAACCCATATAAACATACAACCACGAACTGTGTCATATTTTATGAGAAGTGCTGGGTGCTAAAAGTGGTATGCCTCGGAGGGTGGAGGGTGGGTGAGAGAGAAAGTCATGAGACTCGAAGGATGATAGAAGTGATGCAGGCAGGGACAGGAAGAAGTATTCCAGACAGAGAGAGCAGTGCGTGCAAAGACCTCACGGCAGAAAAAACCTGTGTTCAAGGAGCTGAAAGAGGGGCCGAGAGAGAGAGAGAGAGAGAGAGAGAGAGAGAGAGAGAGAGAGAGAGAGACAGAGAGAGAGAGAGAGAGAGAGAGAGAGAGAGAGAGAGAGAGAGAGAGAGGGGAGGAAGCAAACGAGCTGGCAGACCCCCAGATGTTTGCTCATTATTATACTGTGTGAAGAAGAATGTGGTTCTTCGGTCTCTCCCTCATCTCCTGTCCACCACATTTTCTAGTTACCTCATATTGACAGCTGAAAACTAAAATTATTTTAGTAAATCACGATAAGAAGCACTGAAGCTGCTTACTTACATATGACATCAGCTTAAAAATATCTCTGTGCGTGCACTGCGGAGCTCTTCAGAGGGTAGCTTGGTCTTTCAAGAGTATAATTTACTTCAGGGATAAAATCTTCCTATAACAAAACAAATACAGCAATTGCATTACTCATAATGTAATATAGATCAATGATAGCAAGGCGCATAGTTTTGCATTTAGGAGGTCTATGAATCCTGTATAGGCTATATATGTGGGGTTCATGTATATGTGTGTACATAGGTACTCTCTTTTTTTTTTTCTTTCGTCCTTTCTTTTTTTTTTAACCCTTACCCAAGGATAATTCTCCATTTATCTTCAGATAGAGTGGGAGGGATGGAGAGAGAGAGAAACATTGATGTTAGAGAGACACATTGACTGGCTGCCTCCCGCAAGACCCCGACTAGGGCCAGGGACTGAATTACAACCAAGGGACATGCCCTTGACTGGAATCAAACCCACAACTCTTCAGTCCACGGGCCAATGTTCCAACTGCTGAGCCTAACTAGCCAGGGCATTCTTTCCTTTCTTCTCTCTCTCCCTTTCTCCTTTCTCTCCTTCCTTCCTTCCCTTGTTCTCTCCCCCTCTCTCCCTCCCTTCCTTCTTTTTCCATTTTAAAGGGATCATATGTGGCAAAAATTTTCACTTATACATCACCTAGGGCAAGAGAAACAAAGGAAAAAATTAATAAATGGGACTACATCAAACTAAAAATATTCTTCACAGCAAAAAAACAAACAAACCAGCATCAAAATGAAAAGGGAACCCACTCTCTGGGAGAATATTATTTGCCAACAATACATCAGATAAGGAATTAATATCCAAAATGTAGGGTACTCATACAACTCAACAAAAGGGAAGACAATCCAATTTTAAAATGGGCAGAGGATCTGAATAGATACTTCTTCAAATAGGACATACAAATGGCCAGGAGACGTGAAAAAATGCTCAACATTTCTAATCATCAGATGCAAATTAAAACGACTCTGAGGTATCACCTCACACCTGTCAGAATGGCCGCCATCAACAACTCATCAAACAAGTGTTGGCGAGGGTGTGGAGAAAAGGGGACTCTAGTACACTGCTGGTGGGAATGCAGACTGGTGCAGCCACTATGGAAAACAATATAGTGTTTCCTCAAAAAATTAAAAATTGAATTGCCATTTGACCCAGTGACTCCACTTCTAGGAAAATATCCTAAGAAGCTTGAAACACCAATCAGAAAGAATATATGTACCCCTATGTTCATAGCAGCACTATTTACAATTGCTAAGATCTGGAAACAGCCCAAGTGTCCATCAATAGACGAGTGGATAAAAAAGCTGTGGTACATATACACAATGGACACTATGCAGCTGTAAGAAAGAAAGATCTCTTATCCTTTGACACAACATGGAGGGACCTGGAGAGTATTAGGATAAGTGAAATAAGCCAAGCAGAGATAGACAAATATCAAATGATCTCACTTATTTGTGGAATATAATGAGCAAAATAGACCCAGAGACACAGAAGAGGATACAGACTGACAAACCTCAGAAGAGGGGAAGTGGGAGGGAGGGAAGAGATAAACCAAATAACTTATATACATGTATGCGTAACCAATGGACATAGACAACAATGCTGGGGGGGGGGGGCGTCGGAAGAAGGGTGTCATTGGGGGAAAAGGAGAACCATCTATAACAAAAATAGATTAATAAAAAATGCCAAAAAAAAAAAGCTGTGGTACATTCACACAATGGAATACTATGCAGCTATCAGAAAAAAAGATCTCTTACCCTTTGAGATGACATGGAGGGACCTGGAGAGTATTATGCTAAGTGAAATAAGCCAGTCAGAGAAAGACAAGTACCACATGATCTCACTTATTTGTGCAACATAACGAACAAAACAAGCTGTCAACCAAAAGAGATCAGAATCATGGAAGTAGGAAACAGACTAACAAACCTCAGACAGATGGGGTGTGGGAGAAGTGGGAAGAGATAAATTAAATATATATATATATATATATATATATATATATATATATATGCATATATACACAACCAGTGGATATAGACATTAGGTTGGGAAAAGCAGGAGGGGTTGGGAGAAGGAAGGAAAGGGTCAACGGTGAAAAAAGGGGGACATCTGTAATACTTTTAACAATAAAAAAAATTTGGCAAGAAATTTTTCTCACTCAAATCATGTGATTTGAATATAATTTGTTAAAGGGATTTCCTGCTCTGGCCAGAGTTGCTCAGCGGTTAGAGCGTCGGCCTGTGGTCCAGAAAGACCTGGGTTCGGTTCCCACTAAGGGCACGTACCTCTGTTGCAGTTTGTCCCCGGCCCTGGTTGGGTCGTGCGGGAGGCAGCCACTTGATGTGTCCCTTTCATGTCGATGTTTCTCTCTCTCTCTCTTCCTCTCTCTCCCTCCCACTCTATCTGAATAAAAAAATGGGAAAATGTCCTCATTTTAATGTCCCCTCAAAATAAAAATAAAAAAATAAAGGGATTTCCTTACTTGAACAGACTGTGACTTTTCAGAGAGGAAGTAAAGGAATCCACTACCCCTGTGGTTAGAGTAATCATTATTCATTGTGTCATCCTATAACTCTAGGATAGGCCAACCTTTTAAAATAAGTCAGTATGACCAATTCATCTACATGGTATGGTGAAATCTAAAAACTGGGGGCACATGTTCATAGCAGCACTATTTACAATAGCTAAGATCTGGAAACAGCCCAAGTGTCCACCAGTAGACGAATGGATAAAAAAGCTGTGGTACATATACACAATGGAGTACTATGCAGCGGTAAGAAAGAAAGATCTCTTATCCTTTGAGACGACATGGAGGGACCTGGAAAGTATTATCCTAAGTGAAAGAAGCCAAGCAGAAAAAGACAAATACCACATGATCTCACTTATATACGGAATATAATGAACATAACAGTCTGAGGAATACAGTAGACCCAGACACATGGAAGTAGGGCACAGACTGACATTCCTCAGAAGAGGGGATGGGGGGTGGGGGGGGAAGAGATAAACCACAGAACTTATATGCATGTATGCATGACCAATGGACATGGACAACTAAGCCGGGTATGGGGCGGAGGTGGGGTGCGGTGGGGGGTGCCAATGGGGTAAAAAGGTAAAATATCTGTAACAAAAAAATAAATAAAAATTCATATTAAAAAAAATAAATAAATAAAAATAAAAGATATAAACTTTGGAGTTAATCTGAAAAAAATAAAAAACTGGGGGCACTTTTAACCTTTCATTTGAATTCTCCTGAAATGTGACAGGTCCCTTGGCTAATGGCTGTCCATCCGCAGTGGACAAAGTACTGGATATTCTCTCTATGGATCAGAAACACTCCCCACACTCCCATAAAAGTCAAACAGCCAGAACTCCTTATAAACGTTGAGCAAAGAGTGAAGATAGGGAGTATATAACATGGGGTCACTTTAACTAAAATTGTTAACATGATGAGGGTTCAGGCATGAGGAAAAACCCCATTTTTGTTCTAATTAGCCTGGGAACATAGCTGTTTTTGAACTTCCCAGTCCTGCATCAGTGCCTGGCTATGCATCTGGACCTCCAGATAACCCTCCTAAGGACTCCTGCATACACCCACCTGACAGCTAGATCACTGGCTGGGACCAGACCTCCTGATGCCCATCTCCCGCACCCCCTGACACCCTCCACCCTGACTGGCTGTCATCGAACTCATAACCAGTCTCGATCAATCCTAGGGTTAAGAATGCAGGACGGATCAATCTCAAGAATGCACTTTTTACTGTAAGAATTTTAACTTTTCTCTCTTCTTTGGAACACTAGGGTTTTGCCTGGCTGTTTCCAGTTTGCAAACTCTAGGACCCTTGAATAAATCTATCATTTATTTCCAGCAAAATCTGCAGACTCTTTTTTAGTTTGCTCAACAGCTTTTAGGGAAACATGTCTTCCATGCTGTGGCCTTACAAAAACTACACACACATCTCTGGATTCTTCCCTAGACCAGAATTCCTGTGCATGGTGGAAGGGAATGTGCTTTGGGCCAGTTACACTGTCTTCTCTAAGTCCTTTGCCAGGGCTCTGCTCCCTTTCGCTCAGGACCTCCTCTTGATGCTGTGCTCCAGATGAGCTGTGCTCACTGTCCAGTTCGAAGCCCCATTCTCTTCTGCAGAGAAGCCTGCCCTGACTCCCAACCAAATCAAATGCCCTCGTTATACACTCCCAGGACACTGTGTACCCTCCGTGGTAAGTGCCACAGTTTTACATTTATTTCTGCGGTTTCTTGATTAATGTCTGTCTCTCCTGCTAAGCTCTAAGTCCCAGGTCCCATATTATTCTGTCAGCAAAGATCTGGTTTTACTAGAAGCCCTGACCTTGTTTAGGTGTTGCCGAGCTCTGTGGGATGTCAGAAGACTGCAGATCCTTTCATGGATCTTCTTCCACGTGGACTGAGAACCAGGGTGGAACCTGCTCGACAGATTGCACAGGGTGAAGGTTATGCAGCTAATAAAAAGGACAGAGTACATAACAATATGGGTTGATATTTATGATTTCATAGTAAGAAAAAAGCAGCAACATGCAAAATAGTAAACACAGTGTGGTTTCGATGTCGTTGTTAAGCCTGTGCATAGGAAAATCCCTGGGGATAAAAACCGCCAAGGCGTTAAGAATAGTTTGTGTTTGGGTGTATGGCTGTGAGTGACTTTTCTTCTTTGTACTTTATTGTGTATTTTAGATTCTTTCTCTAAAGAACAAATCCTGCTTTTACATTTAAGAATTTAATCCAGCCCTAGCCAGAGTGACTCAGGTGGTTGGGCATCCTCCTGTGCACTGAAAGGTCGCTGGTTCGATTCCTGGTCAGGGCACATGCCTGGGCTATGGGCTCGCTCCCCAGTAGCGGGTGTCAGGAAGCAGCCAATGGATGTTTCGATCTTACATCGATGTTTCTCTCTCTCTCTCTCCCTCTGTAAAAATCAATTTTAAAACCTTAAAAGAAAAAAAATTTAATCCAAAATTTTTTTTTAATATTATTTGTATTGGTTTTTAGAGAGAGAAGAAGGGAAAGGGAGAGAGAGAGAGAGAAACATCAATGACAGAGACACACCAATTGGCTGCCTCCTGCACGTCTCCAAATGAGGATTGAGCCCACAACCCAGGCATGTGTCTGGCCAGGAATCGAACCAGTGACCTCTTGGTCCATGGGTTGACGCCCGATCACTGAGCCACACTGGCTGGGCAGTCCAAAACTTTTAAAACAAAATGGAATCCCATTGTTTTGCACCAGGAGGATTTTATTTTACATCTCCTTTACTTCAGGCCAAGCAGACCCAACCTTAACAGCAGGTCTTACCGGATCCTTCGGTTCCTCGAACATGAAGCACTTTCTCCTTCCGGAGGCATTTCCCATCACTGCGCCCTCTGCCTAGGACGCTGCCACCCAGCCCAGCCCTCGTGTTAGCTCCTCCCGCCCTCCAGAGCTCAAGGCAAGTACTGATTTCTCGGGAGGGTCCTTCCTGATCCCCTTCACGACGAGGAAGTCAGCCTCCCTATTTCAAGCAGTTAGAGTTCATGGACCCCTAGTCATAGGCAGTCCCCTAGTGGACATTTCGTCATTATTTGATTAATGTCTGTTTCTACTCCTAGACTGAAATTGAGACTGAAACTCTCGGGTTAATAGTTCATCCTAGGGCCTTGTAGGTACTGAATACCACAGGAGGTATTTAATAAATATTTCTTGAGTGACTAAATTCATCCATTCATTTGATGAATTCACTCATTGATTTTCAGGAGGCGGTGAAACTCCTAAATTCTGAGGCAGAATAAACAATTTTATTATGAAAATCTTGTTTCCTTAAAACACCTAAAGAATTTTAGCAATTTGGATAAAATTGTTCTCTTTAAGAAACGTACAATAAACATTAGAAATGACAGGAACATTTGGGAGGCAGTCAGTTGGTTATATGGCCGCCCCACTAATGAGGCCCTGTGCAGTTGTCCCTCTACTTAGTCTGGGACCCACATCTGGGCAACCCATCCTGGTTCTCTCTGTAACAAGCACGTTCAGCTGGTTGCCACGGAGACAAGACCGAGTGTACTACTGGACCTACACAAATCCATAACCAACCCAGCTAATGAAAGCACCATCTGAAGCACTATCCATGCTTCAGAAAATTCCAGGCATATCATTTCTATACTCCTCTAAGAATCTTTAAGAGGAAGGAATAAAAATATTTTGAAGCTATAAATAAAGCTAAAAAGAGCTGCCAACTGGACACAATGAATGTTTTTTCATACGTGTTGAGTAACCAGTTCCAAAACAATTCCTGCAATCTATTACCAGCATTGTTATGTACAATCAATACATGTGAAGATCTCTGAGAATGATGAGTCACCAGACAGGAGCAGCGCTGTGCCTTGGCTCAGCCCTGTTTCTTCTCATGCAGTGGAAGAGTGAGGCTGTGTGCTAGCCATGTTCCTGTCCAGATGTTGGAGACAGGAACAGGCTCAGGAGTGTTCCTCCATCCTTTGGGACTACCATGTTTCACCCTACCAGTTAAAAGGGTTTTCTACTTCCTCCATGAGAACCTTGGGTTGATTCTCAATTCAAAATTTGTCTCCCAACTCATCCCTGCAACCTTCGCCCTTACTGATTTCAGTATAAGCAGCATTTCTCATGAGCTCCTGTGATCTGGGCACAGGCGAACTGGTCCCAATTGTGCTGATGTGGGAAGAACCGTGAGTGAGGTTGGAGCAAAGTATGAGTAGCACATAGTATTCCAGAGGCTGCCTCTGTGATCATGCTGAAGTCAACAGGAATGGATTTGACCTCAAGGATACGAAGGGACAGCCTTCATTCAAAACAGCTGTCTTAAATACTAACTTCAGTGCCACTTCCCTGGAGGTAAGGTGACCAACTGTCCTGGTTTGCCCGGGACTGAGAGATTTCCCAGAATGCAGGACTTTTGGAGCTAAAACCAAGGTATTCCTGGACAAACCAGACTGCCTTTGTATGACCATGCTATTCTTTGTCTAATTTACAAATTCATGGTCCAGTTAATTCCAAAGTTATCAGATTAGAGTGACTTTGGGCACACAGAATTTGCTGGCTCATCAGAGAGAGATGATAAAAGTCTGGTCTGCAGCCAGAGTCGTCATCCTCCTCTCAACTGTGCTAATTTACTGTGACGAACTTGCAAAAGCTCCCCAGAGCCTTCCAACAAAGCCCAAGCTTTTTTAGCTTGGTTTACATGGTTCCCCTCAGACCCTCAGCCTTGGCACCCACTATTTTCCCAAGCGGGACTAACTTCTAGAAGCTGAAAGTTCCCCCTGCCTTCTCGCTTCCCACCCCTCTCCTCCAGGAACTCTGCCATAATCCAACCCCCTCCCCGTAAGGCCTATGAAGATGCATGTCCTCCATGAGACATTCCAGAAGTATCCTCCTCCTCCTCTATACTCTGATAACACTTGGTCTGTACTATTCTCATAGTTCCCCCTTGTAGAAAATTCTCGGGGTACATTTTTTTCCACATCCTCTGCTGGGTTGCAAGTTCTCAGAGATCAGGAGAAATGTCTTAAATGTTAGGGTTTCCATTATAGGCCTAGCAGATCAACTATCCTGTTTCCCTCTGGGGCACTCATTTTTTTTTTTCCCTTGTATTCAGCGAATAATGTCTAAGTGTCATTAACTGGTAACTGATTCATGTGTCTTTTTTCTTAAATGAAGTAAAATGGATGAGACACTTTTAACTGCAAAGAGTCTGCACTCCCCCACTCACACCCAGTTTCAATCCCAAAGATTTTGACTCAATAGATATGAAGCAATTTTTTGCTGAGTCCAAGTGGAGAACCACTGGCCTGCTTCATAAAGATATTCATGAGGCTGGTTGAATGAATGCATAAACCATCTAACAAGTTTATTTAAAAATAAATGAGGCCTTTCTAGACCTCCTCCCTGATGGAGTTAACCTCCTCCTGCTCTGTCTTTCCCCTACATTTGGGTTGTACTTCTGTCAAGTGCATATCACAGTCCATCTCACATTTGGGACATGGGGTTATGCCTGCCTCCCTTGTCTAGCGTGTGAGCCACTGGAAAGCAAGGACGTGCATGTCACGATCGTGTACATCACACATAATAGGTGCTCATTAAATGTACAGTCAGTTCAGTCTCTCAGAAGATCTATGCTGATTAGAAAGAGTTTGGGTAACATATAAAATCACACAAAAAAGCACAAAAAAAGCACAGGATTTTCTCCAGTTCTGGCAGCAGAGAAGCACTTTGTGGCTGGATCTTTGATCCTTACACCCATGACACAGCTGAGGAAACCAAGGTATGAAATGCCAAGTATTTGTGTTAGATCACGTCCCGTAGAGACAGGTGAGCACTACAGCTCCGGTCTCCTGACTACCACCAGTTGATGGTTATTTCCTCTCTTCATTTAAAATCAATTCTCGCTAAGTCCGTACATGGCAGGTAGCCTCTGCTGCTTTGCCAACCTGCCGAGTTCCGGGCTGGTAGGAAGCGGGTAAGCTGATGGAGATGGAGGCCGGGCACAGAGGCGTGTAAGTGTGTCTCTGACCACCTGTCTCTCGGTGCCAAGGCCAATTTTTAAAAATGTATGTTATAATATTTTCTACCAATAAAGTAACTAATCAAAAACTCACCATTCTTTAATAGATGTTATTAAAATACTTGATTTGGTTTCCTCCAGTCCATGATTAAACATTTTAATATAAAGGTATTCCATAATTTCTGCAAAACACTCAGTATGCACTGCCACTTTCTTAGTCCACCTCGAACTTAATGTAATTTCTATTCCAATGTCAGGGCCACTTTTGTTTTGGGATATTTACTATGAGCCCCTTTGTTATTTTGATATAGGGATGTATCTTATTCTCGTCACTAACATTGCAGAGTAAAGCAAACTGCATATCCTTTATTCAAAACAACCATCCTACTAATATCTTTAATGTCACTTCCCTGGAGTTAGGTGAGCAACTGTCCTGGTTTGCCTGGGACTAAGGGGTTTCCACAGAATGCAAGACTGTCAGGGTTAAAATCGGGACAGTGCTTGGCCAACTGGATGGTTAATCACGTGACTAGAGTGCAGTTCGGAAAATAAAGGTTCCTGTTCTCCATCTCTGTTCTGCCCTCTGGACACATGCAATCCCAGTTTTTAAAATCTGTAATGACAACATAAACAAACCAAGAAACCACGTCTAGAAAAAGAGAAAAAAGTATGTCCACATGTTGTTAATGTTTGTCTTTGGGCAACAGCACTAGTGGTGATTTTTTTCCCACTCCTTTTTGTTTTTCTGTAATTTCTAAAATTTCTATAGTGAACACTACTCTTATACTGGTGAAATCAAAAGCTTCAGTTTTAAAATGTATAATGTCTATGATCTCACTTATATACGGAATATAATGAACATAACAGTCTGAGGAATACAGTAGACCCAGACACATGGAAGTAGGGCACAGACTGACATCCCTCAGAAGAGAGGATGGGGGGGGTGGGGGGAGGGAAGAGATAAACCACAGAACTTATATGCATGTATGCATGACCAATGGACATGGACAACTAAGCCGGGGACAGGGGGGAGGGGGGGTGGGGTGGGGGGTGCCAATGGGGTAAAAAGGTAAAATATCTGTAACAAAAAAATAAATAAAATAAAAAAAATTCAAAAAAAAAAAATGTATAATGTCTAAAAATAGATAGAAAAACAGTATCTATGCCAAGTGAGCCGTCTGTCCCATTCTCAACAAACTTCCTGAGATATGTTTTCCAGGGGCAGGAGAAAAGGCGGAACTTTTACTATGGGGAAGCTCTTTACAAGAACAATCATTTTTCATATCAAGGTGTCCCCAGCTGAACATTCCTGAGGAAGCAAACTGGTGAAGTGACGGGCGTTACTCCGGCCAGAATACATGACACTGTTTAGGCGAAGAGGCGAAGAGACGAAGAGATGAAGAGACGGCGCTTGCTGCTGACCTTTCTCGGAGAAGGGGCTGGTCCCGCCGAGGGCTGGCAGACCTGGAGTGCTGGGAGGTGGCAAATGAAGTTTCCAGGTGGAAATCCGCATCTCCTTGGTTACTGTAATTGGGCGAGGGCTTTCCGAACTTACTGGAATATAACGGTGATGGTGATTCATTCCTTAAAACAATCCGTTCATCTGGTTCTTTGATAACCTGAGTGACAATGCGAATTACTGTTTAGTTATAGCTTTGCTTTTGTTTGCTTAATTCAAAGCTGGGGGGGAGGGGACAAAGAACTGGGGGCAAGATCTGTAGAATACCTGCCCTGGGATCTCCTGCAGTAAAATGGGCAGGAATAGAGAATACTAGCGACAAATGCTCAGGAGAAGAGGTCAAGGAAAGATCACTAAAAGTCTCTATGTTGGGCATGATGTAACAAGCCAAAATAAGTCCGGGCTCTACACTTTGCTTTGTGAGGACTTGGGATCATTGGATTTGGAAAAGATTTCATTTTTAAACAAAAAAGCTCTGGCATAAGAAACAGTATACTCCATTTTCTTTGCATACATCTGTTCTCATGCTGTAACAGAACTTTGCCTCTTCACCTTGACGAGTCAGTCAAACATCAAGAACAAGTGATTTACCAGCACTTCGTTAAAAGTATTCAACTAGAGAAAAAGCAATGAAAATCCTACTGATAAAGTAGGTATTGGGCCTACCTACACCCTCACTGGTGATTCCTCCTACAAATGAAAAGAGTTTATGAGGGGAATGAACAGACTGATGCAAAGCAGACAATGGAAGCCTGGACACCCCTTAAACTCCAGTTAAACTATAGAAATTCCATAAGCAGAACCAGCTAGAAATACACTTTTCACAACTGATTGGGAAAGCACAGTAAGTGATATTACAGAGTTGGAAATAAATGATGTTACTAATGCTACTTCTAAAATTACCTTTACGTTAGCTGCAAGGCTGTCAAGAGAAGAAGCTAGAAGAAAGAGGAACAGGTGATTCAATGACTCATTGTTACCAGTTACACCTAAAACTTGTTACATTTATTCCACAGCAGTACAAAAATATTACACAATGAATGGATTATTAAAGAACGTAAATGCTCCCTTATAAATTACACTATCACTTCTAAGTCTCCCTTGAGTCACGGCAATTCTATGAGTTTTTCTGTCCTCTTGAGGTCAACAGTGAGGTTATATTATCAAAGACAGCACTTGTGGGTATGGGAAGGGTAAAAGAGAATCTAAAGTAAAGCAGTAAGTCCAGTAACCCTTAAGCAGCCTGGAAAACACATATTTGTCTTGGTGGCTAAAAGAAAGCCACGTGGCTCAACTATAAAATTTATATACTCTGCCTCTTCTGCCATTCTCTTTACATTTGGTTTTCGTGGAACCTTATTATGCAGAAACTCTTGAGTACACTTGTCCAAGGTAGACATAAATATTAAATTGATATTTAATCAATATTACAATGAAAATGTAAGAGCTTGGAGAAACATGATGCAGCAAAAATGCAAGTCATCATTATTACCCTAACTACTCATCATAAGCAAAAAGGCCTAATGCCAGAGAATGGTAAGAAGTGAATAATACACACATAGACAAAACCAGGACTAAATTGGATTTTTCCAGGTTGAGGGGGAAAAAAGCATTTGAAATGAGTATTTACAAGGCCACCATGGCTTCCCCCAGTGTGACCAGGCTTAAGCAGTGACAAGAGGCTTTTCCTGGACTGCTGACTCCCCTTGTGCCACTGGCAGTAGAAGGAAACCATGAAAAGGGACTTTAAAGCCTGATGATTATCCTATCCTCTGCAAACGCAGGTATGTGTGTGTCCCTCTTGTCCCAGAAGCTCCCTTCTCCCAGCTCAGCAGGGAATCAGCAGCACTAAGGCCCTTTCAGTACTATAGCCACAGACCTGCCCTATAGTCCCCTGCAGTGATTCTGAGCAGTCCCTTCCCCAGAGGGCTTGCCTTTGTTCCTTTGCTTCTCAAAGTGCAGTCCGTGGACCAGCAGTATCAATATCACCTGGAAGCTTGTTAGAAAAGGAAGATCACAGGCCCCACCCCAGCCCTACTGAATCAGAATCTGCAGTTAACAAGATCACGAGGTGATTCAAATGCACATTCAAATTTGAGAAGCACTGCTTTATTCTACCTTAGGCCTGGATGAATGAGCTGACAGGTGACCTAAGCAAAGGTCTGGCTTGGAAGCTACAGGATCTGAGCCCAGAGGTCTGAACGTCTTCTCTAAATGTAGGTTTGCCAAAAACTTGGTATGTGACCTGTACACATTCTGTAACCTCTCTGGAACCTTAGTTCTCCACCTGCCAGGGTTAAGAAAAGATAAAGGCCAAGACCAACATGATATATGAGTCCTATCATAACTGGGCCAGCATTGAGCCCATCTGTCCTCTCCGGGAAAGGACATTTGCTGTTGCTTGAATTGGGTCATAAGGAAGACAGTAATGCATTTACAGGCTACCCTGGTGATTTTCAATCCAAAAAACTTAAATTAAATGTCAGAGGTGATAAAGCACTTTCTACATCAAACTACTCTGTACTTGGTTGGCTGTAGGTGCAGTCACCATGATCCAAGAACACTGGCTTGAGTTACCACAAGAGACTGTGCTGCCCTTTGAAAGTATAAACCTTTACACCTAAGACAGGGGACCCTGTTGGCAGGATGGTATTGATCCAGTCCCACCAGGAGTCAAGAGAATGGGCCACCACCATCCCTTTCTAGCCTAAGAATTTTTATTAAGTTCAGGAGTAGGTGAACCTCACTGCCATGACCTTCAGGATTGACATGGTTCATGTATTTCAATCATAAGATAAAGGTCTCCAAGGGATGCCTTAATCCAGTGACTCTTGATGTATGGCCCAGGGACCTCCCTTGGTGTCCCACAGAGCTTTCAGGAGATCTGCAAAGTCAAAACTATTCTCCCAATAATACTAAGACATAAGTTGCCTTTTACACTCTCATTCTCTCGTTACTGTAAAATGGAGTTTTCAAAAAGCTACACAACACCTCATGACGTCACCACTTTGATGACTAGTGATATGTGTGCTTGCGTATCCTTGTAGTTTACAAATTTATCAGTTTTAATTTCTAATATGCTAAATATTAATACATATCATCCACATAAACAAAAGCTCTTTGGGGTCCTCAGTGTTTAAGAATGCAAAAGGGTCCTGACACCTGAAAGTTTGAGATCCCATGCCTTACGCTATCTGCTTCACATGGAATCTGGCAAAGCAAATGTTATGTCTCCTGGTCGCCAATTCCCTGCTCTTTCCCATCCACAGAAATGGCGAGTCTTATTTGTTGGCTATCAGTGGTGCTTTCACAAGGAGTTCGCACCAGAACGAGCTGCTCCCTGCTCTTCCAGACCAGCCAGGAAACACCTGGTGACCACGTTACCCAGAGCAGTTTCCTTCAGCAGCCAAGGGAACTCTGCTCCCCGGGAACCCCTTCCCTGGAAACTACACAGCTGGAGAGTCCTTGTTTCCAAAGAAGCTTGTGATTCCATAGAATGAAAGGAGATTTAGAAGTAGAATGCATTTGTTCCCATAGGGAAATGTATAGGAGTAATGAGAAACGAGTACCTCTTCTCATTGGAAAGGGAAAGTTTGAAAACTTAGATTTTCTTCTAGATTTCCGGGAATGATGGTCTAAAATATTCTCACCAAAGGGCTTGGCACTGTCCACCTGTAAGAAAGGAAAGAAATAAGACTTGAACCCACCATAGCTTGTATGACCCTCTCCACATTAACTGCAGTGCCTTTCTCCCCCTCAGTCACAGGTCACGCAAGTGACAAAAGAAGGTTGGGAACAAATTAAACCATAGTCTCCATGTGTAGTAAACGTTATCCCGATAGAGAAAGCTGCTTGTCCCTGTCTTCACTGAGGCTAGGACACAGAGAGATGGGCTAAATGTTAGCACAAAGAACTAAAGTTGGACACAAGTTATATTCTAACCACTGGTAAGGATCAAGCCCAGAAAAGACCAAGTGAAGTTTATTTTGCATTCTTATAAAACAGGACGGAGTTTCATGTTCCTAAACAGTCTGAGCAGTGCTGGCCTAAGTGGGGTCCTCGCTGAAGACAAGGGATTATCACAAGGTCGCAGTTCAGCCTTCCACATCCCCCGCCAGTCTGAGTGTCTACACCCTTGAAAACAAGAAGAATGAAACCATGTTAAATTGGACAACATGATCTTCAAATAGGTGAAATAGGGACTCTTCCAGAATATCTATGACGAAGTTGCTGGATTTGTTATACTTTATTTTTTTTATTTCAAGAGGACAGGTTATAATGTTACTCTTCATTCTACTTGGAGAAATATATTGATTAGAATTCATAGTCTTCACAACATTAGATCCTCTAAATTTTAATGCTTCTACTCACAGAAACACCAATATCAGGAAATCTGGCTAACTGAACACAGAGTGCTTAGAAAAGCGTTTCGCATGCAGTGAAGGCTGTATAAGAATTTGTTAAATGAAATAAATGCCAAGCAAGTTTTACCACCTAAGAAATCTACCAAGAGTTTAAGGTTATTTATCCCATAACAGCATACACTAAAGTTTTTTTTTTAATTTTTTTGTAAAATTTTTGAATTTTACAAAAATTTATTTCAAATGGAATAAATCAGACTGTCCAATAAACTCAATTCAACAATATTTGTATGATGACATATTTAAAGATTATTGCCATTTTTGCCATTGGTTACTAGATTTTTGCCATTTTTACCCAAGTCATCATGAAGAAAACAGCTGTTCTGTAGTTTCTAGCCAAAGAACATCTCCACACTAACTAAAAAATAGCTCTCTGTGGTCATCTCAACAACACCTTGACTTTGAAGTTTACCATGCTTCATATCTGATGTCAAATGCACAAACATCACCACTAGAGACTTTAAGTCCAATTACCTATTTGACAATATTATTAATAGTTAACTATTGGAGTGATAGGAACTACTGGAGAATAAGTCATGAACTAGAACATGGAATAGTGTTAATAAAGAATATGAAATAATACTGAAATGCTTTTTTAAAAATTATTATTATTATTTTTGGTATGTGCCCCTAGCGGGAACCAAACCCGGGACTCTCTGGTCCGCAGGCCGATGCTCCAACCGCTGAGCCAAACCAGCCAGGGCAATACTGAAGTGCTTTTAATGTACTATTAACTATATAATGAGAAAATAATCTGTATATAGTACAGTATAACTACAGCTTTGTGGAAAAAATAAATCCTTATGAATATATAAAAGGTGAAAGAAAATGCATTAAATAAAATTTTTAATTTTTATTACGCTGGCAAACCTATGGATAATTTTTTTACATTTCTATATTTTCCATTACTTCTATAGTAGTCAAAAAGTTAAGGAGACTAAAAGAACTAATGTGATTAAATTTGCCCACTACTCCCTGAGGGTCAAATCTAAGATGAATTTGATCAAGGGCTTTGAATATGACACATCATTGCTTCTTCCTGTAGATGCTTTTTTTCCTGCTCTTTAAAGTACGGCTAATGAGCAACAATCTAATTAAAACTCAAGCAGTTTTCTTTAAAACTGATAAAGCTTTAGTTTTAGTTTGGTACAGAGTCTATGCCAACCTTTGTAATGCGTCTTCTACCCATCAGTTCACTAATTCTTCTAGATAATGGTGGGATGCCATGTGTAGATGGCATACATTTTAATAATTTTCAAAAATTAAAAATAGGGATGGCTGACATTTACTGAGCAAGTCCACTGTACAAGATACATTTTTTTTTTATTCCTCACCCGAGGAGACTTTTCTATTTATCATCAGATAGAGTGGGAGGGAGGAGGAGAAAGAGAGAAACATCAGTGTGAGAGAGATACATCTTCTGCACGACCAGGGCCAGGACAAACCGCAACCATGCCCTTAATTGAAATCCAACCCAAGACTCATTGGTCCACGGGCCGATGTTCTAACCGCTGAGCCAAACTGGCCAAGGCTGTACAAGATATCTTTATAGGAGCTTCCTGAACATGACTCTAGGAAGATAACATAATTTACATAGTTACTATTCAGTTTGAATTCTCTCTTTATTAGTATTACCAGTTTTTTTTATAACCCATACTTCCAATATTCCAACCTCATTCACACCCTCACCATTCCAAATAACTCTGAAAAATAATTTTAGGCTCACGTGTCTAACTACAAATGGAGGTTTGCTTTCTCTGGAGATTCTTAAATTATTTCCAAGGTTCAGTTGAGCTGGCTGGTCCTGGCAGAAACGCCTGGTAGAATATGGAGAGGGTGCCCAGGGCTGCATGCTTTGGGGCAGTCTTTTGAGATTATTTTCTCTTGGCTTCACTTGTGTATTATTTAAGGGGAATTTTGGTCCACATGATGCAGATAAAGGCCTTTGTGACTTATAGGTTTCTTCCTGAAACCAAAACAACAACAAACAAAAAAACAATACTTTTAAAAACAAAATTGGGGGGGTGGTGGAAATTCAATTGAATATGACTGTATTTAATTGAACTTTGTTTAACTAAGGTATAAGATTGAACATCTCAGATTTATACAACAGGAACTCAAGGAAGGGCATTTCTCTACTTAATTTTTCTTCAGTTCAGCTTAACATCACTAGTATTTATAACTTGCTAGTGTGTTATATTTCCATTAATAACAGTGAGACTTATTTGCATTGGAGACATTTGGAAAGTATCAGACACTTCTCCCAGTTATAGATAGATGATTGATTGATTGACAGAAAGATACTGAGAGAGATTGAAATTGATTGAGAGAGAGAATTTGGCATATACTCAGATCCAGCTATTTCACTTCGGTGAATTTATTATAAGAAAATTATTATGGTTGTGTTTAGCTAAAAAAAAATTCTTACAACAGATCAAAAATGAGAAACCAACTATATTGGTGAGAGGTGAGTAAGCAATTGCCTCAGCTCCAAACCCACCTTTCTATACTCAGGTCTGGCACCCAGCAAACCCCTTCTGCTTTTCCAGCTATCGTTAGGCTCTGCCGCTAGAGGGCGCTAGAGTGAGACGGCAAGACAAACAGGAAGACAGAACTGGCCACTTCAGGTTTGCATTGTATTCCTGTCAGCATCACCACAGCAACCATCCTCCACCTTGGCAACAGCAAATGGTTCCAGTATATAGTTCCCCCCAGTCCAATAATCCCAGAATTAGCCTTACTGTGTCCCCCTCAGACATACCAGTACTCAAAGTTTGAGTCTAGCCCCACAAGACCTGAGGCACCAGCAATAAGTAGTATTCCACCTTAGAGGTCTGAGTGCCAGTTCATAGAAGTCCTACCTCTGAGTTCCCGAGGAAGCACCCAGAAAGGCAGACCCTCCCCAGGGTCCCTTAGCTATGGGGTCCCCTTTCTATGGGGTCTCTTCTTCGAGCTTCTGTGCTCTTGACCCAACCTCTTTACTTTGTTGCCTCAGCCCTAGGGGTGGAGTTGCTTCCTGCAGTTACTTTCTCCATCACTTCAGTGTTCCCCTTTACCTCTCAGTACTCCAACCCCTATTTAGCCGTTTTTGTTGTTGTTGTTAATCCTCATGCAAGAATATTTTTTCCACTGCTGTTTAGAAAGAGTGGAATGAAACAAGGGGGAGAGAAAGAGAGAGACATTGACTGGTTGCCTCCCACGCACACACAGATCAGGCCAGGAATCGAACCTGCAACCCAGGTATGTGCCCTTGACCAAGAATCGAACCCGCAACCCTTCAGTGTGTGGGCTGACACTCTAACCACTAAGCCACACCAGCCAGGGCTAGCCTTTTTTTTTTTACATTAAATCTTTCTGTTAAAATAACATGTGGTACCCTGGCCGGTTTGGCTCAGTGGTTAAAGCGTCAGCCTGCGGTCCAGAGAGCCCCGGGTTCGGTTCCCGCTAAGGGCACGTACCTCGGTTGCAGTTTGTCCCCGGCCCTGGTTGGGTCGTGCGGGTGGCAGCCACTCGATGTGTACCTTTCACGTCGATGTTTCTCTCTCTCTCTCTTCCTCTCTCTCCCTCCCACTCTGTCTGAACAGAAAATGGAGGAATGTCCTCGGGTGAAGATAAATAAATAAATAAATAAATAAATAAATAAATAAATAAATAAAATAACGTGTGGTTTGTTTTCCTGACTGGACTATGACATATCAGCTAAGTGCCCAACAACAGGAAAATGATTGGCCAAGCAAATTATGGTACTACCATGCAATGGCATACAGTGAAGCCATGAAAATATGCCTGGTATAAAAGTACTTAAGGACATCCGAAGATGTTCGTGATATATTAAGTGAAAAAGGAAAGGTACAATATAATATTCAGTGTAGTATGATCTCAATATTTTAAAATAAGTGTGTGTTGTGTAGACGAATATACCCCCAAAAATGATTCATCTCTAGATAGTAAGAATGACATGATTTTTATTTTGTATGTCCTTTTTACTTATATATATAATTTTCTAAAATAAGTGGAATACTGTTGTTATAAGAAAAAATAAAAAATTAAAAGTTAACACTTAAAGGGAAGTTACATATTAGGAGGTTTTAAAGAAAAGGGACTGAAAAAATCACTGTGCACACACATCAAACAAATTGGAGGAAATAATGAGTAAATAAAGAAAATCTAAAAAGCAGCTAATGCCTTCCTTAAAATTAATCATTGGTCTCCCATTATATAAGTTATAATGCCCACAGGATTAATGGATTTGCACAGACCCTTGTCATTCAGTATCCACAGCCCACATTTTCAAGGTCATTTTGAGGGCCAGGCTAGATTTAGAATGACAAGCAAAGTACTTAAAGAAGCTTTACAAATTACATTCATTCGTTCTCCATACTGTTCAAGAAAGAAATTTAAATGGTTACAAAATTGTGTAGAATAAAAATAAAAGAAACACGGAAAGAAATCAGGGTGAAGGGGAACTTAGGACTGAACAAGAGAGTAAAACGGAGGTAATGCTCATGGATGCACCTCATGGTAAGCCTTCATGGTTACCAAAGATGGCCCACGAACACAACTCTGAGCTTCAGCCTCAGCAGAAGGAAGAAGGAAACACTGTTGTTCGTAAGATCAAGAGTAAACGTCATGGAATAAGAACAAAAAAAGCTAATTAGCTTACATGTCAAACCTGTGATCTTAGCTCTAGATCATTGTGTACCACCAAGTATACCATGATGAATGAACCAAACATGCTCATTCTAATGTGACAGGCTGAGCAAATAGTTTATAGAAATTCAAACCTGGCAATAAGTCTCCATGTTTCTATTTATCCAGTTGCATCTAAACTTGGTAAACCAAGTTCTTTAAATTTGTGGAGAAAATTCCTGACATTTCTATTACTGGCTTCTTGATTGTACTTACAAGAAATCTGTTTCTATGCAGAAACACACATTCTCTGATGGCTGTCCTCGTAGAAAACTCTATTTTGGGAGCAATGCCCTAAAAATAAAACAGCATAAAAGAAGCAAACACAATTATTGGAAACAGGTTTTTTACCCATCCCATCCTAACTTGAAATCACGTGAGAACTTGATTGCTCGTTTGTGTGGCTGGCATAACCCACATGCATTACCTAAAATATACACACAGCAAATATATATACACAATGAGATATTATACGGCCTTAAAAAAGGACATCTTGCTATTTTCAACCCATGGAAGAACCTGGAGGACATTATGCTAAGTGAAATAAGCCAGACACAAAAAAATAAATAGTACATGATCTCACTTATATGTGGAATCTAAAATAGTCAAACTCATAGAAGCAGAAAGTACAGTGCTGGTTGCCAGGGAATGGAGAATGGGGGAAATGGGTAGATGTAGGTCAAAGGATACAAAGTTTCACTTATGCAAGATGAATAAATTCTGGAGATCTAATGTACAGCAATGTGACTATAGTTAACTACACTATATTGTATATCTGAAATTTCTAAGAGGGTAGAGCTTAAGTGTTCTCACCACAAAAGAAAAGAAAATCATAACTAGTAATAGTAAATGGTGGATGTGCTAATTAGCTTGACTGTGGCAATTATTTCACAATGTAGATATATATAAAAACATCAAGTTGTACACCTTAAATGTATACAATTTTTACGTGTCAATTATACACCAGTAAATATGACAAATAAAATATAATATATATAATAAGAATAGCTAAACACATAAATTGTACTGACTGCCAGGCCTGACCTAAGTGCTTGGCATATAGTAACTCATCTAATCCTCAAAACAACCCCATAAGGTGGGTTCTAATAGTATCTCTATTTTGTAGAGGAGGAATTTAAGACAGAGAGAGTTAGAGTGACTTGTCCAGCTAGTGATGGCAGAGTTGATAACTGAACCCAGGCATTCCAACTCCAGTGTCCATGCAGTTAGTTACTATCTATTTAAAACATTGGACCATGCAATTGAACGAGATTTCTTAGGGAAAATGATGGATAGGAGTTCTCCTTCCCTCTCTACTTGCTTTGAAAAACTTGTTTTATATCTTATATCAAATATTTATGTTAATCTGTTCTATTTCCAAACTCTTCATTTTGTTGCACTGATTGATACTTCTCTTTTTGCTCAGTATCATATTGTCTAAAATACTGTGAAATATATACGTATATTTCAGATCAAATAGTCTGTCCAATGTCACAGCTGGGGATTGGCAGAGCCAGGATTTGCAACTGCCAGACAGCAAAGCCCATGTCCTTCCATGACCCCATGCTACCTCTTGGGGGTTGGAGGAGCTTGAGGACAACCATTCAGCTTGTTTCCCATGCATTCATTCATTCCTAGGCACATTCACTGCTGTGCATTCATCTTGTCCACGAAACAAGTCCCTACAGCCTACATTCTTAGCTGCTTTTGGTGGGGTGGGGAGGGGAGGGTTATGCCCATAGAGAACTAGGCCTGGACTGGTGACTCAAAATTTCTGGGCTTATAAACACAAGGGCCTGGTTGCTGCACAGGGTCAGGTAATCTAAGGGGACATTTGATAAAGAATGTACAATGACATGACCAGCACAGCGTCACCTCTGGTTATGGAGATTGCCCACATGAAGAAAAGGGCTGGGGCAGTTCCAGGCTCCACAGTGCTACTGGTGGAATCACAAGACCTGACGTGTGTGGCAAGCCCTGGTCCCCCCTGGCCCCATGCCTGTGCCTGAATAAATCATCTCTGGAGCCACAGACTTGTCTAGTCTTCTCATTGCCTCATAGGGAGGTAGTATTAACCCTTCAATGACAGTATAGTAAAATACAACAGCTCACATTTATTGTGCACTTAACTACATACCAGTATTATGCTAAACACTATACATAGATTACCTCATTTAACCCTCATAGTAACCCTATAAAGGAAATACTACTACTATTAGTCCCATTTTACAGGTGAGGAAAACTAAGGTACACGGAGATTAAGTAATTTACCCTAAATCACACAGTCACTGAGTGACAGAACTGGAACTGAACCCAGATGATCTGAGTCTATAGTTAACCACTCTCCGTGCAGATGCTCAATAGGTTTTCAAATCCATGATCCACGTCACCTGGGGAGAAGAGGGGCCCTACCAGGAAGGAATCCATACTCTGGAACACATTCTTGTTTACCTCACATAACCTCCATTCCTGGCAGATTCACAGATAACGAGGAATGTGGGTTGTTGCTTTTTTTCATAGCAGCACCAATTTCAGCATAACAAGTTAGAGCTAAAATGTACAGGCTCTCCTGTCCAGTCTCCTTAGCAATGGGATAATGGTGAGGATGGTTAGGTCAATAAATGGACTTAACAGTAAAATTTTTCTAGAATCACTGCACTAAAGAAAAAATAAAATGAACTAAAAATTAATAATTTTAAAAATAATATTCTTTCTGCTTATCTTATAAATTCCATCTTCACCTGACAAGAAAACAGATTATATATATATATATTTTTTTTTTAAATCTTGACTTTAGTATTACAAGGGTGGGGAGGGAGGCTGTCAAGAGTATCAAGTGAATGAAATAAAACAAACTATGGAAACACAAAGAGAAAGTCACATTTTAGTAGAGGAAATACATCTAACAATTAATAAATTGAGAAAATAAATGAAGTGAATGATTTGCATAACCTACCCATATAACTCATTCTCATGTCCTACAATATTATTAAAAAGAAGTCCAAAATCGGGCTGAAATAAACATGAGAGAATTAGCATCAGGCAGTGACTAAGTGCAAACTTTGAAGTCCGACAGGCCAGCAAGAGAATTCCCGCTCCGTTGCTCACCTGCTCTGTGATATTTCCTAAACTCCCTAGGCCAGCTTCTCCATTCATAAAATGAGGAAAAAATAGTAGCCACCTTACAGGGTTAAGGAGGACTGGATAAGATAATCCATGTAACGAACCCAGCAGTGTCCGGCATCTAGTGAGCACGCAATGACTGTCTATTATTAAAATTTCAGCAATTTTTTTTATTTTGCTTTATAGGATATTTGAAAGAAATTGAGCTCTTCTATCTTTTTACAAATTGTTTCAAATATAGTCTGGTTAACTTCGTTGTAAGAATTGATATTTTACCTCTAATGCATGAGGATCTTTCCTCGAAGTGTTAAAGCCCTTTCTTTGGTGATTACCAGCATGTATGAATAACTATAAATACAATTTCCTATAGGTTCTTCTTCCTACTTATGCTCATAAAGTTAAACAGAGATAACATTTGGAAAAATATAAGAGGCTATGTTTCTCCTTATCTTGATACTAAGCTGGATACCAGCCTAATGTTTATAGATGGCTTTATTTAATAGAAACTCAAGTAAACCAAAGTTAATATAAAGTGGATTCCACCCCCCCCCCGATTCTCACCAGTTTTTATCCCCTTTTAGCTTCTGAAGAGCAATATCCTAATAACTCAAAATAATAAAGGAAAGCATCTCACGAATATCATGGATATAAGAAATACACAAGCAATTATCTCTGAGGAAAAAATGGTGTCAGTGATATTCACCAAAGCCTCAAAGAGAATGGACAGCTTAAAGTTATGGTCATTAGGAATTCTGATAAGGACAACTTTTGATGAATGTTTGCTGTTTAAAGTATTAGAACTAGAAGTTCTGCCATAAACGTCATAGAAACAGGGGTTCTGCATGTTATCTATTCTGCACAGTACTCTCAACAAAATGGAATTATAATATTTTATTAAATTATAATAATATTCAGTTGAGTATTAAATACGCTTCTTATAACTTACAAAGATGTGACTCTTAAAATGGAGGTCAAACAAATGACATAAAAATCAACAAAATTGTCAGAAGCCCTGGCTGTGTAGCTCAGCTGGTTAGAGCATCATCCCAATTTGCCAAGGTTGCAGGATCAATCCCAGGTCAGGGCACATACAAGAATCAACCAATGAATGCATGGATAAGTGGAACAGCAGCACTGGCCGGGTGGCTCAGCTGGTTGGAGGTGCCCTGGTTGCGGGACTCAGATCCCATCAATGTTGCACTCTCACATAGATGTTTCTTTCTCTCCCTCTCCCTCCTTCTCTCTCCAAAAAATCAATAAACTACTCTTTAAAAGATAATAAGTGGAATGACAAATAGATATTTCTCTCTCTCTCTCTCTCTCCCCCTTCTTCTGTCTAAAAATCAATAAAAATTAAAAATATATAAAATTGTTAGAGTTGCTACAGAGTCAGAAATCATCACAGATAACATCAGAATGAATATTTCCAATTTGGATTCAAATAGTGCCCCCAAACAGATGATCAGTTGAATAACTGCCCTATCTTTTAATATCTTTCATCAGTATACGACTATGAACCTCTGTCAGTTTCCCCTCCATTAAGTGGAGACCATGATATCTGCCTTGGCTGACTTGAGAACTGTTATGAGGAAAATAAGATATTATAAGAAATAAGAAAAACCGAACTGCAAAATAAATGAGAGGTAGCATTATTACTATTATTGTCCTATTTTACTCTTATTACTAAAACAATAGCTATAATTAAATAAACTGATACCAAATCTTTCCGTTAATCTGCATTAAGAGGAGGTTTTTAAAATGACAATGTGAATATGGCAATGATTTATCCAGATTAGGTAAGACTCCCACCTCTCAGATCAATAATGGGAATCAGTGTAATTTGGTATTTGGAGTGGGGCATCTAAACAGGACTGCTAAATGGAATAACAGGGGTACTGACCAAGATGAAGTGACCAGTCCAAGGGCAGGCCCTGTCTGGAGTGAAATATTCAGGTCCCAAGAATTTCTCTTCCAACAGAAGCCCAGCTGGGCACAGATCACTTACTGGAAAACCTGCAGTCGTTTTCATGAGCACCTCCCTAAACACCCCAGGGTTCGAAGGTGTCAGCTTGGGCTCAGGGAAAAGAAATTCCCGTGTGTTTTCTTCATAGTAGGCCAACTCTTCCCACACTAGGAAAAAGAAAAGTCAGAAGTAGATTTATGTTCTGAAAATGGTGTATCTACACCCCCAGCTAAAAGCTAAGACTGGTGATGGCAGAGATGGCACACAGATAAATATACACATTTGATTGCAGTACCTGTTATTCAAGAAGCAGATGACTTCTACTACTTTTTATCTTATGGATAATTTTTAAAAGCCTCCCCAAGTCATAACAGATAAAACAATATCTAAAGAGTTGCTCTACAAAACAGCACAAAGAGGAAAATCTCTTTACATCCATTCACCCATCCATTCATCCACCCATCATCCATCCATACATACACACATTCTTTCCTTCAACAAATGTTTTCTAAGGACATACTGTGGGCCAGATCCTAGGGGTAGAATAGGATCAAGGCAGACAATGCCCTGTTCACACAAAAGTTACAGTTCAGGCCCCTGGCTCAGCGATTAGAGCGTCGGCCTGCAGTCCAGAGAGACCTGGGTTCGGTTCCCACTAAGGGCATGTACCTCGGTTGCAGTTTGTCCCCGGCCCTGGTTGGGTCGTGCGGGTGGCAACCACTTGATGTGTCCCTTTCACATCGATGTTTCTTTCTTTCTCTCTCTCTCTCTCTCTCTCTCTCTCTCTCTCTCTCTCTCTCTCTCTCCTTCCCACTCTACCCAAACAAAAAAAAATGGAAAAATGTCCTCGGGTGAGGATAAAAAAAAAAAAAGTTACAGTGCAGACTGGAATTCGATGTGTTCTGTGATGTAGGGATGACAATATCCCAAAGGCCCAGAGAACAGCTAGGGCTGTGGCTCTTAGCAGGGCTGGTGTCAACACCAGGGGCATTTCCAAAATACATGGGAACATTTCATGGGCAGGAGTTGAATGGTCCTGCAATGCTCAAGACACTCCTCCCAACTGTCTAACATCCTACCAGACAATCTTTCAAGCCAGAAACCATTCTCTAACTAGCAAAGCCTGTAACCTAACTGTTACATATAAACACAAAGCACTTTATTGCACAATTTTAAATACACTCAATTTTCAGGAATGCAATTACAATATAAATTAAGGAAAAATTGTACTTTGCTGTTTGTACTTTTACTGATATCCTTTGGGCATTTTGAAGATCATGTCACATCTAAATACTTCACTATGCTCAATATTTACATGTTGATATACATGTTATTCTATTTTAAATCACTTTCCTTTTATTTCTTCTTTATATTACAGCTCAAATACTGTGATTTGCATAAGTTTGTTCTATTAACTATGAATATTATTTCAGTATGGTAAAGGGATGCTACAAAATACTCATTACCAAGATCAAGAAGATCTTGGGTCTAATAGGATTGAGAATCACAGAGCTAAAGGATGGAGAAGTTGCCATCTGAGCCCTCCCTGTCTGCACAGCAACTGCTACACAGAGGTTTGGCCTGAGAGTGGCCCCTGCACAGAGCACTGCCGAAATTGTAACATAGTCAACGAAACAGTGTTACTATTTGGTGACTGCTGCTTTATTTTAACAAGAATTCTGATGAAGGTATATGTTTGTTACATCAACTATAGAAAATAATTTACCTTATATCAAATAATATAATGAATTAATTTCTTCCTACACATTCCACTTACTGGGATCTAGTAAAAATAAAAGTGTAAAAAGAATGTATGCCATATTTTTCATATCATTTCTTCCTACTCTTCCCCTCTCAGACACGCTCCAGCCACAATAAACTAACAGTGTATCTTTCCCTGCTCTGCTATGCACTTGCTCAGCGTAGGCTATTCCTTCTAAAATGTCTTCTCTTCCTTCCCATCCTGTTGAGATGCTATTCATCAGTCAAGTCTTACCTTAAATGTCTTATAGTATATCCAATATAACAGGTCCAAATAGAACTCTTGATTTTTTCCCCACAAATAAGTTTGCCCCCATCTTCCCATCAGTGGAATCAGAACAAGTTGCTTGAGCCAAAATATCTAGGATGTATCCTTGATTCTACTCTTTCACTCCTTACATCATTTAATTAGCGAGTCCTGTTGACTCTGTCTCCAAAATAAATCTAAAAACTGTCCCTTCCTCTCTATCTTTATAGCCTCCACCACCTACCTCTCTCCTGGGCTACTGCCATGACCTCCTAGTCACCTGCTTCCATTCTTCCTGCACTCAAATCCACTCTCCACACACCATGCTGTTACAAACACATCACATGGAGACTTTCTCCTGCTCCCTATAATGGGCATGACCTCTCCACTTTTGTTGGCCAGAGAGACTTCCTCCATTCAGTGATCTCAGAAGTGCAACCTGAAAATGGGAAGTGATGTGACAATTTCCTCACCCATCACTAGCAACAAAATACAACTTTCTACTGAAGCCTACAGTACACTGGTTAAGAACTCAGGTTCCAGGTTCAGACAGAGACGGGTTCAAATCCTTACTTCAACAATTACTAGTTATGCGACTTTAAACAAACTATGTAGCCCTGGCCAGTTTGGCTCAGCGGTAGAGCGTCAGGCTGAGGACCAATGAGTCCCGGCTTCGGTTCCAGCCAAGGGCACGTACCTCAGTTGTAGTGGGTCCCTGGCCCTGGTCGGGGTTGTGTGGGAGGCAACCAGGCGATGTGTCCTTTTCACATCGATGTTTCTCTCTCTCCCTTTCTCTCCCTCTCTCTCTACCTGAAGATAAGTGGGAAAATATCCTTGGGTGAGAATAAAACAATAAAATAAAATAAAATAAAATAAAATAAAATAAAATAAAATAAAATAAAAAATAAACAAACTATGTAAACTCCTTAACTTCAGTTTCCTCTTCTGGAAAATGTAAAACTCATAAGAGTACCTGCCTCTTAGGACAAATGCAAACACATGTGAAGTACAGAGCACAGTGCCTGACAGTCCCCGCCATTATCACGACTACTCAGAGGTGGTGCAGTGTCCCAGCACTACTATGGTGTCTATGAATATTATGTGTTTTCAATACTGTGTTCCCAGTGAGAACAAACACCTTGATGTATGGTATGATGCTCTATCCATTGAGATTTTCCTTTTGCCTTTTACATGTTTTTTGTCTAGTTCTTGTCACTGCATCCAAAATGATAGCTATTAAATAACTATCCTATATTTAGCAAGAATTAAGATGCAAAAATGTGGTCAGAGAATTGAAGGTGAGCTCACCCACTATCTTTGGAATCACAGGGATAAAAAGAGACAAACAGCATTAGAGAAATAGAAGGCTGTGAAGCTTCTCAATTCTGTCTCTCTGGTTAGGTCATTTTCTAGAGATCCAAAGTGCCACCCAGTGTGAAAATGTCACCACACCAAGGGGAGGTTACAGCAAGAGTCTAGGTTTTAAATAATAAGTATATACACAGGCTAAGCAATTCCCATAGGCCAAGTGAAATGTCTGAAAAAACTCCATGTTCTTAATAGGCTAAAGGGACATCATCAATACCATCAGTGAACAAGTACTCTCCCAGAAAGGAAACAAATGAGATTTCAAGAGAAATATTTTTTTAATATGATTTTATTGATTTTAGAGAAAGAGAAACATTGATGTGAGAGAGAAGTATCAATAGGCTGCCTCCTGTACACCCTGAACTGAGGATCGAGCCTGCAACCCAGGCATGTACCCTGGCCAGGAATTGAACCGGGACCTCTCAGTCTATGGGATGACGCTCAATCCACTGGGCCACACCAGCTGGGCAAGAGAAATAATTTTAATACCAATATTGTTAGATAAATATCTAGCATTCATAGAGTGTATCAGAATTGACAGCTCGCTTCCCATTATGGGGTCTCATTTGATTCCCTCTTTGCAGATAAGGAAACTGAGGCTCTGAGAGTTGAAGACATTTGCCATGATGCCACACTGCAAAGTAAAAATTCAAAGCCAGGTCATCTGGCCCAGTCCAGTGTGGCTCAGTGGTTAGAGTGCCGGCCCTCACACTGAAAGGTCATGGGTTCGATTCTCATCAAGAAAACGTTCCTGGGTTGCAGATTCAATCCCTGGCCCTAGTCGGGGGGCGTGCAGGAAGCAACTAATTGATGTGTCAACCAAACAATGTGTCTCTCTCACATTAATGTTTCTCTCTCTCTCTCACCCCCCTCCCTCCCTTCCTCCCTCCCTTTCTTCCTCCCTTCCACTCTATCTAAAAAATTAATGAAAAAAATATCCTTGGGTGAGGATTAACAACAACAATAATAACAGATTATCTGAGACAAAAGTTCTTTCCTGCCTAGTAAACATCACAACAAAATACAAAATCAAGCTCTGAATCAAGGAATGGGTGCCCACTAAAACAACATTTTACAGCTGGGTTGAATACACACGACACATTCCAAAACAGAGGTTTTCACAGAGCTTATATGCACGTATGTATGAACAATGGACATGGACAACAAAGGTGGAGACAGGGTGGGGAGGGAGGGGGAGGGAGGAATCATTGAGGGGAAAAGGAGAAACATCTGTAACAAAATAAATAAATTAATTTTTTAAAAAAGAGGTTTTATTTAAGAAGTCATAAAAGCACCAAGTTCACTGTCAACCAGGATTATACTGCCCCCCTGTGTCCATTTGCTTTTTTCCATCTTTGTAAACTGAAGAACTGGGGAAGAGCCTTCTAAGCCAAACCACTGGACCTCTTCTTTCCTTAGCAGCAAAATCGAGGTGTCTGTATCATTAACTTAATGATCATAATATGTTTTTTGACTATAAGTCTGTTTGAAAGCAATGTGAAAAGTATAAAACAGCTCTGGCTGGTTTTGCTCAGCGGTTAGAGCGTCGGCTGGTGGACCAAAGGGTCACAGATTCGATTCCTGGTTAATGGCATGTACTTGGGTTGCAGGTTCAATCCCTGGACCCAGTAAGAGTCATGCAGGAGGCAACCAATCAATGTGTCGCTCTCCAATGTTTCTCTCTCTCTCTCTTCTTCCCTTCTACTCTGTCTGAAAATCAATGGAAAAAGATCTTCGGGTGAGGATTAACCAAAAAAAAAACTATAAACAGTAAAGTACTATATACAGCAAAATGAAAAGGTAACAATTCAGCTGGTGAAGAACTGGACCCTGTAAACCCAAATGTGGCCCATGAGACTTCAAGCAAATAATTTTTAATTAATTATCCGGCATCAAAGACGAGCAGATCAAGAGGGTTTACCACTGCCATTCTGTGACTGGTGCCACCTGAGTGACACCAGAAGTGGCACAGTGTAGTGCGTGTATATCCTCAGTAAACATACGTTGGACAAATTAATGGATCAGCCTGTAATGCATCTGAAACTGAGTAAAATTGTATTTTGAGCAATTTCAGTTTAATTACATTCCAAAACTGAAGAAATGTAGACAAAAGGAAAACAAGTATATCATAAAGCCTCCATTTTGTATCTGATTAATGTCTGAGATATACCCAGTGTGCACACACCGGCTGTCATTGTTCTCCAGTCATTATAGTTTCAAATAACTCTTGCAACCTTCTCACAGATGGACTTCTGGTCATGTGAACAACATATGTCAGTATAAGATAGATTAAATTTTAAAAAGCAAGTTTCAGATTACATATACTCAACCAAAATATAATACTAAATATACATGTAATAAACAGTACATATATTTAGTATATCTATGCATATATGGGTATATGGATAGGTATTGTTTTAGGGTGGGTTGAATATATTAAATGCATTCTATATATTAAATGCATCTTAAAAGGTCTAAAAAGACACACAACAAATTGTTAATAATAATTATTGTCGGGGGTTGTTGATGACTGTGGCTTTTGGCTTTTTATTTTATAAAATTTGTGTTAATTAAAAATCTTATACTGAGAATATTAGGTATTGGGTAATTTTTTCAGTTCATTAAGACTAAAATAGGCCTGCTTCTATTTTACTAGCATACTAAAATATAACTTGTCAGTTAGCAGTGATTTATATTTAAACATAAAATTGGGTCAAAGAAAAAAACGAAAAAAAAAAACACCTCAATGCCCTGATTTTAGCCTGTCAGTTTTAGGCTGAAAAACATTCAGAGAGAATTTCTGAAAAGCAGGTAGGAGACATTTCTGATCTTCTCTCTGCTATGCCTACCTAAGAAAGTGATGACATTTACAAGAACATCTATCCCCAGATCCATGGAGACTGGGGTTCTTATCTATTTTCAGAGCCTGCTTTTGCCAATGAACCAAGAGGCAGAAGAAAGAACTACAGACTCCTGGGCCCACCCCACTGGGGGCCTTGACCTGCTCCAGGAACAGCCACAGTGGGCAGGGCTACGATCCTCATAAAAGCCTCCACAGCTACCTCTGCTTCAGCTGAGGCGTCTGCCAGTGAAGTCGTAGAAACTTGCTGGGGATCAGTTGACTCCCAGGTTACAAGACATGGCTCAATCTAGTAACTGAGCAAATATACCAAGGGGGAAACATAATTTTTATAAAGATGTGAAAGGCAAAGGAAACCTAAATGCTCGACGATACCAATTTAAGGATAATTGTAACACTATAGAAAAATACATAGCTATTGAAAATGACCAACAGTCCTGGCTAGTTTGGCTCAGCAGTTAGAGTGTTGGCCCACAGACCAAAGGGTCTCGGGTTCGATTCCTGGTCAGGTTTGAACTCCAATCCCTGGTCAGGGTCATGCAGGAGGCAACCAGTCGATGTGTCTCTCTCACATCAATGTTTCTCTCTCTCTCTCTCTCCCACTCCCTCCCTTCCATTCTGTTCAAAAAACAATGGAGCCCTGGCCGGTTTGGCTCAGCGGTTAGAGCATCGGCCAGCAGTCCAGAGAGACCCGGGTTCGGTTCCCGCTAAGGGCGCGTACCTCGGTTGCAGTTTGTCCCCGGCCCTGGTCGGTCATGCGGGTGGCAGCCACTCGATGTGTTCCTTTCACATCGATGTTTCTCTCTCTCTCTCTCTGTTCCTCTCTCTCCCTCCCACTCTACCTGAACCAAAAATGGAAAAATGTCCTCGGGTGAGGATAAAAAAAAAAAACAATGGAAAAGTATCCTTGGGTGAGAAAAAAAAAGAAAGAAAATGACAAACAAGTAAACTACAAACAAGTAATGTTGAATAAAAAAACAAAACCCCAAATATTATGTACATACTGTTTATAAACCTATAAAAATACATAACTAAATTAATAAAACATTCTCACAGTCCCTACTCCCACTCACGGGTCTACCTAGAGAAGAGCCTCATTACTCTTCCATGAACCTGGTGGACAGGGAAGGCATGGAGATTTAACCTGTGTGCTTCAGGGGGTATCAGACGAGAGGTCGTCAGCTGGTGAGTCTTTCTCATGTCCTTGGTTCAAAATCTCTGCTGCCATGCCTTCTACCTGTCTATTCACCTCTGTTCCTCTCACATTTTAACTCTGCATCTCAAGGTAAGAAATGTGACCTCTGACTGAGTGCTCCCCATGTGCCAACTGCCTACTATGCCATCTCATTTCATTTTTAAAAATAAAAAAATTAATAGAACATTTTATAGCTATTTAAAATAATGATGCAGAAGTATGCTGTTAGAAAAGATAACAGTGATATAGAATGGGGGAAGGTAATAATAGAAGAAAGTGCATATGGTACTGTGTAAAAATCCCTTATCTATGTTTTCTTTTATCCATGGAAAAATATGAAGAAACATGTTCACCAAACTATAAATAAAGGTTTTTTCATCATTTGGGGATGCTTTTTATGACAAGGTACTATAAAGATTCTTTCATTTGAGGGAAGGGAAAAGGCAAAATAGCAAAGAGCAGAAGACAATTAGAAATATTTCTGAGTTTAGATATATTCTCTCTCTCTCTCTCTCTCTCTCTCTCTCTCTCTCACACACACACACACACACACACACACACACACACGATTCTAAAATCACCCAATAATCAGTTACATTGAAAGATTATGTCTGAGAACTGGTGTTATCAGGTGGCAGTTCCTATTCTCTCACTAGCTCAAGCCTCCAGCCATTCAAGACACACTGCAAAGCAAAGGCACCACAGTACATTTTCCCTTAAAGTCCCATAATTCTAGCACAAATGTTTCCTGTAAAAGTCCAGGCAGTAAATATTTAGTCTTTGAGTATGGTCACAACTATTCAAATCTGTCATTGCAGCAAGAAAGCAGCCATAAAACAATACTTGAATGAACATGACTGTGTTCCAGTAAAACTTTATGCACAATGAAATCTGAATTTCATATAATTTTCACATTACTAAATATTTGTATTTTTACATTTCTTTCCAACTATTTAAAAATGTAACAACTGGAGATTGTTTGGCAGTCCCTTTAAAAGTTAAACACAGTTACCCAACAATTCCACTGCTAGGTGAATATCCAAGAGAACTGAAAACATGTACTCATCCAACAATCTCTACACAAATATTGATAGCAGTGTTGTTCATAATATTCAAAAAGTGGGTACAACCCAATGTCCAACCACTGATGAATGAATAATCAAATTTATCCACATAAAAGAATAGTATTCGACCATAAAAAGGAATGAAGTACTGATACATGCTATAACACAAATGAACCTTAAAACATGCTAAATGAAGAAGCCAGACATAAAAGGTCATATATTGTCTGATTCCATTTATATGAACTATCCAGAATAGGCAAATCAATAGAGACAGAAAGTAGATTAATGGTGGCCAGGGGCTGTGGGGAGGAAGGACTGATGAGTGGCTGCTAAGGAGTATTTGGTTTCTTTCCAGGTAATAAAAATATTCTGGAATTAGATAGTGGTCATGGTTGCGCTACCTTGTAAACATACAAAACAACTGAATTATACACTTTAAAATGGTAAATTTATAGTATATAATTAAATTTCAATTTTAAAAAGTGTACAGATTTAGGTCATGAGCCACACAAAAACATTGCAGCTGGATCTGGCCTGGAGGTTAAAGTTCGCCAGCCTCCCTGTGCTAACACCTAACAGGGAAGATGGCTTTGGGTTTTACATACACACACGCACACACACACTCCACAAATCAGAACATAATCAAAGGCAAAAACTTGAAAGAAGCTGAGACAGGACTGAAAAATTATTTTATAATAATTCAAGTTATAAAAAAAATGGAAAGTTAAAGAACCGTCACACCATCCTGGCCGGTGTGGCTCAGTGGTTGAGCATTGTCCCATGCACCAAAAGGGCACTGGTTCAATTCCCAGTCAGGACACATGCCTGAGTTGTGGGCCTGATGCCCAGTGAGGGGTGTGCAGGAGGCAGCCAATCGATGTTTCTCTCACATCAATGTTTCCTTCTCTCTCTCCCTCTCCCTTCCGCTCTCTAAAATCAATAAACTTTTTTTTAAAAAGCCACCAAACCTATAAAGTTACTCCTCTGAAAGAGAACAACAAAAAAAAAAAACCAGACTGATGGGGAAAATAGTAATATACTAAGCATGACTTTTAAATACCAGTCCTCATTTTGTCATGCCAAAAATCCTTTTTTTTTAATCCTCTCCTGAGGACATTTTTGCATTTATCTTCAGATAGAGCGAGAGGGAGAGAGAGAGAAACATCAATGTGAGAGAGACACATTGAGTGGTTGCCACCCACACGACCCCAACCGGGGCCGGGGATAAACCGCAACCTAGGCACGTGCCCTTAGCAGGAACCGAACCTGGGACTCTCTGGTCCGCAGGCTGACGCTCTAACCGCTGAGCCAAATCGGCCAGGGCAATCCTTTTAAATTTAAATTAATTTAGAAATGCATTTACTGGCACATTACCTGGTGACACTAGCTGTATTAATTCAAACCTGGTTAGGAAGCCTAAAAAAAAAAAGTGAGATTTTAATACTTTAGAAAATTGCCAGAGCTTTTCATTAATTGCTAGGTTTAAAACTGCTATAACATCCTATTTATTTCCCATTTAATTTGAGCAACACCATAGTTAGGGGCACCTAGCCATTTCTGAATTCTCAACAGTGAAATTAAATGAGAATTAAATGTAATAATTATTATATTATTAATAATAAGTGCCATAACAACAATGACTCAGGTATTTCTAGACCCAATACATCAAGGGCATGGAGTGACAATAACTGAGTTATAAATCAGCATTTCACCCCTGAAAAGTATTGATAAACAATGTAGTATTTTCTCTCTTAAAAATATATTGTTAAGTGCTTACAGTTCCTTTTGAATTTGTCTAGTAGGTCTTCCAGTCTTTACCAGAAGCCCCCCACCCCCAATATATACCTCACTTAAGTAACAATAAACCAGCAATTCTCAACCTGTGGGTTGCGACCCCTTTGGGGGGTCAAACAACCCTTTCACAGGGGTTACCTAAGACCATTGGAAAACACATATTTCATAACAGTGGCAAAATTACAGTTATGAAGTAGCAACAAAAATAATTTTATGGTTGGGGTCACCACAACATGAGGAACTGTATTAAAGGGTCGTAGCATTAGGAAGGTTGAAAACCACTGCAATAAACTTTTCATTTCAAACATTCAAAATACAAATGTTATCCATTAACCTATGAAAGTTTATCTTGCTTAAAATAGTATGCTATATGACTATAGAAGTGAAACATAAAATTAACATTTTTAAAATATTTCCTGAGTTCAAAATATATTTAGAAATAGTAGGTCCATGTACAATATCTTCAAGGACAAGAATAAAATTCAAATGTCAAAAGTATTTTAAGCCCAGCTGGTGTGGCTCAGTGAATTGAGCATCAGCCCATGGAGTGAGAGATCCCTGTTGACGCAGCCAATTGATGTTTGTCTCTCATTGATGTTACTATCTCTCTCTCCCTTCCTCTCTATCTAAAAAACAAAATCAGTGAAAAACATATTTTTTAAAAAGTATTTTATTTTATTTTATTTTTTATCCTCCCCCGAGGACATTTTTTCGGTTTTTTGTTGTTGTTCAGATAGAGTGGAAGAGAGAGAGAGAAACATCGACATGAAAGGGACACATCGAATGGTCGCCACCAGTATGACCCAACCAGGGCCAGGGACAAACTGCAACAGAGGCACATGCTCTTAGCGGAAACCGAACCCAGGTCTCCCTGGAACACAGGCCGACGCTCTAACTGCTGAGGCAAACCGGCCAGGGCTAAAAGCAGTATTTTAAAACAGAAATGGTATACTTTTAGTTTTTGTCCATTGAGTATGATGTTAGCTGTAGGTCTTTCATGTATGGCCTTTATTATGTTGAGATATGATCCCTCTATTCCCAAATTGCCGAGCGTTTTTATCAGAAATAGATGCTGGATTTTGTCCAATGCTTTTTCGGCATCTATTAATATAATCATATCTGGAAACAGCCTAAATGTCCATCAGTAGATGAATGAATAAAAAAGCTGTGGTACATATACACAATGGAGTACTATGCAGCTGTAAGAAAGAGAGAGCTCTTATCCTGGAAAGTATCATCCTAAGCAAAACAAGCCAAACAGAGAAAGACAAGTATCATATGATCTCACTTATTTGTGGAATATAATGAACATAACAGTATGAAGAACAAGGTAGTCCCAGAGACATGGAAGTAGGGTACAGACTGACAATCCCCAGAAGACGGGGTGGAGGGGGGAGATAAACCACAAAACTTATATGCATGTATGCATGACCAATGGACATGGACAACAAAGCTGGGGACAGGGTGGAGAAAGAGGGGGAGGAGGGTGTCAATGGGGGAAAAAGGAGAAAGATCTGTAACAAAAATAAATAAATAAATAAATAAATGGTATAAAAATAAAATTAATGAAGATAATCCCCACAAAATGTTAAAACTGAAAACATTTAAAATAAACAATAAGCCCTGGCCAGTGTGGCTTGGTTAGAGTGTGGTTCCGTACAGGGCCATGGGTTTGCTTACTGGTCAGGGCACATACCTAGGTTTCTAGTTCAGTTCCCCATTGGGGCACATACAGGAGGCAACAGATCAATGTTTCTCTCTCACATCGATATTTCTCTGTCTCTCTGTCTCTCTCTCTCCCTTGTTCTCTATAAAAAATCAATGGAAACATGTCCCTGGATGAGGATTTTTTAAAAACCCAGTAGTAGTAATTATGATTAATAATACTATATTATATACAATTGACCCTTAAACAACAGGGATTTTAATTGTGCAAGTCCATTTATATGTGGATTCTTTTCAATAAATAGTCAACCCTTTGTATCTAGGGGTATCGCATCTGGAGTCAAGCAACCATGGATGAAAAACAGTATTTTTGCTTTCCCAACCATGGTTTCCCTACCACTACCACAGATCAAAAATACTGTCTTTTATCTGCATTAACTTATATCCTCAGATGCAAAGGACTGACTCTACAGTAAAAAAGTACAGTGGGATTGTTGACTCCATGGGGGGTTTGCACTCTTAATTTTTTTTTTTATCCTCACCCGAGGACATTTTTTTGTTTTCCATCCAGATAGAGTGGGAGGGAGAGAGAGGAAGAGAGAGAGAAACATCGACATGAAAGGGACACATCGAGTGGCTGCCACCTGCACGACCGACCAGGGCCAGGGACAAACTGCAACCAAGGTATGCACCCTTAGTGGGAACTGAACCCAGGTCTCTCTGGACCGCAGGCTGACACTCTAAGTTGGGAGACACAATCAGCAGAACAACACCCACAGGGAAAATCTGGTAGGCTCCAAAACCCACTGAGACAGCCAAAATGGTGATGCAAAGAAACAAATCCCAAATGAAAGAACAAGAGAATTCTATAGAAGAAAGGGATAAATGAAATGGAATTAAGCAAATTATTAGAGGTAGAGTTCAGAGTAATGATTATGAGAAAGCTCAACAGCATGAGTAAAGATATAGAAATAATAAAAATCAACCAATGGGAAATGAAAAACCACCAAGTGAAAATGAAGAATGACATAGCAGAAATAAAGAACACACTGGAAGATATAACCAGCAAATTAGAGGAAGCCAAGGTTCGGACCAGTGAATTAGAAGACAGGGTAGAAAAATATCACCCAATCAGAGAACTAAAAAGAAAAAACAGAAGGAAAATTTAAGAGAACTATGGGACAACACAAAACATAAAACTATCCGGATCATAAGAGTGCCAGTAGAAGGAAATGAGCAAGGGTTAGAGAATATATTTGAAGAAATAGTGACAGAAAACTTCCCTAACTTGGTGATGGAAAAGGCATACAAGTTCAGGAAGCACAGAGAGTCCCAAAGAAGAACCCAAAGAGGCCCACACCAAGACACACCATAATTAAAATGCCAAAAATCTTAAAGGCAGCAATAAAAAAGCAACAGGTTACCTAAAAATGAGCCCCCATAAGGCTCTCAGCTGATTTCTCAACAGAAACACTACAGGCCAGAAAGGAATGGCATGAAGTATTCAAAGTAATGAAATACAAGGACCTGAATCCAAGACTACTCTATCCAGCAAGGCTATCACTCAAAAAAGAAGGTGAAATGAGCTTCCCAGACCAAAAAAAAAAAAAAAAGGCTAAGGGAATGTATTAGCACCAAACCAGCACTCCAAGAAATGTTAAAAGGACTGCTGTAGCCCACCCACTGTAGATCAGTAGATTGAACGTCATCCCATGGACTGAGAGATCCCGGTTTAATTCCTGGTCAGGGCTGCGGATTTGATCTGATTGATGTTGATATTGATCTCTCATCGATGTTTCTATCTCTCTCTCCCTCTCCCTTTCTCTTTCTCTAAAATCAATAAAAATATATTTGAAAATAAAAAATAAATACAAAAATTAAAAGGACTTCTATAACAAACAGAAGAAATAGGGAGAGAAACATAACCATAATAAATTTAAAAAGCAATAAATAAGTACATATCAATAATAACCTCAAATGTAAATGGATTAAATGCTCTAATTAAAGATACAGTGTAACTGAATGGATAAAAAAGCATGACTCATATATATGCTGTTTACAAGAGACCTATCTCACAACAAAAGACTCACATATGTTGAAAGTGAAGGGATGGAAAAAAATTTGCCAAGCAAATGAAAAGGAAAAAAAAAGCTGAGGTAGCAATACTCATATCTGATAAAATAGACTTCCAAATGAAAGACATAACCAGAAACAAAGAAGGTCACTGTATAATATTGAAAGAATCTATCCAACAGGAGGATATAACCTTGGTAAACGTATATGCACCCAACATAGGAGCACCAAAATATATTTTTAAACTTCTGGAGTACTTCAAAGGAGAAATCAACAGCAATACAATCATAGCAGGGGACTTCAAAACCCCACTGACATCACTGGATAGATCGTCTAGACAAGAAATTAACAAGGAAACAGAGACTGTAAATGATGCACTCGATCAAATAGATTTAATAGATATTTACAGAGAATTATACCCCAAAACTGCAGAATGTACATTCTTCTCAAGTACACATGAGACATTCTCAAAGACAGACCACATGTTAGGACACAAACTAAGTCTCTACAAATTCAAGAAGATTAAAATCATATCAATCATCTTCTCAGATCACAATGGCATGAAATTAGAAATTAATTACAATAAAAACACTCCAAAACATGGGTTAAATAGCATACTACTAAACAATGAATGGGTTACCAAGGAGATAAAGGAAGAAATTAAAAACGTCCTGGAAATCAATGAAAATGTGCACACAACAACACAAACTCTATGGAACACAGCAAAAGCAGTCCTGAGAGGGAAGTTCATAGCATTACAGGCCTACCTCAGAAAACAAGAAAAATGTCTAATTGACTATCTAACTCTACAACTTAAAGAACTAGAAAGTAAACAACAACAACAACAACAACAAAACCCAGGGCAAGTAGAAGGAAAGAAATAGTAACATTCAGAGTGGAAATAAAGGACATAGAGACTAAAAAGCAATTCAGAAGATCAATGAAACCACGAGCTGGTTCTTTGAAAAGATAAACAAGATTGATGAACCCTTAGCCAGACTCACCAAGAAACAAAGAGAGAGGAGCCAAATAAACAAAATCAGAAACAAAAACGGAGAAATAACACCTGGCATTACAAAAATACAAAGGATTGTTTTAAAATACTATGAACAATTATATGCCAACAAATTGGACAATCTATAAGAAATGAAAAAATTTCTAAAATCACACAGTCTCCCAAAACTGAACCGGGAAGAGACAGAGAACTTGAACAGACCAATAACATCTAAGGAAATTGAAGACATAATGAAGAAACTCCCAGCAAACAAAAGCCTGGGCCTGGACAGCTTCATGGGGGAGTTTTACCAAACATTCAAAGAAGAACTAACACCAATTCTCCTCAAACTATTCCAAAAAATTTGAGGAGAAGGAATACTTCCAAACTCTTTTTATGAGGCCAGCATAATTATGATTTGAAAACCAGATAAAGACCCTACAAAGAAAGAAAACTATAGGCCAATATCCCTGGTGAACATAGATGCCAAAATCCTTAACAAAATTTAGCAAATCAGATCCAGCTATACATTAAAAAAAGTATTCACTATGACCAAGAGGGATTCACCCCAGGGATGCAAGGCTGGTACAATATTCACAAATCAATAAATGTGATGCATCACATAAACAAAATGAAAGATAAAAACCATATGCTAATATCAATAGATGCTTAAAAAAGCATTTGACAAAATTCAGCACCCATTTCTGATAAAAATGCTCAGCAATGTGGGAATAGAGAGATCATAACTCAACAAAATAAAGGCCATATATAAAACACCTATAGCCAATATCATATTCAATGGGCAAAAACTAAAAACATTTTCCTTAAGTACAGGAACAAGGCAGGGATGCCCACTTTTGCCACTCTTATTTAACATAGTACTGGAAGTCTAAGCCACAGCAATCAGACAAGAATAAAAAATAAAAGGGATCCCAATTGGAAAAGAGAAAGTGAAACTGTCATTCTTCACCGACCACATGATATTGTACATAGAAAATCCTAAAGACTCAATAAAAAATCTACTAGATTTAATAAATGAATTCGGCAAAGTAACAGGATACAAAATTAACATCCAGAAATTGATGGCATTCTTATAAACCAATAATGAACACTCAGAAAGGGAAACAACAACAACAAAATCCCATTTACCATTGCAACAACAACAATGAAAAAATACCTAGGAATAAACTTCACCAAGGAGGTAAAAGACCTGTTCCCAGAAAACTACAGGACATTGAAAAAAGAAATAGAGGAAGATATAAAAAACTGGAACCATATACCATGTTCATGGATCAGAAAAATCAACATCATTAAAATGTCCATACTACCCAAAGCAATCTACAGATTCAATTAATCCCTATGAAAGTTCCAATGGTATATTTCAAAGATGTAGAACAAATACTCCAAAAGTTTATATGGAACCATAAAAGACCCCGAATAGCCACAGGAATCTTGAAAAGGAAGAACAAAGTGGGAGAGATCACAATACCAGATATCAAGTTGTACTACAAAGCCATCGTAATCAAAACATCCTGGTACTGGCACAAAAACAGACATATAGATCAATGGAACGGAACAGAGAACCCATATATTGACCCAAGACAGTACGCACAATTAATATTCGACAAAGGAGGCAAGAGCAACAATGGAGAAAATACAGTCTCTTCAATAAATGGTGCTGGGAAATTGGACAACTATGCAAAAAAAAAAATGAAACCAGACCACAAACTTACACCATACACAAAAATAAACTCAAAATGGAAAAAATACCGTGAAACCATAAAAATCCTAGAATAAAATGTAGGCAGAAAAATCTCAGACATCATACATGGCAGAATTTTCACTGATACATCGCCTAGAGCAAGAGAAACAAAGGGAAAAAATAATAATAAATGGGACTACATCAAACTAAAAATCTTCTGCATGGCAAAAGAAATCAGCATTAAGCCCTGGCTGGTTTGGCTCAGCGGTTAAAGCGTCGGTCTGCGGTCCAGAGAGGTCCAGGTTCGGTTCCTGCTGGAGGCGTGTACCTTGGTTGCAGTTTGTCCCCGGCCCTGGTTGGGTTGGCAACCACTCAATGTGGCCCTTTCACGTCAATGTTTCTCTCTCTCTCTCTTTCTCTCTTTTCCTCCCACTCTGTCTGAACAAAAAATGGAAAAATGTCCTCGAGAGAGGATTAAAAAAAAATGGAAAGGGAACCCACTTTCTGGGAGAACATATTGGACAACGATATATCGGATAAGGGATTAATATCCAAAATATACAGAGTACTCATACAACTCAAAAAAAGGAAGACAAACAATCCAATTAAAAAATGGGCAAAGGACCTGAATAGACACTTCTCCAAAGAGGACATACAAATGGCCAGGAGACATATGAAAAAATGATCATCTATACATCACTGAGATGTAAATTAAAACAACCATGAGATAGGACCTCACACTTGCCAGAATGGTGGCCATCCACAAATCTTCAAACAAGTGCTGGCGAGAATGTGGAGAAAAGGGTACACAGCTGCTGGGAATGCTAATTGGTGCAGCCACTATGGAAAACAATATGGTGTTTCCTCAAAAAATTAAAAATGGAACTGCCATTTGACACAGTGATTCCACTTCTTGGAATATATCCTAAGAAGCCTGAAACACCAATCAAGAAAATATATGCACACCTATGTTCATACCAGCACTATTTACAATAGCTAAGATCTGTAAACAGCCCAAGTGCCCATCAGTAGACAAGTGGCTAAAAAAGATAAGGTATTTACACAATGAAATACTATGCAGCTGTAAGAAAGAACGATCTCTTATCCTTTTGAGAAGACATGGAGGGACCTGGAGAGTATTATGCTAAGCAAAATAAGCCAGTCAGAGAAAGACAAGTACTACATGATTACACTTATTTGTGGAACATAATGAACAAAATAAGCTGTTGACCAAAAAAGATCCAGAATCATGGAAGTAGGGAACAGACTAACAAACCTCAGAAAGATGGGGGTGGAGGAGAGGTGGGAAGAAATAAACCAAAGAACATATATGCATATATATGCACAACCAATTGACAGGGACATTAGGCTGGGGGAGGCAGGAGGTGGGTGGGACCGGGAAGAAGGGGGGTCAATGAGGAAAAAAGAGGGACATCTGTAATACTTTCAAAAATAAAAAATGTTTTTAAAAAGAAAAAGAACTAAGTTGGAGGACTCACATTTCCTGATTTCAAAACTTACTAAAAAGCTACAAATGATTAAGATTGTGTGATGTTGGCATAATAATCGATATATGGTTTAATGAGATAGAATTGAGAGCCCAAAAATAAACCCTCAAGCCCTGGCCAGTTTGGTTCAGTGGTTAGAGTGTCAGCCCACGGACCAGAGAGACCAGGTTCGGTTCCCACTAAGGGCACGTACTTTGGTTGCAGTTTGTCCCCGGCCTCGGTTGAGGTCATGTAAGTGGCGGCCAGTTGATGTGTCTCTCTTACATCAATGTTTCTCTCTCTCTCTTCCTCCCTCTCTCACTCCCACTCTATCTGAAGATAAATGCAAAAATGTCCTCAGGTGAGGATAAAAATAAATAAACCCTCACATTTATAGTCATTAATTTTCAACTCTTAGAAGAAACACAGACATAAATCTATGTGACTTGACTTAGACAATGGTTTCTTTGTTATAACATCTAAAAGCACAAGTAACAACAACAACAACTAAAAACATAAAATAGAATTCATCAAAATTAAAAACTTCTGCCCTGGCCAGTTTGGCTCAGTGATTAGAGCATGTGGTCTCGGGTTGGATTCCCCATCAAGGGCACCTACCTGGGTTGTAGATTCTATCCCCGGCCCTAGTCGGGGTCGTGCAGGAGGCAACCAGTCGACGTTTGTGTCTCATATCAATGTTTTTCTCTCTCTCTCTCTCTCCCTTTTTCTCCCTCTCCCTCCCTCTCTTCCACTCTATTTAAAAGTCAATGGGAAAAAGTTCTCAGGTAAGGATTAACAACAACAACAACAACAAACATACCTGTACACAAATATTCATAGCAGCATTATTCATTATACCCCCAAATGAAAACAACCCAAATGTCCATCAACTAATGAATGGATAAACAATGTGACATACAATGGAATATTATTTGGTCATAAAAAGAAATGAAGTACTGACACATGGTATCTTGAAAACACCATGCAAAATAAAAGAAATCAATCACAAATGATCACATATTGTACAATTCTATTTATATGAAATATCCAGAATAAACAAATCTAGAGACAGAAAGATTGGTTAGTAGTTGCCTTTGGCTGGGAGAGATGAGGAAGAATGGGTATAGGGTTTCTTTCTGTGGTAATGAAAATATCCTAAAATTGATTATGGTGGTGGTTATACAACTCTGTGAATACACAAAAACCATTTACTTGTAAAAAATAAATAAACAAACAGAATTGTACCTTCTAGTATATCCCATCTACATCTAGAAAAGAGTTTGTAATCTATTAAAAACATGATTCAAAGTTTACAGACTCTCTTGAATATTAATATAGATCAAACATAGAAGTATCAGAACTTAGAAAATAACAGAATTTTATATCTGTGAATTACAGACACACAATAGTCTCTCTCTTTTTTTTCTTTTTTTTTTTTGGAGAGTACCTACTTTCTAAAATGTCTGCTACAGCTCCAGGATCTATAGCATTTTCGAATAACTGCAAGAAAAAAATGAGAAAAATAATTTTTTTAATTTCACTAATATATACTTATAGAAATTATAGATGACATTCTTCTAAGTAATTAACACATATCAAATTCAGCCATATAATATTTTAGGATTCAACAAAAATACTTTTAACAGGTATTTGGTTAAAAGTTCAACAAATAACTATAGAATAAATGAATTCGAATTAGCAAAACAATACCAAGTGCAAGGAAAATCTAATTTAGCTGAATCTAGCACATACTCAAAACGGCATCAACTTGACCTAGTCCTACAGTTTGTTGCTGAAAGCACATCTGGCATCAACCTCAGAATCTTGAGTATCTAAAAAACATTCTGCAATCCACAGATATTCATAAAATGTTAACTGAATGAATGACTTCTCTTGCCAAGGAATTGACTGTGCTAAGAAAAAACACATAAATAAAAATTCTATCTATGTGTAACACAAAAGAAAAGCTAAGTGCTAGTAGCTATACTCCCACAAAATTCAAAAATAACTAGAGAGAGGGAGAGCCTCATAAGTTTTAAGTGTATTATGAAGCACAAGGAAAATACTGTGATATCTGTCTAGCCATAGCCAAATTTGCATATTTCATCCTTGAGATAAAAAAGGGCCTGGGATAGGACTAAAATAAAAGGCATACCACATCCCTCTCCCTGAATTCTAAAACCCTGTTTTAAAAACAAAACAAAACAGAAAAACACCAAAAAAATTTTAGCGGAGTTTGATTTCAGGCATTAAAGTTCTGATTTCTAAGGATTTTCTCAAGTATGATCTTAGGGAGTAAATGACTAATATGAACCGCTCAAACACAATGGCTCATACCTTTTTTTAGGAGTAATGTGTTGTTTATCCAAATGGTTTAGAACATTCAATTCCGAATTACACAGAAGGTCCAAGGAGAAAAGGTTTTCGCTACTTGCTGCAAGTATTTGCATTTAGAGAATGGAACAGACACAACAAATACTTGCAGCAGAGAATGGAACAGATACAACCAAAGCTGGAGCAAAGTGGAAGATGCCTGGAATACGAACCCGAACAGCTCACACAAGAGGATGATATTCAAAAGTTAAAATAAAACATTTAAAAATAAAATAAAGTATTTATTTAATTGAATTTTATAAAATGAAAAATATTGTATGGTATGTTTCACTACTAATCTCATATGCACAGCTTTGCAACAGAGCACCAGTTGGATCTAGAATGTGACTCTGAGGCTCACTCTCAGAGTCAAGGAGGATGGACTAAATGTCATTTACAAATTATCGTTCTGTATTTCTGTGATTTTGTATCTTTGGGCTTCTTACCAAAAAAAAAGATTTTAAAAAATCTATAGAAGCAAATTTAAAATTAACAAAATAAGAAAATTCTTGGAGAAAAAATAAACTGGATTTCTACCACCCACTTTTTATCACTACCAACATCTAAATGGAAGAAGTAGGCTCCTTTGGATTCAAACAGTATGTTCCAAGGTAATATCCATTAGTCAGTTCCTCTTCTCTCTCATCTGTACAGTTTGGTAGACTTTATTTAAATTAACACTGTAGTTTATAAACATAGTACATATAGTTCTAGTCCTTTAAGCAATCAAACCTTATCTCCTCTCCCACTCTCAGGTCAAAACAGGTCATTTTTGGGGCCCAGCATCCACATCTTTAATAGTGATAGGCTCTACCTAGAGCCTTCCCACACACATTCTCTTCCCAAAAAGAACCACCTCAGTGGCATTGTTTGGGGCAAAATCTTCAGACTTGTCAAGGTTCACAATCAGATTGATTCCAGCTTCCAATTCCAAAACAAAAACTTCAAAGGACTGTGATTACATAGTAATAAAATTAGTATTTTAAAGTGGGAAGAAGATTGATAATGTTTTGAATATTTATATCATAACCATAAATAAACCAAGTATGACCTAAGAAAACTCAAGTCTGAGGAGACTTTTTGTTTTGTTATAGGATTTCAGATATAGGATTAAACTAACTTGATTACAGTTTTTCATGATTATTTTTTTTAGTCTAAAAGAGTTTGTTTCCAAGGTCCGTTAGTTTCGTGATTATCCCTGTCAAAATTGTAACGCAACTGCTTCTAACATCTCCAAGAACATTCAGAAAATGCTGTCTCTGCTCTAGTTAGAAAATGTCATGGGAGTTCCCAGAATAGACAACGTCATTGACCAGGGTGGTTAGCACCAGGTTGACAGCACTTGGCTCAGACCTGGGCTGCAAAAGCAAGTCTTCAACTATGGTTCTGCACTGTGCTCAGGTGCCTTCAAGGAAATTTACAAAATAACTTTATAGGAACTGTGTTCTTTATGAGAACCATTAAACGATCTATAGAAAGCAAAGTTTAAATTTCTCTATTTAGCAGTGAGAAAGTTAGGGTCACCTTTTTAAATCTCATTCTCTGCTGAATCATAATAGGGAACACAGAGGGAAAGCAGTCTGTCTCCAGGTACTGATTCAGGAGGTAAACCCCAAGGTACACATCTTGCTTGTCAGGAAGGAACACACCTGGGCAGGAAATCTTAAAAACAAGAAGGGAGAGAGAGAGAGAGAGAGAGAGAGAGAGAGAGAGAGAGAGAGAGAGAGAGAGAGAATAGGTTTGGTTTTAAACGGAGCACTATTTTCCCTAACCAACCACAGGCACTGTCAGATTTCCCTCGGTAGCGCACCCCTTCACACGTACCCCCCTGCCACCCTCCCCTCCCTCCTTCTAATTGGGATTCCAATGGCAGCGCAGTCTCCGCCAGGTGTCACAATCGCCTCCCGCGGTTTCCTCTCCCCGCCCCTCCGGGATGGCAGTGCGGAAGCGGAAGAGGCTGCTGCGCCGGGGAGTCTGTCTGTAGGCCGGCCGGGTTCTGGGATCCAGGCCGCCCGCCGCAATGCCGAGCCCCCGGAGGAACATCGAGGGACGCCCCCTGGTCGCCTCTGCCTCCAGCAGCAGCAGCAGCAGCAGCCCCGGAAGCCCGGCCCATGGCGGCAGCAGCAGGTTCGAGTTCCAGTCCCTGCTGAGCAGCCGCGCGTCGGGCGGGGACCCCACCTGCGCCCGGCTCCGGGTGTCCGACAGCCCGGTGCACCGCCGCGGCTCCTTCCCGCTGGCAGGAGCCGTCCCCTCGCAGGCGCCCCCGCCCCCGCTGCCCGAGGAGGACCGCATGGACTTGAACCCGTCCTTCCTGGGCATCGCCCTGCGCTCCCTGCTGGCCATCGACCTGTGGCTGTCCAAGAAGCTGGGGGTGTGCGCGGGGGAGAGTTCGTCCTGGGGCAGCGTGCGGCCCCTTATGAAGCTGCTGGAGATCTCTGGACACGGCATCCCCTGGCTGCTAGGTACCCTCTACTGCCTGTCCAGGAGCGACAGCTGGGCGGGGCGCGAGGTGCTGATGAACCTGCTCTTTGCCCTGCTTTTGGACCTGCTGCTGGTGGCCCTGCTCAAGGGGCTGGTCCGCAGGCGTCGCCCAGCCCACAACCAGATGGATATGTTTGTCACCCTCTCAGTGGACAAATACTCCTTCCCCTCGGGCCATGCCACCAGGGCTGCTCTGGTGTCACGGTTCATCTTGAACCACCTGGTGCTGGCCATTCCTCTGAGGGTGCTGGTGGTACTGTGGGCCTTCATCTTGGGCCTCTCCAGGGTCATGCTAGGGCGACACAATGTCACCGACGTGGCTTTTGGCTTTTTTTGGGGCTACATGCAGTATAGCATCGTGGACTATTGCTGGCTCTCACCTCACAATGCTCCCCTCCTCTTTGTACTATGGAATTAACAATGACACCAACTCATTCATTATGGCTTTCCACATGCGATCATGGGACATAAACCAGCAGCCATCCTGCTTGATATAAACCAGCAGCCATCCCGCTTGTCCCTCTTAGGACATTTCAGGCTTCCTTTGGGATTTCAGGTGTCCTACCATCTTGGGTCACTGGGTTGGAGCACATGCTGGCCATTACTGACCACAGCCATATCACAGAAAGAAAAAAAAATCCCTCTATTATCCATTCAACAACTGTTTTTATCTCCAGGACAACTGCAAAGAAACCAAGCCGGGGTGATTGTAATGTTGCTGTTTTTTAAAAGTTGACATGAGGGCCTTGCAGGTTTGGCTCAGCGGTTAGAGCATCTGCCCTCAGACTGAAGGTTCAAGGGTTCGACATCAGGAAAACTGTGTTTTGTAGTGATCTTATACGTCAACATATCACTTGTAAATTGAATTTTGAAAAAGAAACAGTATCTTCATTCTGTAAATATACATGCAGATAAGCTGCATATTAATCCTACTTCTTAGTTATTTAAGAGTCTAAGACATAGGTTTTTCTAGTTTATTCACTGAAGATCTGTTGCCACAACTGAGGAGATTTCCTCTTAATCTTGATTTTTCTTGGTAAGCATTTTTAGTTTATTGTCTCTTCCATCTTTATGGACTGGGTAGTGAAAGTTTATAGTACATACCTTTTTCACCTTTACCTCCTCAAAAGATCTTTAAATTGCCCTGGACGGTTTGGCTCAGCGGTTAGAGCATCGGCCTGCGCTCCCGAGAGACCCGGGTTCGGTTCCCACTAGGGGTATGTACCTTGGTTGCAGTTTGTCCCTGGCCCTGGTCGGTCGTGCGGGTGGCGGCCACTCTATGTGTCCCTTTCGCGTCGATGTTTCTCTCTCTCTCTCTCTCCCTCCCACTCTACCTGAACAAAAAATGTCCTCGGGTGAGGATAAAAAAAAAAAGATCTTTAAATTTCCCACTACTCTCTAATATTGTCTTTTAGCATTCAGAGAACAAGCCAAGAACTTACTTGAAGAAACAAAGATGGGCATACCTATAGTTCCCATTAAGAAAAGGAAGGATAGGAGAGTGGCCTTATGCAGAAAAGCTAAGCTGCTGAGGAGGTCAGAGGAAATGTGAGTTTGGGGGTAGGCTAACCACATACTATGTCAATGGACCTGTGTGGCAAGAGATGGGCCCTGCTGCCTGTCATCTCTACTAAGTAAAGAAAAATGCTCCTCTACTGAGTTAATACAATGGGAAAATAATGTGATACTTTGCAATGCAAAAGCACAAGCTTTTTCATATATACCACCAGGATGACCTTGTGTATTATAGTTTTTCATATGGAATTCTGTCTCCCTGTATACAGCACACTTTAGGTAACAGTATTTAATTTGAAATTAATCAGGGGAGTCTGCTGCTATACCAGCCACAAAGTACATCTAACTCCTAAATTTCCATTTACATTGACCTTTACATTTAAAGGAGTTTATCTGTGATGTCTCCCCAAATCACAAGACCAAGACCACCAAATGTAGGTTGGGCTCTACTTATTATTCTTTGACCAGGAAAGACTGAAGGGGTATATAAGCTTTAAATGCTTCTCTACCTGAAAATAAGAACCTTTAAATGACCTATGGAAAGTGTCTTCAGATAATTTTAATGACCAGTTATTTTGACATTTATAAATAAAATGAATTATGGCCTCATATAGAGGTACACATAGGAATCTGGAGAATGGCTGTGACAGGTAGGCTCTGAATGAGTGGAAAGAAACAAACTTTCTGAGTGTGAGAGGCACAATGAAAGAGGAACAGCTACTCTTCAAAATAAAATCTTGCATTCCCACATTATCCTGAACACAGACTACCTCTTCACTTGCTGAATCAGACAAACTGTGAAGCTGTAAGTGGTTTGCTTTATCGTTTAATCTTAGAAAGATCCTTTATTTTAACGGTAGCAATATTCAGGCCAGATATTTGGCAGCATGACATTTCCTCTTGCAGTGTCCAAGTCTGAATATTGGAGGCTCAAAATAAGCCTTGCCTTCTGGTTCCTAGTTATACTTCTGGGATTCCTGGTCTTAGTTGCTGGGACCTACTTTGCTGGCTAAAGCACATATCAATTCACCCTGTTTTTGGAGTATCCTATGTACTGTAGAATAGAAAACTGATTTCACTGTTAATTAATTGTATAATAAGGAATGCCTTTTAAAAATCAAAATAAATTTAACCAATAATGTTGAATGAAATGAGATGAAAACTTGTTTAATTTCTGCCTTGATGAGGAGTAAGACTGATTTATCACTCAGCTTCTCAAGAATTCCTTCACATTACTGCACACTTTGAAAGCTCACAGTTGATAAAGCACAGTTAATATATAGCCTGGTTCTATCTGCTGTCAAAGTGGAACAAATCCTGGAAATTCTGCTCTTTATTTTGTAGCTGCATATATGATGAAACCATTGCATTTGTCACTTGTATAGAGGCTAAGCAGATTTTCCATAGCCATAACCTGCTTGGCATTTTTGCTTGTGATCATGGCCAGGAAAGAAGCCCCTACAGTTTGGAGGTAAAGCTGCATGACAGCCCGTCACTACAGATGGAAAGATTGGAAAATGGCAACTGAAATAAGAGGAATGACTGAGCCCAAACAAAACAGTGGAGTCATTCTGTCACAGCATTTCACTTATGCTAGATTTTGTGGATAATTATAAAATAGTTGTTGGTTGATTGATTTCCCTTTTGGAATTAGCAAGCCAGAACCATCTCTAGAGGAAATAACTTAGAAATATTTGATTGGTTTGTAGAAGTGAGAAATCAGAAAGTGATGTGGCTTTTTGAAGTAAAATTCTAACCTGATTATTTAAAGGAGAAGTTTTTAAAGCCTGTCACAAATGCTTTATCCTGGAAAAGAAAAGAAAATCCTTCTTGGATTTAATGCCAGGTTATTTTAAAAGAACAGAAATTTTCAGGATAAAGCTATGAAATAAGTTGGCTTTAAGAAGGAAAAAAGTGGGAAGAGGTTGAGCTGAATTAAGGGTTAGAAAGTCAGTGAAGACCAGTGTAGAAAATCTTAGGGACAGAGGTACTTATTTGTTCCAAAAGATAATGTCTGTATGGTGAGGTGGGAGTGTGTGGTGAAAACGACGTGGGACCACTTAAGAACCTGGGGAAAGAGTCTGATTTGGGGCAAGGAAGGGGAGGTTGGTTGATCTGTCTTACCGCCCGGATCTGAAGCTCCACCACCACCTCCAGAGGCATCGTTCCTGCGTGGGCAAAAGGACCGGAATGAAAAGATCCTTTTGTGCTGAACCTCGTACCGATCTTTCTTAGTTTAGCTCAATCCCTGGGGCAAATATCCCCAGCAGCTTCCCCAGCCCCCACCCCCTAATACCCCCATCTGTTCCCCAGTGCCCAGGTCCCTCCCACCCGGACGGGTCTCACACAGCCGAAGCGGAACCTAAAGCTTCCAGAAGGCGAAAGCGTCGCGTTGCCATGGAAACTCAAACGCGCAACCTTCCACCCTAGAACTCCGCGAGGTCTGCGGCGCAGGCGTGCGCGTCTCCGGTGCTCCGCTGCGAAAGGCGGTCCCGACGTCGGCCTGCCAGGCTGCGGAGCGAGAGAGGACGGCCAGGTACTGAGGTGGCAGCCGGATCGCGAGATGCTAGGAGCCCTAGTTTCCTTTACACGAAGTGTTTACAGTGTCCACCATAAAATGGAGTGCGATGATAGCCCCGTTATAATCTAAGTGCTACTCATTTTTATATCCGACGCCCCTCCCCCTCAAGCACTGGAATTTCTGTAGATATTCCAGTTCATGTAGTAAGTAGTCTAAAGGTACTCTCTTGCTTATGAAATGCTCTGTCCTCATATTTGGTTGGGAAAACATCAATAAGAAAGTAAACGTGTGCTATTTAGAAATACAAGGATAATTTTTGAAGAGGTTTTAAAGTTAGGTATCCTGCTTTTAGCCACAATGGAAATAAGTCTCTCCTTTTGGGGGTTAGTTAACCCAAGGCAAGCAATAAATTACGTTATCTCCCAATGGGTAACACTGCAGTTGCCAAAAACAGGTTTACACTGCAAAAACCGACAGAGGTGACAGGGCAAGAATTCTTAACCGGTAGGGAAACTTGCATTTTCCCCTCATTCACTGTATTTAACAGATAAAAATGAAGGAAGGGAGGAGGAAGTGGCCGTTTCTTGCCAGTCGGAAAAATCTGGTAGGGCCAATGCTGACTCTTTAAAAAAAATTTAATTATGATGAGTCATTTATTACTACTATTTTGTATTACATATTTATGTAATTGAAAAATGCAAGTGCCAAAAGATGCCTGGAGACAAAAATTAGGTATTCATTTGGTAGTTGGATTGGAAAGGAAAAACTAAGTATGATGAAAAGGGTATATTGTGTCCTTATCCAATCTTTGATGCTCTGTCTACATATCAAGAGGTACACAAGTGGGTGCTTGGCTCCCTACAGTATCCAGAGCACTGATTTGTCAGCTCATAACAGCTTGCTGGCACCCAGACTAGTACAGTGATATATGAGGAATGGACCTGTGCTGACCTTCACAAGTGAGTCACCACCAACACCAACACTAAGACATCAAGGAAAGTTACAATAAAAACAGATGAATAAATAAGTGGTCAAAGACATAATGGGAGGAATCCGTCTTTATTAGAACATGCAAAGTGCTAGGCACATTGCATATGCTAGTTCACTTCATTCCCACAATAACTCTTTGAGGGAAATGTTATTATCCCTATTTCACAGATGCAGAATCTGTACAAGGAGGCCAGACAACCTTTTGTCCAAGGCCACGCAGCTAAAGGGAAGCAGCCACACTTGAATCTAGGCGTGCGCTGCCATGTCACTGACTCTGTAACATAGACATCCTAGAGACACCATGTCCATCGTATGCTCTTCCTAGAATTAACTGGACTCTCCTGGATAAAACGGGACTCCCCTTACTTGGCTCCTAGGACATAGCCCTCTTCTGGTTTCCCTCCAACTCTGGCTGTTCTTTCTCTGACTCTGTTCATCCTCCTCTACCTGCCTAAGCAATGTTCCTAGGTCCTTTTCTCTCATAATACCCTTTTTCTAGGATGTCATCCACTGTATGTGTGGAATAGCATAGGTACACAGATTTACATATCCCACCCAGGCCACTCTCCCTGACAAGGTGACAAGGTGGAATCTCATGATTACAACTATATACACATATATACATAAACATATATACATTTAAATTTACATTAACTGAAACTAAATTTAATTTAAAATTCAGTTCCTCACTTGCACTGGTCACATTTAAAATGTTCAATAGCTACATGTGGCTATTGATGGTGCAAGTAGAATTATTACCATCATTATAGAAACTTCTGAGCAGTGTTGCTCTAGGGCTAACTTCACTTGAAGGAAATCTGAGGGACAGAGAAACATGTTAGTGACACCACAAGGAAGCAAACAGACATATCTAGAATGTGGGACATTTTATAGGACAACTGACCCAATTAGTCTGCAACAAGTCAATGACATTGAAAAACAAAGGAAGGGGGGAGAGGTGCTCTAGATGAAAAGATACTTAAGGGACCTGACAACCAAATGTAATATGTGGACTTTGTTGGGACCCTGATTCAAACAAACTAAATTAAATAGAATATTTGAGACCATCAGAGAAATTTGATTATGGTTTGGGTATTAGCTAATACCAAGTAATTAATTTGGATAGGTATGATAATGTCCTTAAGTTTATATAAGGAAAATATCAACATTGTTTAGAGATACATATTAAGGTGTATATGTAGAAATGATCTAATGTCTAAGATTTCATTTTCAAATATCCTAGGAAATGAATAGAAGGAATGGATAAAGCAAATGTAGCAATAGTTTGATAATTGTTAATCTGGGTGAGGGATATATGGAGTTTACTATGACTCTATACTTTGTGTATCTAAAAATATTCAAAATAACAAATTAAAGATCTTTAACACATACTGAAGAAGAGAAAGCATATCCTTATGTGGACCTCTTCCTATCCTAAAATAGCCCATCTGGAAAATTCTTGGTCGCATCTCTATGAAATTCCCTTCAACAGGAGTCTTATATACACTTAAAGAGAAAAATATGATGGACCTATTCACCTGTAATGCAGATAAGAAAATTATTGTGGTGTAAAATACTTTACAAGTAATTCAGAGGGAAACCTACATAAGGAAAAAAAAAGCAGCACTATATTATAATAGTAGTCTCTACATGAATGTCCAAAACAGGAGCTGGTAATTTGAGTAGTATTTCTTTAAGTATATATACCCCTCTAGAATTCCCCCCAAGTATCAGGAATGCTTCCAAGAAAGGAATTAAATTGCAATTGAACAGTTTTTAACCATCTTTAAGTCATTTGGGATCCAGGCCCACACATAGGATATATTCCATATCCTTCCATTTTAAAGTAACTTCTATTCAGGAAAAACTAATTTGCTCCTTTGAGTTTTCGCTGGCTAGTTCTATGTCCATGGGAGTACTAGGTTAATTATGACCCAAAGCAATTTCCAAGGAATTATATTTATTATCCAATATAAGAAAGTAGAAGAATATGATTTAGTTCTAAGGCTTATAAGAAGAGTCTACCTTACATGAGCACAGGATTTAGGCCCCCAAGTCAGCAATAAATACAATGAGACTTCTAATGTTACTATGTCTACCCTTTCTTCTCCTACCAAAATACACATATTTCCATTCCCTTTTTGCCCTCTTTGGTCTTTATTTAATGCTATACCTTTCTCTGTATCCTTGTTTGCCATTAGTCTCCCCTATTCATCTTTTCGGCACATATTTATTGAGTACCAACTATGTGCTAGGTACTGTTCTGGACAATGGAGGTATAAGAGTGAACAAGAAACAATCTGTGCTCTTGTGGACCTTACATTCCAGTGCAAGAAGAAATATAATAAGTGAACATAAAATAATTACTGTATGAAAAATGCTAAGAAGGAAATACCCAGGGGGTATTACAGGTTACAGGTTGGAGAAGGAATAAGAACCTAATTTAAACCCAGTGGACAGGTCTGCTTCTCTAAGGGAATAACACTTTGATCTAAGATCTAAAAAGGAAAGCATGAGCACTAGCATGTCTTTTAAAGAACTAACAGAAAAGGTAGCCAGGGAAAGGGAACAATAAATGTAAAGAGCGATGGGTCAGGAAAAAAACTGGTGCGTTTGAGGAACTGAAAGAAGGCCACTGAGCATACCAAGAGGGACTTGGGCAGGTGGTACAGGAGGTTAAGAGATGACACTCAAGAATTAGGCTGGCACTGGATATTACAGTAACATAAACAGTTATGACAGACAATGTGATTGAGTACCTAACACCCATAAGCTCTTCTTCTTTGCTAAACTGAACCCAAGTTTTGCTTGGGTGGCATTGGCAAAGCATCTAGCTCCAGGGAATGAATCATCATTATTTCAGGTGAATGATATGTACAGGGAACTCACTGGAATCTTCTGAAAAATATTTTTACAGTAATTTCATTTTAAATAACTCCTATTACTTTTTTCTTAATCCTCACCAAAGGATATGTTTTTCATTGATTCTAGAGAGGGAGGGAGAGTGAGAGAGAGAAACATTGATGTGAGAAAGAAACATCTATCAGTTGCCTCCCACACATGCCCCAACCAGGGATCAAACCTACAGCCTGGGTATGTGCCCTGACTGGGACTCAAACCTGCGCTCCTTTGGTGCAGAGGATGACCCTCCAACCAACTGAGTCACACTGGCCAGAGCTAACTTCTATTACTTTAAACAAAAGCTACAAGTGAATAAAGCTGCTCTTCCCTCCTCTTCCTTTGTGTTTTACCTGCTGTCATATTTTCTCCTGGGACTTTCACTCCTAAACAAAAAGGTTTAGACATAGTGCTTCTCAACTTTTATTTGTAATTATTAAGATATAATAGATACTTATTGGAAATATTCAAACAGCATAATACAGGAAAGCTAAGAATAGAAAGTAAAGATGCTGAGAAACTTTCCTCCCAGCCTTACCCTCCAGGGGTAATCATGAACAATTCTTGTTTACCCTCCAGGAGTTTTATACACGTGTACACACACACACACAGAGTTTTTACCTCAATTGAATAATTCTTTTTCTCTATAGGTATAGATATACACACACACATATAACTAATTTAGCAAGTTGCTTTTTTTTTAAACGCCACATTTTGGACATACTTCTATATCAGCATATGTACATCAATTCTACTCTTTTTGAAGACTGATAATATTCCATTGTAATAACAGGCCATAATTAAGTTCCTCTATAGATGGACAGTTAGATTGTTTAGGCTTTTGTTCTTGCCACACAAAAAGAAAACAACACTGCAGTAAAGGCCTTTGTAGATAAATCATTGCATACTAGTGCAAAAATAACTGCTGGATAATTTCCTGGTAGTGAAATTGCTGAATCAAAGCACTTAATATTCTAATATTGTTAAATTGTTCCCCCTCAAAAGGTTATACAATAATTTCCTCTAACATTTCCTCACATCTTGTCAACACTCTGTACTAACTTCAAAAGTTTGCCAGTCTAATAAAATGAAAAAATGACTTCTTTTTATGAGTCTCTTTAATTATGAGTAGGACAGCAATACTTGATTGTTAAATGTGCACGTTTGGAGGTGGAACTCCCTAGGCTAATCTTAGTTCTTACCTTTAATATGTATGACGTTTGGCATGTTGGGTATAGAGAGAACAAATATTTAGGATTAAAGGAGATATGCAGAAATACAGTAAGCCCTCCCTGTCCATTAGCTATCAGTGGTAACCTTAATTTTTTAAAGAAGTACTTGGGCCCAGCTGGTGTGGCTCGGTGGTTGAGCATCCACACCAAGAGGTTGCTGGCTCATTCCTGGTCAGAGCACATACCCAGGTGTGGGCACAATCCCCAGTGGAGGGCATGCAGGAGGTGGCCAATCGATGTTCTCTCTCATCAATATTTCTCTCTCTCTCTAAAAATCAATAAAGAAAAATTTTTTTTTTTTTAATATTAAAGAAGTGCTTGGTTCAGTACTTCATCTTCGGCGTCTTCCTCCTGGCCAAGTTTCCTATAACTCTTGCTGATTGTGACTTGGAACTGAGAGGAAAAGTGGCTGTGCTTCTCAAAATTCTACCCTCATCCCCGCTTCAGAAATTCTAGTTTACATATCAATGTACAGCAATGAGCTGTGGTTTTTAAACCAGCAAAGGGGACCAACCGACAGCCAGGGCCCAGGCTTGTTTACAGCGCAGGGAACACTCGACAACAAGTATTTAACATCACATGCCATTAGGGGTAAGTTGGCAGCGCTCAACAACCCAGTAGTAAAAAAGGAAGACTCTCGGCCCTGGCTGGTGTGGTTCCGTGGCTAGAGCGTGGGCCTGCGGTCCGAAGGGTTCCAGGTCAAGGGCAGGTACCAGGGTTGCGGGTTTGCTCCCCAGCCCTGTGGGGCGGCAACGCATCCCTGTGTCTCGCATCGATGTTTCTCTCGCGCGCCAGGATTAACAACAAAAGAAGCCTGCCACAGTCCACCACCCCGCGCAGGCGCCGGGATGCACCTCCCACGGCCCGGCCCTCCAAAGCCGGAAGTAACGTCCCAGATCCAGTGCGTCTTTTTCCGCCGGCCTCCGGTGGCAGCGCCCAGCCTAGCGTGAGGCGTGCGTCGGCGTCGCGGCCCGCAGAGGCATTCTGGGTAACGGCCCCGCCGGCTGGGGCGGCGTGCCGGCTCCGCGCAGCAGGTTTCCCCCGCGCCAGGTCCGTTGGTAGTGCGGGTTGTAGGGCCTGGGGCAGACGGACATGGAGCAGCCATGGCCGCCTCCAGGACCTTGGAGCGTCCCTCGGACAGAGGGTGAGGCTGAGGAAGAGAGTGATTTGGACGTGTCTCCCAGTTCTCCCCGCTGCCCACAACTGCCGGGCGGCGGCGCCCAGGTGAGAAGGGGCCCCCTTTCTGCGGGCGGAAGGGGAGGTGCCGTCGCCAGGCTCCCAGAGTCCCCCTTCTCTGCCGACCCTCTTCTGTGCCCTGTTCTGCGCCCCAGCTCACCCGCTGGGGCCGGAGCACTGATGCCACCCCACCGCTACTGTAGCATCTTCTAAAGGCTTCGAAGAGGGGCTGGACATATTTCTAACCTCCGCCTCTACGCACACCTTTTCACCTTGGCCAGTAGTCCCTCACCCTTGGAAGACGTTCCTCCCTCCGCCCCCTCCTGACAGCACCCAGATTGGGGGCAGCTCGTGCTGTGACATTGATGACCCTTTGTCCTCTTGTGCGTGGTTTTATCCGAGCATTTTATTCTGTTGGAGACTCTGATAGTTGTGCATAGTTGGTGATTAGGAACAGTAAATGGTGGTATTTCACCAGTTCACTGAGCTCCTGTTATAAAGGTTTCTGATCCAATTTTACTGATTTGACATCTGAGCCAATTCTTTAAATCTCGATTTTGATGCTGGTGTAAATCCCTTCCATTCGTGTGACCATTTTACCCCTTAGGGTTGTTTTTAGTTTTGCTGCATATCATTCTCCAGTGAAAACACTTGGGCACACGTTTGCCTTTTATTTAAAACTTCTTCCTGACATTCCTGATGCTACTCTTGGTTTTCACCCCAGCATTCCTTTCTCTGAAACTTTAGGATTGTCTAAATGTGATGTGCCATTTAGGATTTTTCTGTGTCCTGTGTATAAGAGAGTGCCTACATACTCTTATCACCTTGCCCTGGTTTTTCCCCTAACCTGGGTGTTTTTAAAGTATATTTCAGGATCACAGACTAAACACTTACATGTTCAGCAAAAGGGACTATATTTCATGCAGAATGGGGTCCCTAGGAGCTTTGCTGAATTAATACAGGTTTTTTCTAGACTCATCTTTCAGGCTGTCAATGAATATGAGTGATTTAAATCGTTTGCTAATAAGCGTAGGGTCATTGATCCTGTGCCCAGCTCTCGGAGTTGGCTTCACACAGAGAAAAATGCTGTTTCATAACACAGACTGTACTTCAGCCAGCCAGTCACTGGGGAAGTGCAAGACATTTTTTAGGACAGAGTGAGAATTGATAGGTCACTACTCACCCACTAATTATGGATCACTGGTGTCATCTTTGTATACAAAGTGTGTTATATAACCACATAATGAATGTGTTACAGAGAAGGGGGAAAAAATAATGAACAGCAGCTGCCATCATCAATTCTGAGGGTATATGGAGAGAATAGAAGAATTTTAGTGCATTGTGGTTGAATCACAAGAGTAACCTAAAATAAACTTAATTTTTAAAATAACTGTATATTTTTTCTTGTACACTTGGTATTATAAGCTTATATAGCTGAAAGGGATTTTAGAAGTGAATGGGCTTATCTCCTTCATTAAAAATTATTTCCCTGAGACCATGTAGCTAGGTAGTAGCAGAATTAAAACCAAAACCCACTTCTGATTCCTAGTGCAGTGTCCCTCCCTCCCCTCCCTCTCTCCCCCACCCCCCTCCCTACTGCAGTGCCCATCTTGTGATGTAATGTAAAATTTTTTTTGGCTGAAACTACCTTTGAAAGGTGTTACAATTTATAAAGTGATTACTAATCCTAAATTAGTTTATGTGTTTATAACCTACTTATTTGTGTTACTGGCTTAAAGACTTAAATTTTGGATTGAAATATTTGGAAAGAATAAGATGTTTACAAATAGAATTAAACATGTTATAATCTTTATAAAATAGCTTTGGTTTAATTTTATGGAATACAGGGAATCTAGACATCTTAATGTTATATGTGATGTATAATTCTGAAATTCAATTAATGTTAAAGCAGTTTGGAATTTAGAGATAAAGTTACATTAGTAGACCTTAATGTTAACAGTTAGTTTTTCAGATTTAGGTTTATTAAAGTTATGTTCATTGTCCCTTTAAAAATCTCAATATGTTCATAGATAAAATATGACTTCTTATTTAATCATTTCAATACGTGTTGCATAGTTTGCTCAAATGGCCAAACGTCTGTGTAGTCTGTGTAGAAAAATTTAAAAAGAAATCATTTTTAGAATTTGGAGATAAGATTTATGTGTTTAAGAAATTACTTAAGCATTTGAGATCTTGCTCCCCAGCATATGTTGTCAGTTTGGTTCAAATAAAAACTTAACAAAAATTTTTAAAAAGAGAGAAAAAGAAAAGAAACGACTGCAGAATTTGCTCCCATATAATTTGAAAATGCAAGATCTGTTGGCACATATCTTCTTCCTTAGTGTATCTTTGTCTTTTCTTACAATATAAATTTTATAGCTTAACTTTTCTCCTTTTCTTAGCTCCTTAAAGCATAGCTAGGCTACACTTATTCTTGATTCTATTCTAAGATAGCAAAAAAATCAAATAAAAATAAGTACTTGGTTAGAGTCATGTGGTGCCTGGGCTCCAAACCTGCTAAATAATTAACTAAAACATCTGAATAACAACAGTGTCCACATTTGCCCCAATAGAAATCCAAGTTTGCCTGAAGAGCTATCTGGAAGGTAGGGGCCTTGCATGCTACTTGCCTCAGAATTCTTTACCACCAGTAGTCTGTTCCATGAAGTGGAGAGTCATTTATTCATCTAAGATTTTTTGAGTTCTAGCTCCTAAAGAAGCTGAGAGTTGAGTAAACAAACCAGTATTGTATGGAAACACCGTTATAGACGTTTGCATAACTTCGGTGAAGAGGGAAGAGATAAAAAAAAATTTAGGGATGTGATGCCAGAATCTGGAATGAAGAATAGGAGTTTGGTGGGGGGGTGAGGAGAGAGGGTCTCACATTGAAGGGATGGATGGAATGAATAAGCAAACAAGTAGAAGAGTAACTAGAACTGAATCCAGAGAGATAATAGAGAGTGAGATCATGAGGGACAATGCCATGTCTCAGAGTTTCCACTTTTCCCCAAGACTTTAAGAATGAGTAAAATTATCAGATTTAGTTTTTGGAGAGATCACTCCAAGTCTAGCAGAGTAGAGCATGGTTTGAGATGAGAAGGGGTGTATTAATATAATTAAGGGCATGAATACTGATGCAGATAAGGGAACAGACTAGAATAAAATTCTGAATTTTTAGTTTGTAATTGATCTACATTTTGGTTAAGAAATCATAAAGAATGTACCTTTAACCTTTGTTTTATACAACTGAGGAATATAAAACATCCATCACATGTAGTGTTCAGTAAACATTAAAGTTAATTACTATTGCTTCTGAGTGGAACAGAATCTCCAGGGTGGACCAGTTGACTTTTTAATACCTTTACCTGTTTTGATTAGAATTAAGTTAAAGGGTATCTATTTGATATAGTCAGTTATAAAATGAAATTGCCAATAAGAACTTTTCAGATTGCCAAAATTGGGATAACACAGGAAAAAAGTAGAAACCAAGAAATAATTACTTTTATTATTATTATTATTATTTATTATAATTACTAACCCTCACCTGAGGATATTTTTTCATTGATTTCTAGAGAGCATGAAAGGGAGGGAGGGAAGGAGAAAGAATCATCGATGTGAGAGAGATACATCAATTGGTTGCCTCCTGCATGCCCCGACTGGGGCAGGGTTCAAACCTGCAACCCAGGTACATGCCCTTGACCAGGAATCAAACCCGAGATCCTTGGGTCCTCGGGCTGATGCTCTAACTGTTGAGCCAAACTGGCCAGGGTGAGAAATAATTACTTTTAAATAAAAGGTTCTTTGCAGTGAATAACTTGCAGAGCAAAATTCTAAAGGTCTTGTTTTCAGCATGTTGAGTGATAAGGTGATGAATTAGATTTAAGCTTTTGTTCTTATTCTGCTTTTTCAGATGATAAAGACTATAAATTAGCCCTGGCCAGTTTGGTTCAGCGGTTAGAGCATTGGTCTGCGGTCCGCAGAGACCCGGGTTCAGTTCCTGCTAAGGGCGTGTACCTCGGTTGCAGTTTGTCCTTGGCCCTGGGTGGGTCGTGTGGGTGGCAGCCACCCAATGTGTCCCTTTCACGTCAATGTTTCTCTCTCTTTGTCTCCCTCTTTCTCCCCTCCCACTCTATCTGAACAAAAAATGGAAAGATGTCCTTGGGTGAGGATAAAAAAAAAAAAAAGACTATAAATTAGATGTTTATTGAACACCAGCTCTATGCAGGACACTGTGCTAGTTGCTAGGCTTTTTGTTGCTGGTACTTGTTGGGGGAGGGGGCACAGATTAACAAAGAAGTTTAGTTTAGAGTCTAGTTGATGAAACAAGGCCTATAATATAAAAATGTGACTGCATACACAGAATGTAGGATACTTATGCACCAAAAGCATTGTACAGAAATTCTTGACTAAAAGAAACTTGAATTGTGCTGTGTAAACATACCCAATGCCTTCTTCATTTCTTACAAAGATTATTTTTCATCCAGATGTATAGCCATGGAATTGAAATGGCTTGCCAAAAGCAGAAAGAGTTTGTGAAGAGCTCTGTGGCGTGCAAATGGAATCTCGCTGAAGCTCAGCAGAAACTTGGTAGCTTAGCACTGCATAACTCTGAGTCCTTGGATCAGGAACATGCCAAAGCACAAACAGCTGTATCAGAACTGAGGCAACGTGAAGAAGAATGGCGGCAGAAAGAAGAGGCCCTAGTACAAAGAGAGAGAATGTGTCTGTGGAATGTGGATACCATTAGCAAGGATGTTTTTAATAAGGTATGACCTTTTTTTGCACCATAATGAAAGAAGAAAAAAAATCAAGTTTTGTACAAACCGTTGTGCTTATTTGGTAGCAAAGCATCAGAATCTTGTAAACAGTATTAATTTTTGACAGTTTCTGAAAAGTGCTTGTTAGGGAAACCTGTATCCCCAGTAGTGTCTAATGTGGGTAGTTTTTAATACAAATGTATGGCTGCAACATAGCACACTGAATAAAAGTGTGGGCTCTGAAATCAAACTGCCTCAAATCTTAGTTTTATCACATACTTGTTGTGACCTTGGGCAAGTCACTTAACATCTCTAAGCCTCAGTTTCCTCAACTTTATGGGGTTGGAATGAAGACTAAATAAGGTAATGTCTTAAAGCAGGTGGCATGGGGCCTGTTATGTAGTAAAGCTAAGATTTTATGAGCGTTTTCTAATGTTTCTGTGTTACCAGCTTTGCTATTAGGTTTTTTAAAATTAATTAATTAGTTTATTTGTTTATTTTAATCTTCACCCAAGGACATTTTTGCATTTATCTTCAGATAGAGCAGGAGGGAGAGATGGGGGAAGAGAGAGAAACATTGATATGACAGAGACACATCAACTGGTTGCCACTCACACGACCCCAACTGGGGCCGGGGACAGACGGCAACTGAGGTACGTGCCCTTAGTGGGAACCAAACCCAGGATTCTCTGGTCCGCGGGCCGAAGTTGTAACCGTTGAGCCAAACTGGCTAGGTCTTGCTATTAGTTTTGTAACACTAATGTATAGTGAAAATACAGTTTTTCACTGTTATTTACCAGTGTGTATTTAGTAAATCTCAGGTAATAGTCTGAACTTGATACTACATGCATTATTAGTGAAAGGACTAGTATAGTATTTATGCCAAGTTAGTAGTTTATTAAGCAGTTTTCTGTTTCTTATTGGATTATATTGGTCTTATTTGGTTTTTATATGTGAAGTAGATATGGGCAATGAACTTCAGTCATTTTTAACTAATGTGTAAAGTAGTACTTCTTTCTGTTTGTATTAACCTCTTTAAGCTTCAGGGATAGACTGCTCATTCTTGCCTAAGTCCACATTCTCTTTATCTCTTTTTTTAAATTATTTAATCCTCACCCGACGATATGTTTTCCATTGATTTTTAGAGAGAGTGGAAGGGAGGGGGAGAGAGAGAGAGACATCAATGTCAGAGAGACACATCAATTGGTTGCCTCCCACACATGCCCCGACCAGGGTGAGGGATCAAACCTACAATTCAGGTATGTGCCCTTGACTGGAAATGGAACCCTTGACCATTTGATTCATGAGCTGATAATGCTGTAACCACTAAGACACACCTGCCAGGGCCACATTCCCTTTATTTTGAACCATTATTAATCTCTAGACTTCTTCGTCTGTAGCTACTTGTTTCTGTTCTGGTATTCACTCTTAACCCACCCTTTTAAGAACTCTTAATTTGCCCTGGCCAGTTTGGTTCAGTGGTTAGAGCGTCGGCCTGCGGTCCGGAGAGACCCGGGTTCGGTTCCCGCTAAGGGCACGTATTTCGGTTGCAGTTTGTCCCCGGCCCTGGTTGGTCGTGCGGGTGGCAGCCACGCGATGTGTCCCTTCACATCGATGTTTCTCTCTCTCTCTCTCCCTTCCTCTCTCTCCCTCCCACTCTATCTGTACAAAAAATGGAAAAATATCCTCGGGTGAGGATAAAAGAAAAAAAAAAAAGAACTCTTAATTTCCTTCCCCTACACCAGCTCTAGTTCTGCTACAGCAATACGTAAGTAATACACATAGGTAAATGACACCACTAGCCCTATAAGTACTCTCTTCTTTTTTTTTTTAATACCTTTGATTGATTTTTTTTTTTTAGAGAGGAAGGGAGAGAGAGAGAGAGAGAGAGAAACATGGATATGAGAGAGAAACATCAATCAGCTGCCTCCTGCACATCCCCCACTGGGGATCGAGCCCGCAACCTGGGCATGTGCCCTGACAGGGAATTGAACCACGATCTCTCAGTCCATGGGACGATGCTCAGTCCACTGAACCACACTGGTCGGGCAAGTACTCTAGTCTTTTTTTATTTTTTTAAATGAACAAATTTTCCCTTTTTTTTTCTTCTTTATTGATTTTTGAGAGAGAGGAAGGGAGAGGAGGAGACAGATAGAAACATCAATCAATGAGAGAGAACACTGACTGGCCGCCTCCTGCATGCCCCCCACTGGGGATCAGGCCCACAACCTGGGCATGTGCCCTGACTGGGAATCAAACCTGCAACCTCTTGGTGCATGGGTCGACGCTCAACCACTGAGCCACACTGGTTGGGCAGTACTCTAGTTTTTAATTGTGAAAATTATAAGTTCAACAACATTCTTATTATACAAAAACACATAAATTTGAAAATAGAATGGAAAGACTTCCTTCACTACCATTTCCCAGAGATAATACAGTTAATGGTGAGTCATATCTTTCTAGACTTTTTCTGCGCTTTTACCAATTTATATGTTTTTCCTCCCCTACAACGGGATCACTCTTTATTTGAATGTTTTGCTATGTCAGTATATATTGTTCGTAGGGGCTGTGTCTTCTTAAGTGTTGTTTTATTTCTGGTTTGCATTTATACCCTAAAACTATTCAAAATACTTTTCTTCTTCCAGAGCAAATGGTCAAAACAATGTTTTTTTGTTTTATAAAGTTAACATCTCTTAATACAGTGGTCACAAAGAATATATTTTCATTTGTCTCTCCTTTTAATTGTTTTTTTAAACTTAGGTTCTAACAAGGCCTACATTTATACCACACATTAATTAGGACTATCTTTATGTTCTAGTCATTTGCTCAAAATCGTACTTGGTTTTGTCTGGGAGCTTGAGACTTAAGAGGACTGGTCTAGATCTGCGCTGTCCAACTCGATAGCCCCTAGCCACATGTGCTATTGAGAGCTTGAAATGTGGCTAGTCCGAATTGAGATGTGCTGTAAGTGTAAAATAAAATACACACCAGATTCCAATGACTTAGTACCCAAAAAAGTAAAATATTTCATTAGTAATTTTTTTGTATTGTTTACCTGTTGAAATATGTTGAATATGTTGGGTTAAATTAATATGTAATTAATTTGTTTCTTTATGCTTTTTAATGTGGCTAATAGAAAACTTTTAAATTATATTTGTGACTTGGATTATATTTCTGCTGGACAGTGCTGGTCTAGATAACAGACTATAAAAAATGCTTTTATTTTGAAATATATAAACTTGTATGTTTTTTTATTGTAAACTGGCAGAGAGCAAGTTTGCAGTTTTTATTTTTGGCAGTGATAATCTCAAGATTTAAATGTGATCACAGAATGTTCTGAGAAATTGTTCTGCCATATTTTTCTGGCCAAATACAAACTTCATCTTGGTCTGTTTTATGACTTATTTAATTAAAAATGAGCACTTTCTTAATAGAAATTTGTACTTGATTTCAGAATCAAACAGTTTGGTTTCTTCTGAGAAAAGTTTACAACACAGGTCTATTTTAGGTTTATGTCTTATCAGGTAACTTATAGTAAATATATTTTATTCTCTATATGCTTTGAATTTCTGAATTTATATCCAGTAGGAATGCCGAAGATTAGTCTAGAGCAGTGATATCAATGGCAAGAAGTTTTTTTTTTAATCTTCACCTGAGGATACTTTTATCTTTAGACAGAGTGGAAGAGAGAGGGAGAGAAAGAAACATCAATGTGAGAGATGCACATCGACTGGTTGCCTCCCACACGACCCCTAGCAGGGCCGGTACTGAACCACAGCTGAGATATGTGCCCCTGACCAGAATTGAACCCACAACTCTGATCCGTGGGGACGCTCTATTGCTGAGCCATGGCCAGGGCAATGGCAAGAATTTTTAAAACATGCATTACCTTACTGGTCGGGTCCCTGGCCTCATTTCCTTCACATTGTCAAAAAAATGACAACAGCCAAAGCATCAATAGCTGTGCAGTGTGAATGCCCTGTTTTGAGCCATAAATATATGTAATAGAGTTATATCTTACTGGCCACATCACATAATGAGGTTGTGTCTGATTGGTTAGTTTTTGGTACCAGAAATCCTTATATACAAGTATAGGCACCTGATTTTTTTTTTTTTTTATCCTCACCCGAGGACATTCTTCCATCTTTTGTTCAGATAGAGCAGGAGGGAGAGACAGGAAGAGAGAGAGAGAGAGAAACATTGATGTGAAAGGGACGCATCGACTGGTTGCCACCCTCAAGACCCCAACCAAGGCTGAGGAAAAACTGCAACTGAGGTACATGCCCTTAGCGGGAACCGAACCCGGGTCTCTCTGGACCGCAGGCCAGTGCTCTAACCGCTGAGCCAAACCGGCCAGGGCAGGCACCTGATTTTTCAAAGAGTTACTTTGAAGCAAAATGGGTAGCTAATTACTATTTTTATTAATTTTTTTGTAAATCAATAGAAATTATACTTTCTTTGTCAGATTGGCAAAAAAATATATTTTTTGGAGTGCCACAGAATTTTAGTATTTTATGTATGCCATGAGATGAAAAAAGTTGAAAATTGCTGATCTGCAGCTGCAAATACTTAATGGAAATGAATAATGCAAAACACAAATGAAGCGTGTAAAGGGTCTTTCTATACCTGCCTTTGATTGGGAAATTTAGTTTAACCAAAAGATTAATTCGTTTGTTTTTCTGTATAAATTCTAAAGTAATTCTATAATTTTCCACACATCTATCATTTTAAATAAAACTAATGAAACTCCAGTATAAGTAAATTTTAATTGCTTAAATAAAGTTTAACAGATGAATTTAATGATATAATATCAGTATGATAATATACCACCTTTTTATAGTGTCTATAGGAAGGATTGCTAGACATTTAGTATCTGAGAAAGAGTCAATTAGAATATAAAATCTGATTTTAACTTCAAAAATTTTTTTAGAGTTTTATTAATCAAGATAAAGGAAAAGAAAAGGAAGATGAAGATAAATCAGAATCATTTATGCAGAAATATGAGCAAAAAATAAGACATTTTGGTAAGTTTACTGTTTGAATTTTCTTCTTCTGTAACATTTGATATAAATATGTGTGCAAAAAGTATAAAATGTGAACCAAAAAGAAGGTAAGTGACAAACTGCACATGTGTAGCTATTTCTGGCAGTTGTACAACTTGTTTCAGATGTTTTGATGTGTGTGGGGTTAATAGACATATACTGACAGAATAAACCAAATTGTGAAGAGCAGCAAATGTCATCTATTATTATACAATACTGCCCTCTAAGATACAGTTTTTATTTACTCCACATCCTCTTTCCATTTCCCAGCTAGTCTTTGCTTTGTCTTTTTTCCTCTTTGCTGCCTTGGTATCTGGTTATCATATGGTTACAGGATTAGCTTTCATTTTTTCCCCCCAGGTTTTAGATATGATATGCTATATAATTCACGCAGATCTTTGAATTGTTATTCAGATAAATATAATAATAGAAATATGTATGCAAAGAACTGAAAAATAGTTTTCTCTATAAGGGAAAAGTGGTGAGATAGGGATTAATGTAAGTGAAGGCTTCCCAGAGGAGGTGACATCTGAACTGGATTATGAGGGACATGTAGGAGTTTCCCGTGTAGATAAGGAAGGCATAGCAACAGCATATGCAAAAGCAGAGTTGGGAAACAGCATATAGTGTTCTAGATTTATAAGCAGTAATACTGCTGAAGTGGAAATGCTACTAGGAAGTGTAAGGAGTTAAGGTTCAAGTCATATTTTTTTGATCCCAAGTAATATCTTAACTTAGTAAACATTGTTTTTATTTGTAGTATGTTAATAAGACTTTTTAAAAATATGTCTTTATTGATTTTTGGAGAGGGAAAGAAAAATAGAAACATCAATGAGAGAGAAATATCGATCGGCTGCCTCCTGCACAACCCCCCACGGGGGATCTTGCCTGCAACTTGGGCATGTGTCCTGACTGGGAGTTGAACTGGTGACCTCATGGTTCGTGGGTCATTGCTCAACCACTGAGCCACATCAGCTGGACTGTTAATAAGATTTTTACATGGCATTTTGGAATCTTTTTCCTATTGATGTTTCCCCCACAAAGTACTTAGAATTTCATTCATCTTTGGTTGTGTCGTGACAATAGGTACTATTAGATTTTTTCCTTCTTTTTATGCAGTTCATTCATAAAATATTCATTTTCTCATACTTTTTATTTTTTTAAAAAGTAAGCTGTATATTCTATTTAATTAAAAAATAGTATGTGAGTCTGGCCAGTGTGGCTTAGGGGATTGAGCGTTGTCCCATGGACTGAGGGGTCTTGGTTTGATTCCCCATCAGGACACATGCCCAGGTTTCAGGCTCGATCCCCAGTATGGGGTGTGCAGGAGGCAGCTGATCAATGTATCTCTCTCACATCGATGTTTCTCTCTCTCTCTCTCTCTCTCCCCCCCTAAAAAAATAAAAAATAAAAATAATAGTATCTGAAGAAAAGGATAAACAGTTCTCTCTTGGATAGATATTAAAATCTTTAAATGAGTAGAGGCCTGAGTCATAAGGATAAAAAGCAAAATTTTTGTGAGTCTTAGTTGTAATAATGTGAGTTGTCACTCTCACCTCCAGTTCTCTCTTCCTAGGCCTATGTGTTCTGCTGTAGGAAAAAGAGTACCATATATTGGTTGCTCTTTTAGTGCATAGCTGCATCTGGTAGAATAGCATGTCTCAAGGTGTTGTCACCCAGCTGGCATACAATAGACAAGTTGCTTTGGAGCCATGTGAAACCAGTGGGCATAAAACGGTTTCCTCACTTTTGCTGTAAATTTGGTCAGAAGTAATTTTATGTGGGAAAATATCTCAGTCTCACAAGGTGTAATAACCACCCCCTGGCATTATAACTGCATGAGTCTTTGGTAAACCATTCCACATTTAATAAACCTGGTGTTTCTGGGTAGTGATGTTCATAATACCAGTGAATTTCATGAGCCCATTGTCTTCATTTCTTTTGCTAGGTCAATAAATAATGTGATATGGGAAATAAGTAATTTAGTAAGACCACAAATGTATTACTGGTAGAAGTATGGCAAGGAGAGAAGGCAATACCAGATCTAGAATGGGCTTGTTCAAGCGAGAAACCACTGGTCCCTCCAAGATGAAATGGGACCAAAATAATCACCAGTTGCTTGATGGTTGGCTGGTCTCTCTAGCGTATAGTGCCATATTGAGGTTTCAGCACTGGTTTCTGCTACTGGTAAATTAGGTGTTCAGTGGCTATCCTGGAATATTGATGGGGAGATGCCATACTGTTTGAATCTCTGCATAATCTCAAGTCTGCCATCATGACCCCTTAGTTTATAAAATAGTATGCAATCAGTGAGATGGCTGAGGATAATGGCTATTGTAAATCCACAAATGATTAATAAACATTTGTTTTGCCATTGTATATGTGGGCTTCCAGTGTCTCATCCTGTAATACTGGCCAGAGCCATACTATCTTCAGAGCCAACCAAACCTTATAGTCACTCCCAGATTCACATTGTGCCTGTTTCTTAGTGGAAATACACATTGACTTTTCACTTTGGAGGAGATAGCCTGTTTGCTTGCTACAGCCCATTGAATCTCCCAGAAGTGTTACTAAGGTTGTAGGCTCCCAAAATTTCCTGTGTTTTATTTCCAACTTTCTGGCATGTTTATCTCTTACCAAGACATCTGGGATACCTGCTACTTCCTGTTCACCAAGTTCCATTGTGTGAAGTAGACCAACTTACAGTCATGTGGGATGATACAATAATCAAAGTACCCGTAAGCTAAATCACAGCACAGAGTTGATTGAGACCTGAGACAAGACAGTGAAAGTTTAATGCTGTCCCTGCTGGGTGGAAGCAAATGTTTCTGATGTTGTGATAAAGGAAAAAAGCAATTGCCAGAATAATGACATTGATAATACTCCTTTGAAGTAAACATATCTGGAATAGCAACTATGATTAAAGCTTCCAACTGGAGGTTTTCTAAACTTGCAACATTCCAGACTCTTGGAACACATGGGCCTGGTACATGGAGGCTTCCACACCAATTCTTCTCTGTGGTCTCATGTGTACTTAGATTCTTCAGAATTCTTCCTAACTTTCCCCAGTAGTATTTGTTGACTTTCTTCTGTTGCTTTTACCATTATAACTAGATGGAATTTGCCATCTGATGATAAATGGTATAATATCATGGAGTATTGTGAAGCACTAAAATCTTTATTATTCCCCTTCTACATTTGTATTTAATTTATTTAGTTGATTCATGTTTTATAAATATAAAATAACAATTTAGAAACAAAGTCTGTTTTCTAAGTTTTATTCAAAATCATATGCATCTTTCTTTTACACTGTCTTTATGATCAACAGAGCTGGTTTTTGGTGACCTAACACAGTTTTCCATGGCACATCATCTGTTCACTTCCAGCCAAACATAGCTATGATTCAGCAATATTTGAATCAGTATAGGATGTTGTCACTGGAATTGTATCAAAAGCTGTAAATAAAAAAAGAAAAAGGAAAAAGCTACAAGCATTTGCATGAATACTGATGGGGTCTTTTTCAGTTACACTGAAGGTGGATATTCAGTTTATTCAATATAATCAGTTATATATTGCTTTCAAACACATCAATATCCTATTTTTTAAAAATATTTAATATATAGTATTCTTTTTGTTGTTAATCCTCACCCAAAGATATTTTTCCCATTGCTTTTTAGAGGGAGTGAAAGGAAGGGAGGGAGGGAGGGAGGGAGGGAGGGGAGAGAGACAGACAGACAGACATCGATTGATGTGAAAGAGACACATTGATTGATTATTTCTTGCACGTGCCCCAACTGGAGCTGGGGATTGAACCTGCAGCCTAGGTATGTACCCTAAAGTACTCTTGAATAGAATGAAGTGAAATGAGTAGAAAATGAATATGGAGGATATGATTTTAATTTTTTTTTATTTTTATTTTTTAGGTCATTAAAGCCCAGCCTGTGTGGCTCAGTGGATTGAGTGTTGTCCCATGGACTGAGGGGTCCTGGTTCAATTCCCAGCCAGGGCACATACCTGGGTTTCTGGCACGATCCCCAGTAGGGGGCATGCAGGAGGTGGCCAATCAATGTTTCTCTCTCACATCGATGTTTCTATCTCCCTTCCTCTCTCTCTCTAAAAAATCAATAAAAACATTTTTTAAAAAGTCATTAAAAAAATAAGCCCAGGAAGAAATACATAAAAATGTTAATATTAATTATCTCTTATAGAATTGCAGATGATTTTTATTTCCTGGATTTTTCAGATTCTTCACAATAAATATACTTTATATAATCTGAAAAAGAAATATTTAGAAGGGTTTATACTAAGAATTCAAGGATGGCTTAACATTAGAAAACTTACTAATATGATTCATCATATTATCAGATTATAGTATGACCACAAGATTTAGTGATCAGTTTGATGGATGAGGAATGGAAATGTCAGGAATTTCTAGAATGCTTAATTGGGTAACGGAGCCTAGGAATTAGGAAGCAGTGTAGATGGCAGAGAGAGAAGAATGGGTTTGGTTTCAAATAAGAGTTTGTGTGCGGGCGTGTAGGTAGAAAAATTGTGTGGTGATAGGTGATTGGGAATAAAGGAGATCTGGGGCTCAGGATATAGAAAAAAAGGTTATATATCTTTCATTAAGAAATTTACAACCTAGTTGGGGGACTTTTAGCACAGAGAGAAATTAAGATAATGAGTATAATTTAAAGGATTAAAATCTATCATTTTTATTATGAGTATAATGCAAAAAGGAAAGGGAAATAATCAAGATTGTATATTTTGGGAACATGTTAAGAATCAGATGGAATATTGAAAGCTGATGGATGGATTGGGATTTTGATGTTCATCAGGAAAATTTAAAGGTGAAATTAATTATTTTTAATTGTTTTAATTTGTCAAAGGTTTTTCAGGTATTCAGAGAAGGTGGTTGGCAAGTTTAAATGAATAGATTCTTCTTTTTTTTAATTTTTTTTTTTTCCTTTATTGATTTTAGAGAGAGAGGAAGTGAGAGGGAGAGAGAGGAAACATCCATGAGAGAGAACATCGATTGGCTGCCTCCTGCATGCCCCCCACTGGGGATCAGGCCCACAACCTGGGCATGTATCCTGACTGGGAATCGAACTGGCGACCCCTTGGTGCATGGGTTGATGCTCAACCACTGAGCCACCAGGCTGGACGAATAGATTATTCTAACCAAAGGATTAACTTACTATTTGATGAATGAGTGAATGAGGGAATGAATTTTCATATTGTATAAATAATACCTAACAAGTGTTTATTCTCTGTCAGACACTGTTTTAAGTACTCTGTATGTATTGACTAATTTAATCCTCACAAAAATCCTGAGTTAGATACTATTTTTAGCCCTGTTTTACATATGAGAAAGTGGAGACATAGAAGTGTAAAGGAACTTGCCCAAGGTGTAGTAAATGGCCAGTACTTGAACTGAGGCAGGTTAGCTTTAGATTGTTTTCTTAGCCATCATGCTAGATTGTGTTACTCTCCATTTGTTTGTTTATATGTTTGTTTATAAATTCCAAGATAACATTAGCACTTTCAGGTATGTTCTGTTCCACTGAGCCATTGATCCCATTGATATATTTGTTCATAAAATTACACACTCTTCCCACAAAGGTCTGCATGGAATACCTGTAACTTCTCAATTTTATAATAATTTGGGTTTTTTTTGTTTTTTTTTCTTTAATTGATTTTAAAGTGAGAGGGAGAGAGAGAGAGAAACATCGATGAAAGAGAACATCGATTGGCCGCCTCCTACATGCTCTCCAATGGGGATCGGGCCCCACAACCTGGGCATGTATCATGAATGGGAATCAAATTGGTGACCCCTTGATGCATGGGTCGACGCTCAACCACTGAGCCACACCGGCTGGACATTATATACTTTTTAAATCAAGTCATAGCAAGTATTCCTCAGATAAAGAAAAGCTACGGTCAACCTCAAATGTTAATTTTGTCTCAGGTATTAAATACTTTTTTAAAATTAACATTTAATGGTACCCTGCAAGTGCCACTAGCCCTTTCATATTATCTTTCCTGCAAAAGAAACCAAAATGGATAGGATTTTGGTGCCTTAGTGAATCACGATGTTGCCATGGAGAAGTAAACAGGAGAAGCAATGCTCTTTATATGGGTAGTAGACAGAGTTGAAAATATTGCTTCTTCAGAAATGTCACAAAACTAAGGCAAAACCGCTTTATAGAATTTATTTTATGGCTTCAGGTATAAGAAATAAGGATTATGCTTTCTTTAGATCTGATCCTCAGAAGTTACTAGGCTCTTTAATTACAGTTTGAGAAGTAGTTTCAAGTTACTTCCATAATCATTCTTTTCAGAATTTAAAATGACCTAATCACTATATCCAAAGTGTTGGGAGAAAATCTTTATAAAGCTTGTAAAACTCTTCATAAGAAAATGCTAAAATGCTTTTTTTAATGTATTTTTTAAATTAGGACAAATTAATCCCTTTTTTCAATTGATTTCCATGTTGCTGAAGATGTATTTCTCAGTAAGACATATGTCCTCAGTTTTGTTCTTTCTTGTGTTCTAATATGGGACATTAATATATAAAAGTTCGTTTTACGTCTAGAGGAAAGATTTACTGCCAAACTATGAAGATATCCTTATAAAATTTTTATGATAATTCAGTAATATCCAGTCTTCCTTGGATGAGTCTAAAGTGCCTGGACAAAGTTAAATAAAAGCTCAACGCTTTGCTGATTTCATATCATTTGGGTGGTATTGACTTTTTGAATAAATTTCTTACTAATTTGGATGAGGATGAAGATATACCTTAAGTAGTGTTTGGATTAGTTTGATATTTTGAGGTGGAGTAGCAGCCATTTGCAAATATTCTCAACTAGTTTTTAAAATTTTTGTTCGCTGTGTATATAAACAGCATGACTGGATGGGTAAAATGGTTAAAGTGTGTTGTTTTTATAACACTGACCAGATTGATTTCCCATACTGTAAACATTTTACCATATCATCTTAGACATTTTTAAATAAATTAGAACGTAGCTTTTCTGAACTTTCTACTAAGTCTTTGTTTGCTAAGTGTAGTTTCTTGAGGTTTTGCTGTTTTTTGCATCTTTCCAATAGAAAAAAATTGTATTATATGACTCAGTAATGTTGAGTCCCTTAAAGTCTTCTGTATTCACTAGGATGAGCAGCCATCTCAATTTGCCTTAGACTTTGGGCATGCTCCTGATACAGGATTTTGGCTTAAACCAGTTACACTGCTTAAGCCTGACTAATTATCTGAAATAAAACTTTCTGTGAATTTTGGAAGCTATTTCAAATATACTGCATATTACTTTAAAAGAATTTTATCCGGCCATGGCTGGTTTTGCTCGGCGGTTAGAGCTTCAGCCCGTGGACCAATGAGTTGCGGGTTCAATTCTAGTCAAAGGCATGTACCTCAGTTGCGGTTTGTCCCCGGCCCTGGTCGGGTCGTGCAGGAGGCAACCAGTTGATGTGGCTCTATCACATCGATGTTTCTGTCTGTCTCTTTCCCTCCCTCCTTCCTACTCTATCTGATAATAAGAAAAATATCTTCGGGTGAGGAATAAAAAAAAAAAAGAATTTTATCCCTCTTCATTTGCTCTTTTACCATAACATATTGCTGTGGTAATATGAATTGTCTTAAAAGAGAATCATTTAAAAATATCATTTCTTTGCTTAAAGAAGAAAATATTTGAGCCCTGGCCGGTTTGGCTCAGCGGTTAGAGCGTCGGCCTGCGGTCCAGAGAGACCGGGTTCGGTTCCCGCTAAGGGTGCGTACCTCAGTTGCAGTTTGTCCCCAGCCCTGGTTGGTTGTGCAGGTGGCAGCCACTTGATGTGTCCCTTTCACATCGATGTCTCTCTATCTTCCTCTCTCTCCCTCCCGCTCTATCTGAACAAAAAATGGAAAAATGTCCTCGGGTGAGGATAAAAAGAAGAAGAAAATATTTGATATTCATGGTTTTAATCTTTTTTTACAGGTATGTTGAGTCGATGGGATGATAGTCAGAGATTTTTGTCTGACCATCCATACCTTGTATGTGAAGAAACTGCTAAATATCTTATTTTATGGTGTTTTCATCTAGAAGCTGAACAGGTATTGTGGGAACCTCGGTGGAATTCTGATACACTTTTTTTTTTTTCTCTTTTACATTACTTGAAATGAAAATAGGAGGGTCATTAAATTGAATTACACTTTTTTTGTTGTTTTCAGATGTACTTGAGTTTATTGTGGGAATGTTTTTTAGTTATTGCAGTTAGCACATGGAAACTTTTTCTAGTGTGCCTTCCCTGTGCCCTCATCTGTCTTGTTCCCATATGCTACAAGCCTTATGAATTATATTGCCAGAGGTATTTCTTAACATTTTAATCTATTTATTTTCAGAAAGGGGCTCTAATGGAGCAAATAGCACACCAAGCTGTTGTAATGCAGTTTATTATGGAAATGGCCAAAAACTGTAATGTGGATCCAAGAGGATGTTTTCGTTTATTTTTCCAGAAAGCCAAAGTAAGTAGCTGTGGTATTATTAAATACCAAGTTAGGCCTTAGCTGAGACCTCTTGGTCCATACACATCAAAGCAAGCCATTCAGCCAGGATGCCTCAGGCAAATTCTGTAGATGTATAGTGAAAAGAAAAATTATATTGCTGATTTCATGCTAATTTTGACATAAGGGGTCTATATAAGAGGCTATACTATAACATATATGTGAAATTGAGACCTGTTCAAATAAATGTATGCAGGAAAATTAGAGTGTTCCATCGTTCATTCAATAAATATTGAGTAACCATTAATGCAAAAGCCAGCTGTTTAAGATACTGAGGATATAGTGTAGAATGAAACAGATACAGATAAATCCATGTTTAGAACTTAACACTTAATGAAATGTCAGACTTTTATAATGAAAAATAGTAAACAACTTAAAAAATTTAAAGAGCCATGGCTAAAAATAAACAAACTGTGGTACATAGAATATTATGCAGCCACTAAAATTATATTTTGAAGAATTTTTAATCTGACATAGTGCTTTGCTATAAAGTCAAAAGAAGTGACACATATTTATATATACAAGGTGATGTTGGCCATGTTAAAGAAAAATGGGTATGTCTAGAAAGAGTAGTACCATTTCACACTTGCTAGATTAGTAAATTAGCAAGTTGTACAAAAAGTAAAGCAATAAGAATTTGCATTCACTGCCTGTGGAAGTATAAATTGCTAGCTACAATCACTTTGGAACTTTTTCTTGTAAACTTGAACAAATATTAATAGTTCAAAAACAGCCCTGGCCAGTTCGCCTCAGCGGTTAGAGCGTCGGCCTGTGGTCCGGAGAGACCTGGGTTCGGTTCCCGCTAAGGGCACGTACTTTGGTTGCAGTTTGTCCCCGGCCCTGGATGGTCGTGCGGGTGGCAGCCACTCGATGCGTCCCTTCACGTCGATGTTTCTCTCTCTCTCTCCCTTCCACTCTATCTGTACAAAAAATGGAAAAATATCCTCGGGTGAGGATAAAAAATAAAAATAAAAAAATAAAAAAATATAAAAGTTCAAAAACAAGCAGAACTAAACAATATATTGTTAAGGTACATGTATATAAGCAGTAAAACTGAAGAGACAAAGGAGTAAGGAAGACAATAATGGTAACCTCAGGGAGAGAGGGGGAATGCCTTTTAGGAACTGATTATAAATGATTTCTATTTTCTTTTTCAATGAACATATTTCCTTTTATAAATAGAGGACAACATTGTATTTTAATTAAAAAGAATATATCAGGGTAGTAGTAGTCCTACTTTAAATGCTCTAAACTCTTCTAAAGTGTAAACTAAATAGGAAATTTTTCTGAAACAGTAGTTTTAATGAATAAATGATTGAGTTGGTATTTTAGCTAGGTTTCTGATGACTATTTTAAAATTTAACTTAACATATAGGCAATAAAAAAATACATGCTTTTTCATCTTACATTAATGGCGATGTTTGAACTAGTACTTAATGGGATAACGAAGCATTGCCACACTGTATGTATTCTTTGACATTTACGTTGACAAAATTGAACTGAAAGGCACTGAAGTGTTTAGATCTTAACATTATGTTCATAATAATAATTTTTTAAAGTTAAAAAATTGGTTGCTTACTGTGTGCCAAGTACTATTATAAATACTTTTCATGAATTAACTCATTAAATCCATATAACATTTTATGAGGATTATTCTTTTTTACAAGTGAGGAAATTAGCATAGAAGAATTAAACAAGTGACCCATAGGTTACTTAATAAAACAAAAATCAGTCAAGTCTCTCTAGATCTCAATCCCTAGGCCTTAGGCATGCAATAAGACCAGCAAATGTACCACTTGGTTCCTTTAATAGTTTACTGCATAACCATTCCAGAAAGATTATTTTGGAATATGAACACTAACATTCTGTATGTGCACATGAGTACCATATATTGTCCAAAGTGAAATGCTGTAATACACTTAAAGGAATGATTCTAAATTTGTAAAAAGATAGAAAGGCAGCATAGAACATTGTCTGCATTATTTGTATAGATTCTGATGCTAATAACTAATCCAAATGTTTTAATCTAGTTACACAACCTAAAACTACATTAAAGAAAAAATAGCATTGCAGACAAATGGGCCAGTGATGTTAAGGAATGATACTTGAAAAAATCTCTTCCACCACTTGAACTTAAAACCCATTTTCTGTTAGTGTAGGATCTGTGCTGTGTCATTCTTGATCTGCAAAGGAAACATTTATAAATGGAGGTTACTGCCAGTAGACTGTTTTGTATTGGGAATTTTGCTTATGTTGTACATCATTAGAGAAGAGTTCTACCTCATCATAACTCATTGGACTTTTCTCTTTCCATAATGTTGACAAGAAGGTACTTGCTTAAGTAAAACACTAAGATATTTCCATAATGAAACTGAACATTGAGTTTTATTTGGTTTTCATGGCTTTTACAGATAGGGAATACAGAATCAGAGAATCACTAGAAACAGGTAATAGTGTCCCCTCATTAATTGGTGGAGAATTAAAAAGTTTTTAAGAATACTCATTGGTTGTTGCTTGGCAATGGGAAGAGAAGAAGGTGAGAGGATAAATGAGGACTATTTTTAAAGCTATCAAGAATTCAGATAAATCAAGAGAAAAACAGAAAAAGCCTACTTTTGTTATATTTGTGTATGTTTATTAACTTGTTTATAAAACAAGAAGTTTTCACAAATCTAACAGGGAACTTGGTAGTTTCTACATTTAAACTATTCACCTCATCTTTACTTCCTCTATTTCAGACCTGATACATGCTTGTTAGAATTTACTGTGTGGTCTGGAAGTCTTCAAAGACAGTCTTGTGTTCTGTGTTTTCTAGGCAGAGGAAGAAGGTTATTTTGAAGCATTCAAAAATGAACTTGAAGCTTTCAAGTCAAGAGTTAGACTTTATTCTCAATCACCAAGTTTTCAACCTATGACAGTTCAGAATCATGTTCTCCATTCTGGTGTTGGATCTATAGGTTTATTAGAATCATTACCACAGGTAAGTTGGAAAAGCAGATGTTTATTTATAAATGTATAGTTTGCATAATTTTTGTTATTTTGGACTATTTCTTCTTATATGTAATATATGTGTGGCCATTTTAAATATTCTTGCCTCAGAAAATAACTCTTGAGTTTCATTTTATGCCATGTTTTGGCATTAAATCTCTTCTATCTCATAGGTATTTAGAGAGACACCAAATTCCACTCCTTTAAATATAGAAGAGATTGCCCTGGCTGGTTTAGCTCAGCAGTTGGAGCATCGGCCCAAGGATCAAAAAGTTTCGGGTTCAATTCCTGTCAAGGGCACCTACCTCATTGCAGTTAGGTCCCAGGCCCTGGTCAGAGTCCTGCGGGAGGCAGCTTATCTATGTGTCTCGCTCACATGATGTTTCTCCCCCTCCCCCCTTATCTGAAGATAAATGGAAAAATATCCTCAGGTGAGGATTATTTAAAAGACCAAAAACAGCCCAGCTGGAGTGGCTCAGTGGTTGAGCTTTGACCCATGCACCAAGAGGTTACTAGTTCAATTCCCAATCAGAGCACATGCTCAGGTTGTAGGGCAAAGCCCCAGTGGGAGGCATGCAGGTGGCAGCCAATCAGTGTTCTCTCTCATCAATGTTTCTCTCCCCCCTTTCCCTTCCTCTCTCTCTCAAATCAATAAAGAAAGAAAAAAAACCCACACACACTGGAGGGAGGGAGAGAAGGAAGGAAAAAGAAAAGAAAAATATTGATCATCTCAATCATAAACTTCTTAAGATAGTTCTGAGGAACCTCTTATTCTGAGTAGATCTATACTGTTTAAGAATTTTTCTTTCTTTATTATTATTTTGTTGTTAATCCTCACCTGAGGATATTTTTCCTTTGATATTTAGATAGGGCGGGAGGGAGAGGGAGAAAAAGAAACAGAGAGAGAGAAACATTGGCTGCCTCCTGCACAACCTGGGCCAGGGATCAAACCTGCAACCCAAGTAGTGCCCTTGACCAGGAATCAAACCTGCAAACCTTTGGTCCGCGAGCTAATGCTCTAACTGCTGAGCCAGACCAGCCAGGGCCATTTAAGCATTTATTAAAGTGAATTACCTTCTCCCGGCTGGTGTGGCTCAGTGGATTCAGCATTGTTCCATTCACCAAGAGGTCACTGGTTCTATTCCTGGTCAGGGCATGTGCCCAGGTTGTGGGCTTGATCCCCAGTGTGGGGGGTGCAGGAGGCAGCCAGTGGATGTTCTCTCTCATTGGTGCTATCTCTCTCCCTCTCGCTACCTTTCTATCTAAAAATCAATAAAAACATATTTAAAAAGAAGAAAAAGTGAATTAGCTTCAAAGCATATGTCCAATTGGCAACTGAGGTGATCTGTTGCATGAGTTTATTTAGCGTATCTAATTGGTGGTGGTGTCTACCAGAAGTAACATTTTTAGTCCACATTAATATAGTGTGTGCAAAGCTGTTCTTCCTGGTAATATTGGCCAACTGTTTGAGCCTCTTTGAAGTCAGCTGTTAGATCAAGATAAAACTATGTCATTAACATGAAGGAATTTATGTCAAAAAGAAGAGGAGGTTAGACTGTTGGTCTGCCTGATAACTACTTAGGATTATGATTTTAAGTTATCATGAAAAAGTTGCAGCCCATTTTGATTTTAGTAGCGTTTTAATTGAGCCCAGTAATCTCTCATTTCCAGGCCTCAAGATATTAAGGCCAGCTTTCGCTTAAAGTTTAGTCTGTTGCCTACACAGTGAAAAGGGAAAGCTCCTTCAGAAGACAGTGAGAGGAGAACCCTGTGTTTCTTTTTAAATCTCATAAGGCAGGAATTGAGATTTTCAGTATCTTGACCTTACAGTTTTATCATTTCAGTTGTCATGTGTATTGTAAACCAGAGGGACAATTTAGGAAAGCAATTGGTCATTTTTCAGTCAGCCAAAAATCTTATTCTGAAGGATGGAAATAATCTGGTCTTTTAAATTTTTTTTATCTATTTTAGAGAGAGAGGAAGGGAGAGATAGAAACATTGATGAGAGAGAACATCGATTGGCTGCCTCCTGCACACACCCCACTGAGGGTCAAACCCACAACCTGGGCATGTGCCCTGACCAGGAATCAAACCGGCAACTTCTTGGTGCACAGGTCAGTGCTCAACCACTGAGCCACACCAGCTGGGCTGGTCTGACTTTTAAATAATTAATCCTATAGTCAGACATGTAAGTACCATTCGCCCTCAATTTGTCCCACAGATTATTTCTTACTGCTGTTTAAAATGATGATTTTCTTTTCAGTTCCTTGAGAAATAGCCCACAGGGAACTAGTCTTTCTAAGGTAATTTTATGACTAAATCACTACAAATCCAGTAAATAAACCTAAAATTAGGAAGTTACATAATTGCCCTGGCCAGTTTTGCTCAGTGGTTAGAGCATTGGCCCATGGATCTAAGGGTCATGGGTTCGGTTCCTGGTCAAGGGCATGCCCCTCAGTTGCAGGTTTGATCCCCAGCTCTGAACAAGGAGACAACCAATGGATGTGTCTCTCCATTGATGTTTCTCTCTCTCTCACCTTCCCCCTCCCACTCTATATAAAGAAAAATCAATGGAAATATATGCTCCGGTGAAGATTTAAAAAAAAAGATGTCATATAATGAATGCAAAGGAAAACTTTTTTGAAGAATATCATTGATTCTAACTAACATAAGAAGGAACTATGCATATTAAACCATCATGAGATTATGCCCTGGCCGGTTTGGCTCAGCAGTTAGAGCGTCAGCCTGCGGTCCAGAGAGACCCGGGTTCGGTTCCCGCTAAGGGCACGTACTTCGGTTGCAGTTTGTCCCCGGCCCTGGTTGGTCATGCGGGTGGCAACCACTCAATGTGTCCCTTTCACATCGATGTTTCTCTCTCTCTCTCTCTCTCCCTCTCTCCCTCTCTCCCTCTCTCCCTCTCTCCCTCTCTCCCTCTCTCCCTCTCTCCCTCTCTCCCTCTCTCCCCCTCCCATTCTATCTGAACAAAAAAAGAAAAATGTCCTCGGATGAGGATTAAAAAAAAAACAAAACATCATGAGATTATATTATCAAAAAGTTGCTTCTGATTTGAGAAATTCTTGTTCTGTGTATCAGATAGCAACTGAGATCTGCTAGGCATCCTTGCAGTCATTTTGGTGGAGGACCTGGGGTTATATAATTTTGACAGTCTTGAAATACAGATATTACTAGGGTTGTTTAGACTTAATTCATTTGGGCTAACAGATCATTCCCTCATCATGAAAGAAGAGCATCCTGGTTAATCCCCCTGAGGGAGAGAAGGTCTGGATAAGATTCAGCTAGGTGCACAGGAGTGTCAGCTGGTTGAGGGAAATATGAGATGAGAGGCAACCTGAAGGACTAAGTTGTCAACTGAGGCGATTTGGAAGAAAAGCCTAACATAATAATAACATTTCACTTGTATTATATCAGCTTATAGATTGCAAAACACTACTGTGTGTTGTATCATTTAATCTCAAAAGCCCTGTAATTCCTTTTGATTTATATTATGGATGAATAAATGGAAGTTTGTGGAGGTTAGGCAGTTTGCCTGAAGTCAATACAATAAGTGATGGAGCTAATGTTCTAATTTTGGATTTCTATCCTACTTTACTGCTCATTCATCTATACCATACACTGTTGTTGAATCATTTACAAGAAATAGGACAAGATACTCAGTCATGTCTCTTGGGAAGAACTCGTCACTGGGATGAGGAATGTGTTGAGAATGTTATTAGATGAGAATATGGGGTAATCAGTGGAATTTGAGTATAGATATGGTTAGGTATATTGATTACTCTTTTTTTTTTTTTAAGTCTCTTCATGATGACATCTTACAGTTCTTAGGAAGATGGGTTAGGTGAGTTCTGGAGAATCTCCTTGGCCAACTCTGTCATGGAAAACTGGAGCCTGGTCTTAATAGAGATTTCTATTCTGAAGAACATTAGAATTGGATCTTAGCTTTCTGGGTATTTTTGGAGAATGGGATGATGGAATGAGAGTATTAATTTTTTTTTTCTTTTTTTTTTTTTTTTTTAATCCTTATCTGAGGACATTTTTGCATTTATCTTCAGACAGAGTGGGAAGGAGAGAGAAACGTCACCGTGAGAGACACATCGAGTGATTGCCATCCACACGACCCTGACTGGGGTCAGGGACAAACTGCAACCAAGTTACATGCCCTTAGCGGGAACCGAACCCGAGTCTCCCTGGTCTGTGGGCCAACATTCCAACCACTGAGCCAAACCGGCCAGGGCATTAATAATTTTTTATAAAATTTATATTTGGGTAACGCTGACTTTTAATTTCTTTTTTGAATTGACAACAATCTTGAGAAATAAGTTAAATATCGCCCTGGCCAGTTTGGCTCAGTGGTTGGAGCGTCGGCCTGCGGTCCGGAGAGACCGGGTTCGGTTCCCGCTAAGGGCACGTACTTTGGTTGCAGTTTGTCCCCGGCCCTGGTTGGTCGTGCGGGTGGCAGCCACTCGATGTGTCCCTTCACATCAATGTTTCTCTCTCTCTCTCCCTTCCTCTCTCTCCCTCCCACTCTATCTGTACAAAAAATGGAAAAATATCCTCGGGTGAGGATAAAAATAAAATAAAAATAATAAGTTAAATATCATTATATTTAGGGGTTTTTTCCTATATAATTTTTTTCTTTATTGATTTTTTTATTTATTTTATTTTTTTAATTTTTAATTTTATTTTTGTTACAGATGTTTCTCCTTTTTTACCCCATTGACACCCTCCTCCCCATCCCCCCGCCCTGTTCCCCTCCCTGTTGTCCATATCCATTGGTTATGCATACATGCATATAAGTTCTGTGGTTTATCTCTTCCCTCCCCCCACCACCCCCTCTTCTGAGGGTTGTCAGTCTGTACTCTACTTCCATGTTTCTGGGTCTACCCTATTTCTCAGACTGTTATGTTCATTATATTCCATATATAAGTGAGATCATGTGGTATTTGTCTTTTTCTGCTTGGCTTGTTTCACTTAGGATAATACTTTCCAGGTCCCTCCATGTCGTCTCAAAGGATAAGAGAGCTTTCTTTCTTACAGCTACATAATACTCCATTGTGTATATGTACCACAGCTTTTTTATCCATTCGTCCACTGATGGACACTTGGGCTGATTCCAGATCTTAGCTATTGTAAATAGTGCTGCTATGAACATGGGGGTACATATATTCTTTCTGATTGGTGTTTCAGGCTTCTTAGGGTATATTCCTAGAAGTGGAATCACTGGGTCAAATGGAAGTTCAATTTTTAATTTTTAATTTTTTGAGGTAACACCATATTGTTTTCCATAGTGGCTGCACCAGTCTGCATTCCCACCAGCAGTGTACTAGAGTCCCCTTTTCTCCACACCCTCGCCAACACTTGTTGTTTTATATTTAGTTTTGAGAAAACTAAACCTAGGCCTCTTGATAAAGGCAATAGTAAGAATTAACTATAGGTTTATCCTATATGCTAACTGTTAATTCTATTAAGTTGTGATCAATTATTTTCTCTTTGAGGTTTGCATTATACTAAGTGGTAGAGACAGGATTTGAACTGAGGTCCAATGTTATATTAGTGTCACAGATCTGTCAGTTGTTTGTGCCACTTCCTTAATAAAGAACATGCCCAGCTGTTGTGGCTTAATGGCTGAGCATCGACCCATACACCAAGAGGTTGCTGGTTCAATTCCCAGTCAGGGCATATGTTCAGGTTGTGGGCCCGATCCCCAGTGGGAGACATACAGGAGACCACCAATGAATATTCTCTCTAATCAATGTTTCTGTCTCTTCCTCTCCCTTCCTTTCTCTCTAAAATCAATAAAGGAAAAAAAATTTTTAAAAAAAGACAATGGACATAGACAAAAATGCTGGGGCGGGGTTGGGGGTCAGGATAGGGAGGAGGGTGTCTGGGGTGGGAGAAACATCTGTAACAAAAATAATAAAAATTGAAAGAAAAAGACACCAGACTGGAAGTAATTCAACCTCTGGCTAGCTTTTGAATCACAAAGTACTGAATTTTTATTTAGAGGATCTTTTTTTAAAATACGTTATTATTGCCCTGGCTGGTTTGGCTCAGCAGTTGGAGCGTCGGCCTGCGGTCTGGAGAGACCCGGGTTTGGTTCCAGCTAAGGGCACGTACCTCAGTTGCAGTTTGTCCCCGGCCCTGGTTGGTTGTGCGGGTGGCAGCCACTCGATGTGTCCCTTTCACGTCGATGTTTCTCTCTCTCTCTTCCTCTCTCTCCCTCCCACTCTGTCTGAACAAAAAATGGAAAAATGTCCTCGGGTGAGGATAAAAAATAAATAAAATATGTTATTGATTTTTTTTTTTTTTTTTTTTTTTTTAGAGGAGGGGAGAGAGAAAAACCTCAATGTGAGAGAGAAACATTGATCAGCTGCCTCCTGCACGCCCCCTACTGGGAATCGAAACCTGGACAGGTGCCCTGACTAGGAATTGAACCGAGACCTCTCAGTCCATGGGACAATGCTCACTGAGCCACACTGGCCGAACAATTTAGAGGATCTTTTTTTTTTTTAATCCTCACCCGAGGACATTTTTTGCATTTATCTTCAGATAGAGCAGGAGGGAGAGAGGGAAGAAGAGAGAGAGAGAAACATCAAGACACATTGACTGGTTGCCACCCATACAACCCAATCAGGGCCAGGGACAAACCGCAACCAAAGTACATGCCCTTGCGGGAACCGAACCCAGGTCTCTGGTTCGCAGGCCAACGCTCTAACCGCTGAACCAAACCGGCCAGGGCTAGAGGATCTTTTGAAAACCCTGCCTCCTTATGAGATAGGGAGGTTTGAGATACCTAACCCCTGTTTGGACTATTTTCCTCACTGCTGTTTATTAAATAAAACTAGATGGTACAGTAGTAAAACTCTAAGTAGATGGCAGATATTCAGAACAATTGAGGAGAGAAGTTGAATTCTTAGGGAAGAATTTTCCAAAGTCCTAGATGTTAAGGGCTTATGTCCTTTATTCATGGTGCTTTAACAAATAATTATTTTATTTTTGCATTTACTGAATAAAGTTTTCTGTTCCTAGTTTTAGAAATGGACAAATAGCACATTTATGAGTTCTTCTGTATAAAAAATAAAACCTAAATTAAACTGTCCTTTTATTCTCAATTTTTGAAATATGGTCTGAGTACCTCTCAAAAGATTAAGGATTTCTCACTTGAGTTTGTTTTAACTTTTGAGAGACCAAAATAAACTCTGAAGATAGCTATAATTTTTACTCAGTAAATAGATTTTCCTTATTCAAGTGTTGCGTTTTTAGTATTTACTTTTATAATTAGATAATAATCTTCAAAATACATTTCTGACTTAAAGCCATGTTTATATTTTAAATTATCAATAGCTACATATAATTACATGGAAGATGTAGCCTTGTATGATTACATAATTAAAATTAACACTGTTTTATTAAAAGGAGAAAAAAGATAGTACTTATTACATTTGTATTTTTCATATCTTTCTGTCTTTATCACATCTCTTTCAATTAAGTGGTAATAGTCTATTTTTCTGTCTCTCTATCTTGAGTTTCTATTCAAGTCCAACTTCAAAGTCCATCTTCTTTCTTACTCTCCTACCCTGCAGAGAAATAAAGAATGTGAAACTGGATGTGTAGTTGCATATAATGGCATAAAACTAGCTATCATCCTTTGTTTCTTCCCTGTGCTTTTTTTTCAGAATCCAGATTATCTTCAGTATTCTATCAATACAGCTCTCTGCAGTTTAAACTCAGTGGTACATAAAGAAGATGATGAACCCAAAATGATGGACACTGTATAATTGGGTTAAGGCTGCTGAGGCCAAGTACTATTTTGTTACAAGAAAAGAAGAACTTGGCTATTTTCTTGACACTTTTATGGGTGCTGCACTTTATTTTTGTTCGGTTTATGATGGGAGGGGGAAAAAGAGTACTGAAATGTTTTGTAAAAAAAATTTTTAAGTGCTGCTAGATTTTTTTTTTCCTCTGAAGAGAGGAGTGGTACCATATGTTGCAAGAAGTCAAACTGGACTGTTTTATTTGCTACTAAATTGGCCTTTAATCTTATTGTTCTCAATTTTGGAATCAAAGTATGAAAATCTGCACAAATGCAATGTTTACAAGAACTGGTTGATTCTAGGAAGCATCTGCTACAGTCTCTTTTTATATGGATGTATACATGCCCTACTCTACAAAAATGATTAAAGATAAAAATGTCCTGTATCCTGCTAATTTAGCTGTCAAATCTGGTGTTTTATCATATTAAAAGCAATAAATCAGTAGTTGATAATCTACTTTACTAAATAAGCTGGGTGATGCAAGTTAAAACAAAGCCTTTCCTCTTAATATTACATTTGTATTTTCGGCACCATCAGTTAAAGTCTTGACTGACCCCTTAAGTATTCTCAAAACTATTCCTTAGAAGTTGATTTTACCCTGTTTACTTTTTAATAGTAAGGGATATAGTGATTTAAAAAGTGATAAAGCTAATATAGAGGTGTTTGTTTTTTTAATAAGACCAACTTCAAATTCACTCTTAATTTCTTTACTTGACATAGTCTTGGATCTCTCAGGGAACAAGTTTTAAAAGAATACTAATGGCCTGTAAGAACAAACAGGAAGAATAATCTGATTTTTAAAATTAGGTTTATTTGTTTGTTTCACTCTGATGTAGACCAAGGACTTTTTTAAAAGGCAAGAGGAAATCTTGTAACTAACTGCCTCAAGCTGCCAACTACTTCTAAGAAATTGGTATTCCCTATTGGCAATGATGGCTTCTACTGCATATGTCATTTCTCTCTGTAGCTCATTTACCACAGAATGTGCTGAGCTTCACTACTTCCTATATAATTCACTTCAACTATGCCAGGATATTTGATGATTCACTTTAATTGGAATTAGATGACAGTACTAATTATGCTGTCCTTATTATTTGAGGATTAATCTTTTGACTTATAGGAACATGAGCTTTGATTTGTATTTGGTATAGCCTTTGGTTCAGTCCCATTGAGACTGGTAGCGAACATATGAAAGATGACTAATTGGGATTAGGTATACATGTCTCAACTTGAAAAAATAAATATTGCTAAGGGACCCATAAGATGATCATTTGCACCTTGTTTTAACTAACAGGTGATAAGGCACTTAGTTAGTACCCCTAGAAATGGACTGGAATTATTGAATCATACTTAATGTAAATCACAATCTTACTAGTTTTCCGAATAAAACTCTGTGCTTTTGATATAAAGATATACGCTATAATAAAATGTTTGATTAATTTATATGGTAGTATTCATCAGCCTTTAATTTTTTTTTTTTTTTAACCAATGATCTAGTTCTGGAAGTTTTTGTTGTTTTGGTTTGTTTTTTCTTGTTCTGGAACAAGCTCTTCTTTTTCCCTTCCTGTCAAATAGAGAAGAATATACACAGGACTAACATCCCCAATTTCATAGAAATTATACTTGAACCATTACTTTCCATTCCTCAATTTCACTTTTCCCCAGGATTTGCCTATATAAACATCCAAATTGTTTTGAATTTCATTTTGCCTTCTTTAAATTAGAGGTAATGACTATAGGCTTGAAGGAGAGAAATGATCAAAGTACTGAGGAAACGATTCTTGAAGAGCTTTTGAAAGCTATATATATCTTTTTTTACTTTCAATGGGAAATGTGTTCTATATTTTGAATGTGACTGGATTTATTTAGGAGGAGCCACTGACTGATGCCATAATTTGCACCTAAAGACTGTAATTTTTACATATTTAGCAGTACTTTAGTACTAAGAGCAGTAAATTGACATCCTTTTTATTTATCCTTAGTACTAAGAACTAACTCCTATTAAGAAAAATGTCCTCGTTTCTGTTTCTTAAGAAATAAGTATACTAAACAAAGGGATAATTCATATTTCAGGTTGGACAGTTTTCTCTGGACACAAACCGTGGAAAGTCCAAACAGATGAGTGAAACATTTTTGACATCAAAATATCCATCAGAGAGTCTTGTTTGGCTCAGCTGTTAGAGCCTCCGGTCCACAGAATGAAGGGTCAGGGGTTCAAAACCCAGTCAAGGGCATGTACCTGGGTTGGGGTGTGTGACCCTTCCATGCTCTCTAATGGAAAAATATCCTCAGGTGAGGATTAAAAAAAAAAAAAAAAGATTCTTGTTTCATTTAATAAAATTAATATTCTAATAAAGAAAATATTTTTAAAAATCAAATAGCTATCACTCCATTTATTCCCTGTTAACTTTCCTTCTGTCAGTGGTAGTAGAGATAATACTGATTTAGTTATTCTCCAAGAGAGACAGAGGGTAAAATTTTCATTCACTAGTAGGCTCTTTCAAATTTTGCCTAATAGCTTATGATCTATACCTTCTCTTAAGGAAAACTGGGTCGTCTTTCAGATTAGCATTCCTGTTACCCTTTTATTTTATTTTATTTTTATCCTCACCCGAGGATATTTTTTCTATTTATCTTCAGAGAGAGTGGGAGGGAGAGAGAAACATTGACATGAGAAAGACACATTGACTGGTTGCCTCCGGCATGACTCCGACCAGGGCTGGGGACTGAAGTGCAACCAAGGTATGTGCCCTTGGTCAGAATCAAACCCGAGACTCATTGGTCCTCGGGCCAACGCTCTAACTGCTTAGCCAAACAGGCTAGGGCCTGTTACCCTTTTAAAAGTGAATTAAGCCCTGGCCGGTTTTGCTCAGCGGTTAGAGCCTGTGGTCCAGAGAGAACCGGGTTCAATTCCCACTACAGGCACGTACCTCGGTTGCAGTTTGTCCCCAGCCCTGGTTGGTCATGCGGGTGGCAGCCAGTTGATGTGTTACTTTCACTTTGATGTTTCTCTCTCTCTCTCTCCCTCTCTCTCTTTCCCCCTCTTCCTCTCCCTCTCCCTCCTACTCTATCTGAACAAAAATTGGAAAAGTGTCCTCGGGTGAGGGGAAAAAATAAAGTGAATTAACATGCTGCCAAAAGAACATGACTCTAGTAAGTGAATTTTCTTAGAGAATAAAATATTGTTTACCAAGTGATCCTGAAATTAACCTTGGGGTATTTTCAGAGAAAAAAAGATGTCAATTTACTGTTCTCAAAGTCAGTCATGTATCTCAGTTCTTAACTTGATGCAAGACAGAAATATACTTGTCTGGGTTGCGGCCAGGCTTTTTTATTTTTCTTTTTTGGGGGGGGGGAAGGGACTTTTTATTTTATTTTTTTATCTTCACCCGAGGACATTTTTCCATTTTTTGTTCAGAGAGAATGGGAGGGGGGGCGGGAGAGAGAGAGAAACATCAATGTGAAAGGAACACATCTAGTGGTTGCCACCCGCACGACTAACCAGGGCCAGGGACAAACTGCAACCAAGGTACGTGCCCTTAGCGGGAACTGAACCCGGGTCTCTCTGGACCGCAGGCCGACACTCCAACTGCTGAGCCAAACCGGCCAGGGTGGGAAGGGACTTTTTAATTTCTATTTTGTCTCTAATTATACATGTTTTATTACATGCCTAAAATTCTGTGCATCCATTTCCCACCTATAATGGACATGTATGTATTGTTTCACAGGTCTAAGAAGCTGATTCACTTAGTATTTGCTTGCTTACCATGTAAGCTAATGGAGGAGATGAATAAAAGTTGATTATGAATTGCTTACCATCTGATATGTCACAACCATTCTTGTAAGCCTTAATCAGTTAGACTTGGAAGTTTGATCTTTTTTAAATAGGAAAATGATTAAAAAAAAAAAAAAAGTCCCACATCTTTCACTTGTTTATTTAAACAGCCTGATTCTTCATGCTATTTACTCTCCAAACACTTATTTGGAGTCCTTTGGTGCTATGACACATTGCCAGACTGATTTACACTGTGGTGAAATCCTTCCAAAGTTCAGTCTGGCATGACCCTTTAACTTTACTCAGTGATAGATAGATAGATAGATAGATAGATAGATAGATAGATAGATAGATAGATGATAGATAGATACACATACATATACATACATATACATACACACACATACACACGTACATACATGTATACATCACTGTGTATGTATACACACACACAACCTTTAGTGAGCTTTAAAAAAAAAAGGCATGTAGCATAAGGTATGAACACTACAAAAACACATTGGCTTTTCCCCAGACACTTGAAGTACAGCTAGACTTTATTTTGACTGTTTTAAAATTTTTTAACTGTTCTAAAATTTTTAAACTACTAAAATCACAATCTTGGATTGTAAAAGTTATTTCTGCAGTTTACTAGTGTTTGGGAATATTTTCTTTTGTCAATGAGAAGACGTAACTTACAAACATGTTTCAAAATACAAATTTATTCTTGCTATTGGTTGCAAATATTACAACAATTTAATCTGAAGTCTAATTACCATGATTTGTTATTAACATAGGTAAGTGTTGTCACAGACTGAGAGTATCCAAAATATTTTTCTTTGCTGGAATGCCATTGTGAGTAGCTGGGGGGAAAGTAGCTAGAGTTGTGGGCTAGAGTTTAGAAATGTACACCAGTGCTTAACCTATCTCAAATGGAGTGAGGAATAAAATTTCTGATGGTAGAATCTGCCAGTTTCCATTTCCCTCAACACCCTCTGCTTATGTAAGGTATCCAAAATAACTGGTACTCCAGAAAATAGGGTAATGGGTTTAAGTTCTGTTCTCATTAGCTTTTAACTAAGAAAGTAGCTTCTAGCCATGGCATTCAGCTCTAGACATATTTCCATGTGGCACATAAATCATAATGTCATTACAGTATTATTTTTTTTTTTAGCAGATTCGCCCCTCAGCAATGATAATCTCCATCAGACAGAAAACAAGTTATTTTTATTTGCTTTGACAAAGGAAAAGGCAGTAGTGCAGAAGTTTCCCAAAGTAATGGATGTATGTGCCAAACTTTGGGGTAAGTGTTTTGAGGGTGGAGAGGGAATGCTCACAGGGAAGAAGAATCTTATATTTCATAGCCATGTTCTTCTAACTCTTTTTTATTCCAAATTTAAGGGTGTCAAGAAGGCCAGTATATTGCACTACTATAGCATGAGATAAAGTATAACATGAAATTAAACCAGCCTGTTCACTGTTTTAAGACAATTAATAGAAACCAGTCACTAGTTCAGAAGCCAGTGAGTCATCAGGGCATGAGAATGGAAGATGGGATGGAGTGAGCCCTGTGGACTACCACAGACAAGTGATACCTACAGTTCTAAATGGAACTGTATTCTATACCTTAATACTAATGTATGCCTGATAACCTAGCAATAATTCATAAGTTTAGTAGTTTATAACATTTTTAGAAAGCACATAATATTAACATTCAAATAAGGTATTATAGAAAGTTTTATGAAGAATGGAATGTTTACTGTAATTGTTTTTAAAAGCCTTGGTCCATTTTGAAAGATCAAATTGAGTTTTTAAAAAGTCAAAAGAAAGGAAATTATTTTTTTCCCCTGCAAAATACATAAGAACCACTTATTGGCAGTTGCATTTTAAGTGCCTACAATAAAACGGAACAAATTTTCAACGGCAGTTAATAACACTTGTACAAGGATTTGTTTCATTTCGTTTGGCACCAAATTAAGAGTCAATATGCCATCGAAGATACAGTCAGGTTTCTCCACCTCTCTTATTGCTCCACTCTTTCAACCAGGCCACAGTACATAAGCATGCCCCAGTAAGGAATCAAATCATCTTCATTTTTAAATGGCTGCTCAGGTTACATTCGGCAGCAGAGTTCTTTACCCTTAAGTAGGGCAGCAGTGAATGCCAGCAGGTGTCAACTTCTTTGATTACAAATGTACTCCTTCAGCAGCAAACACCACTTGATTCCTGGTCCTGGCATGTAAATCCTTTCATGTTTACTATGATTGCTGTATGTGTCAAGGGAATTTCCCCAGGCAAACCTGATTTACTTCCTAATGACAAAGCATGCTTACTTTACCTAGTGCCTTAGTTTTGTTTTTTTTATTCTTTTATTTCTACTTGAATATGTTACTCATCAAGGCAGATCATACATTTTGATCAAAAAGAGAAAGAGGCAAGTAGATCCAAAAGCCACATCCCTTAACCTGAGTAACATCTGAAATCTTTTGCAAGATTTAGAATGTCAATTTCTAATATAAATCATATAGGAAAGTACTTTCCTATGTGTAAAATGATACATTTTTATAGCATGTGAAAATTCTGAGTAGCCTGAAGGTACATTTAACAACAAAATAAATACAACATATGGCTAGCTTATAAATTTCTTAGTGTAGAGGCAGCAGTGAATTTGCATCCTGCAAAGAATCTGTGAATCCAGTTGCTTTTTTTTCTGGAACTTTATAGATAGTGTACCACTACATCTGTACCACAGTGCTAGATTTGGCTTTTGGGCATCAATCTAAGCAAAAGCTTCTGATGAGACATTTTTCCCAAATGACATGCAATTTTTTATTTTTACTTTTCCAGAAAAATAAGGAAACTTTATCAATCTCTTACTCTGCTGAACAAAGGTTAGACTACTAACAGTTGCTCTTTTAATTACGCTCTAAATGATTTTCAAAAGTTCCGTTAGACATCTCTGATTTTTTTTGTATTGTGTTCCCATAGAACATAACTGAATAAAATATAATAGATTATTTCAAAAGACAGATCTTAGTATCTGACTCATTTGGCACCTCCTTAATTTCCAGAATTTGGTAGAAATGAAACTAATATAATTTTCAAAAAGTTCATACACATCTGAGTTTTAGGACAAGGACCTTCTAATGATGAGGAGCTTCTGCTCATGTTACTCCTTACACACGCTTTTCCTCATGGAGTAACTGACGATTTCTGGTTTATCTGTGGAACTTTGGTTTGTAGGAAGGCATATACATAGGGCCAGATCTTGTTGGTTTCAGTTCCGGAGAATGTTTCCAACACTCCTTTTTTCCTAAAGATGAGAAAATCAAAAACACAAGTTTCTTAGAAGATAATGTTGCTTTACTAGCAGTGGTTCTCAACCTTCCTAATGCTGCGACCCTTTAATACAATTCCTCATGTTGTATGTGGGCGTATCTGCATGTGGGCGGACCCTCCTAGAAACGGATAGAGGAGCGGTTCCTAAGACCATGGGAAATACATGTTTCCGATGGTCTCAGGCGACCCCTGTGAAAGGGTTGTTCGACCCCCAAAGGGATCGTGACCCACAGGTTGAGAACCACTGCTTTAGGGTCTCATTAAGTACAGGTCAGTGTGATAAGAGAAAGGCATCTGGCCGGGCACTGGAAAGCCTAGATTTTAGTTTCAGTTGTGTCCTCTGGCTTATGAAAAAGGTCATTTAAAAAAATGAAAGCACCTATCGTATTGAGCATGTAATGAGTGCTTTACACGAAATGGTTCATTTAATTCTTTCTAAAGGTCAAGCTCCTTATTTTACTGATAACTATGTTATAGATGTAAAGGAACAGCCCAAATCACCAAGGTTTTCAAACATGGGGCCTGCCAGACACCAGTACCCCCTCGGCTCTCTTTGTCTACTACCCATTTGCAAAACAGCTTCCTGACACTTGACTGTGCTTCCTTCCTTTCACGTAGGTTTATTTTCCCCTCTGTGCTACTCTCCTGAATTGTAGGGGAAGGGAATAAAAACACTGTTTTTATTGTGTTTCTCCATTTCTCCCCAGGCAGATTTGTCCGACTTAACGCCAGACCAGCAACCAAAGTCTACTTACTCCAGTTTTTTGGGCAGTAAAATAGTGAGGAGAATCAGAATCCTGGGGTTGCTTTTCAAAACACAGTTTCCCTCCATGGATACTGGTATTCCTCTTGCTTACCCTCCTCCAATCAACTCATATATACTGGCTGAGAGGCTGCGTAAGAGCAGCTGAGGAATTCTAGTTAATTCTCTCCAAAAACAGGATCTGTCATGCCTCTGCTACCTTTTTACTAAATTTTCAGAGGGTTTACTGGGGACAAAAGCATTCCTTTTTGATACCTTATAAAATTCACCAGTTAAGACTACCTTAAATAATTCCCACTGTACTCTAGGTAAGAAACATCTGCTATTAGGAGATATTATGCAAATACAGTATTCTTTGCATATTACAGGCCCCCTCCTGCTTCTAAATTCACAGGCATCTAGTAAAGCTTTCAAGAGAACAAGCTTCTTAACAGCAGTAAGCCTCTAGAAGGGCCACTTTAAAATCAAGCCAGTGTCACAACTGGGTTGATTACTGAAGGCACAGCTATAGACACCCATTCAATTCTAAAGATGCACCTCAGATGAGCATTTTAACTTTTAAGTAATAAAACCAACTTCAACTATTGGTCCTCTAAAGAGTAAGAGCATCATGTTGTTTGGAAACACATGTCTAATTTCGCTATAAATGTCCACCGCTGAAAAAGTTTTTTTTTTTATTTTTTTATCCTCACCCGAGGACATTTTTCCATTTTTTACTCAGATAGAGCAGGAAGGAGAGAGAGGAAGAGAGAGAAACATCGATATGAAAGGGACACATCGAGTGGCCGCCACCCACACGACCCAACCAGGGCCGGGGACAAACTGCAGCCAAGGTACATGCCCTTAGCGGGAACCGAACCCGGGTCTCTGTGGACCGCAGGCTGACGCTCTAACCGCTGAGCCAAACCAGCCAGGGCACCGCTGAAAAAGTTTTAAAAACAGCAATATAGCCCAGCCAGTGTTGCTCAGTGGATGGAGCGTCATCCCAGGTACTGAGAGGTCCAGGTTCGAATTCTGGTCAGGGCACATGCCCGGGTTTCGGGGTCAATCCCCAGTATGTGGTGTGCAGGAGTCAGCTGATGGATGTTTCTCTCTGACATTGATGTTTCTCTCTTTCTCTCCCAAAAAAAAAAAAAAAAATCCATAAAAGAACAATCCTGACTATTACTAAGGTTGTTGAAAATACCACTTTAAATTTTTGGTTAAGTCCAGCCCTCGTTCTTTCCATGTGCTGGAGTTTGGAAGGAAAAGCTTCAAACAATGACAAGAGGTAGCAAAAGCCAGAGGCCTAGAAAGACTAAAGTGTCTCCTAAGATAGGGACCAGGGTCCTAACCTTCATATTTGCAGCCTTCCCCAACTTCCATTCCCACATTTTGACAGAAGTAATCCCTACTTCCACTGCATTTAGTGATTACGTCTATTAATAGCCTTACCATGTTATCAGCCCAACAACAGTGCACTCTCCCTTCTTCTGGTTACTTTTAAGTGAATAACAAACTGCTTTTGGGAAACAGCCTTTTCACCATGAGATTCCGGTGGGACTGTCCCCACTTTCCAGCTTCCAGAATGGATGTGGTGAGCTAATCAGTGCCAACTCCAGGACTTCTGCTGGCAAAGAGGTTCTCTTTCCTGCTGGGGTAGCTAAACTGGCAGAAGGCAAGTGAGATAAGCTGGAGTGTTAAGGGACACAGGGGGAGCCCTCCTGAGATTGAAGCCACATAGGAAAATGGAACTGAGAGTGATGAGGCCTGATGACACTGACAGAACACCTGGACCCAGCATCCAGCTTTGGACATGTTGGTTATATGACCAATGAATTTCCCTTTTGCTTACACCGGTGTGAATTAGGTTCCTGATTGGTATAAGCACATTTTATGATATTGTTTACCCAGCTCTCTGGCTCACCCATAGGTAGAAGGCGAGTTTCTTGGGAATTGGCAGAGACTGGGTCTACGTATCTTGTGGACCAAGTACAGTGTCAACAGGATAAGTAATAGCTAACACTGAGTGATTTAATAGTGTCGAGGCTTCTGTAAGTCTTTACATGGATCCTCTCACTTAATTCCCTTAATGACCCTATAAAGTAGGTACTATTTAATATTGCTCTGATTTTACAACTGAAAAATTTGTGGCACAGAGGTTGAGTCCTTGCCCAGGGCTATAGTGCTGGCAATCATTACACAAATTACACAAATCACAAAATTATAGTAACAGCTCCTGTAGAACATGAATCGCCGCCAACTCCCTTTTAATTTTACCCTCCAGAAAATAACTATTAAAACAGTGTGCAGACTATTGCTTTAGTTTCACTGCACACTTTCCTTATTGCAACAATAATAGCTGATAGTATGAAGTGCTTACTATGTGTCAGAAACAATTCTAAGAGTTATGCATATTAACTCAATCTTTCAACCCTCTACGCTAACCCCAATTTTACAGAGGAGAAAACAGGTTAAGGCCAAGTTAATAAATGGTGAGCTGGGATTTGAACTCAGTCTGGCTCCAGACTGAGGATGACCTGAGGATTAGCTGCCATTTGAGAGTCTCTGTCCTACAGGCACAGGTAGTGGGTGTTATTAGGTTTGCCTCCCCCGCATTCTTTCTAGTGTAATCACTCCCATCCCAGTGACTGGTTCAGGAATGGGCAGTAACCTTGGCCTATAACAGTTAGTGCATATTAACTGTTAGGGTATTCTCTGACCATAGTGGCTGTTCCAGTAGGTTCAGTCTGCATGATCTGCATGATACTCGGGGCTTTTGTTCACTGTAGGAGAGGGGACCCCTCAGCCCTTCATGAAAGGGCTGTTCCTGGCAACTGTAAAAGCCAATACAAAGTTGAGAGAATGGCAAAACTCTGATCAAACTGAGGGGTAACTGAAGCCCAACAGACCACCTGGACTTCTCTATTACATGTACTAATACATTTCCTTTATTGTCTAAATCAATTTGAATTGGATCTTTTGATGTTTTAGCATTTCAGTCATAAAGCACTGACAATCAAAAATTGCCTCCCCCTTTGCCAGGAGCATCTGCATGTGATGCTTTTATCTTGTTTCCCCCTGTTGATATTTATTATGTAATATTCTACACACCGTAGAACTTAATTTGTCAGATTCAATATAAGCCCAAATTTTGTTACCTGTCTTTTAATATGCTTATTTTGTCAAATCAAATAAAGATCAATGGATGTTTTCTATAAATCAAAAAAAAAAAAAAATTTGCCTTAGTGCTTCATCATGCCAGAGAAGTTCTGAAAAGCAACATACTCACTGGTAGTATTCCAAGACTGGCTCTGTTTGAGCTTCGTAAGCCTTCAGTCTCTTGATAACGGTCTCTGGTTTATCATCCTCTCGCTGAATAAGAGGCTCTCCAGTTAGATCATCAATGCCCTAAATGGGAGTAAGAACAGGTTGGTATCAAACATCTTATTTTCATAAGCAGTTATATGATTTTTAAACAGATATCTTCTCTATGCAAACAAATGTGCTTTTAAATAAACAGAATCAAATCCAAACCCAGATCACTGCAACACAGAGCCATGAGACCCCAGGATCATTTCCATGGTCAGTCACCTTCTCCTTAGAGTAAGGGTTGTCTAAGCAGCCTCTAAATAATTTCATGTTGTGGACAAAGAAGGAGTCTTACAGAAAGTAACCTCACAAGGTGACCTGATCATATATTCCTAACTGGGCAGGTAATAGTGGGTAGTCTCTCCCCAGACATATAACTTCGTTAGTAAAATATTTATCTTTGCCTTAAACAAGCCCTACCCATTGTTTCTGTGCATCTACGTAACACACCTTTGAAATGCTTTTTTTAGACCCTTCATAAGTCACCCTCAAGAGAATATATAATCTTATATATAGTGATGGAAGATGATTTGACTTTGAGTGGTGAGCACACAGTACAATATATAGATCTTATAACATAGAAAATCACATCTAAAACCTATATGATCATATTAACCACAGTCACCCCAATAAATTTAATTTTTAAAAAATAAAGAGAATACATAATCTTGTTAACTATCTTGTAATCTAATCCTTGCCTTGCCTTCTCCTACCTTCATGTAATCTTCCTTAGTTCCCTCCTTAATTCTAAATGCATAAAAGCAGCTACAGCCTGGCCTGTGTGGCTTAGTGGTTGAGCATGGGTCAATACCCATGCACCAATAGGCTGCCAGTTCGATTCCCACTCAGGGCACATGCCCAGGCTGTGGGCCAAATCCCCAGTGGGGGGTATGCAGGAGGCGGCCAATTGTTCTCTTTCATCTATATTTCTATCTCTCTCCCTCTCCCTTCCTCTCTCTCTAAAATCAATAAAGAAAAAAAATTTGGAAAAAAAAACAAGTTTGGGTCAGGCAGGATTTCCAAGGTCATAAAACTTCTGTCTGTGAGAGCCAGAGGACTCGAAGGCTATGTACAAGGCCAGGTCCACCACAACTACTCACCACAGTTTTGGGAGGGTTGAATTCGATGTTGTAGACTCGGCCACTGGCTGGATGAATCCAGCGAGCTGTGAGGCGTTGCTTAATGACCTCAAAGGGCACTTTCAGATTAATCACAGTGTCGATCTGATAAGCTCTATCCAGGGCTTCTGCCTGAGGAAGAGTCCTTGGAAAGCCTTTACCAAACAAACAACAACAACACCAAAAAAAAAAAGGGAGAAAGAGAAAAGAAGGAAGAGAATCAGTTAATGTTGAGCAATCTGAACAGGAGCAGTGACACCAGCCAAGCAGATTACAGCTGTAGGGCAACTGTGATAGTTAATTTCATGTGTCAACTTGACTAGGCCACAAGGTGCCCAGATATTTGGTCAAACACTATTTTGGGTGTGTCTGTGAGGGTGTTTTTAGATGAGATAACATTTAACTCAGCAGACTGAGTAAAGCAGATTTTCTCCCGAATGTGGGTGGACCTCATCTAATTCACTGAAAGTCTGAATAGAACAGAAGGGCTGACCCTCCCCCCACATGAGGGGGAACTATCCTGCCTGACAGCCTTGGAGCTAGGAAGTAGGCTTTTCCTGCCTTCAGACTCAAACTGAAACAGCTCTTCCTGGGTCTTGAGCCTGCTGGCCTTCAGACTGGAGTATACCATCAGCTGTCCTGGATCCTCAGCTTACCAACTCACCCTGAAGATCCTGGGACTAGTCAGCCTCCATGATCATGTGAGCTCATTGCTACATGCCTTTCTCTCCAGAAACTAAAATCAACCCATTCCGCCAAACCTCTGCTTGTTTAGAGCTGACTGTAAATTACCCTCCAGCCTTCCTTCTTCCTGATGTGGTAATTCCTCCTCACTATAAAATATTCTGAAAGGAGTGGAAGGAACTAAAGTCACACCTGAAGGGACCTTAGGAATCACGCAGTCCATATCCCTCCCTCCATGTGGATGAAAAAGCTGGCCCAGAGAAAACCTCAGGGTGAGCAGTGGCAGAACTCAGGCTCTCTGCCCACCATCCATGATGTCTCTGTAGCCCTTGAAATGCCCATACTCAGTTTGGGTGGCTGAAATGCCAGTGACACTTTACTTACCATCCAGCAGCCAGTTATATTGGGTGAGGTTTTTCAGCTCATGGAAGGCCAGCCGAGTCATGACATCATCTGGGATGAGCTTCCCTTGTTCAATGAAAGTCTTAGCTAACACACCGATTTCTACAGCAGAATGGGGGGGAGGAACAAATCAGCAACTTATATTTGTTTTATCCCATTCCAGGCCCCTAGGAAATGGTTGTCTAAAGACCTGGATAGCACACTCATATGCAAATGCACATCATCAACTTTGTGGTAAGAACAGGTTACCAAATAACCTATGCCTATTTCAAATTCTCCACTGTGTAAAAATATATAAATATGTAGACAGAAAAAACAATGGGAAGCTATAGACTGATATGTTAACAGTAGCCATCTCTGTGATAGAATTGTGATTTTTTTTTACATATTTGCACTTTTTTGTGTTTTCTGAATTTTTCATCAGAAAAAGTATATAGAATTAAATTAGTTTTTTTTTAGGGATTTGAAATAATCATTATTTTTAAGTGGGTCAGTTTAAGTGCAGTATAGACTTTTTTAATCCTCTAAAATAGATGCTGCTGTCACAACTCAATTTTTGACCAGATTAGTGCTGTGATATTACATTTTTATTAGTAAAACACCACAGAAAATAATGTATGAACAATTTTAAAATATCACCCACAGCTATGTCATTCTTATGCAACAGTATTTTAATTTCCTCGTCATCTTTTCCCAAACTATTTATATACTTTCAGAAATCTAATACCATTGCGATGTGTGTAATATAGTTTTGTGTTCTTTTCTCACTTAGCATTATTTTTTAAATAGTTTCCAGTAATTTTATATAGTCTTTTTTTTTTTTTTAATCCTCACCCAAGGATATTTTTCCATATATCTTCAGATAGAGTGGGAGGGAGATAGGGAGAGGGAGAGAGAGAGAGAGAGAGAGAGAAATACTGATGCAAGAGAGACACATCGATTGGATGCCTCCTGCACAACCCCAACCAGGACTGGGGACAGAACCACAACTGAGGTATGTGCCCTTGACCAGAATCAAACCCAATATTCTTTGGTCCGCAGGCCAGCACTCTAACTGCTGAGCTAAACTGGCCAGGGCTATATAGTCATTTTTGGTAACTATATTGTATTCCATCAACATATATCCAAATTTTATATATGAAAATACACTCTATCACAACAATACTGTTGGACATTTAAACAAGTTAGTCTTGGTTTTTCTCTACTGATACTTTTAAAAGATTCTAAACCCTTTTTTTTAATTTTTTTTTTTTTTTTTTTTTTTATTCTTCTATTTCCTTTTATTTTTCTTCTGAATTATTTCTGATGGATAAATTCCCAGGAGTCAGATAAAGGGTCAAAGTATATAACTATTTTCATAATTCTTGGTATGAATTACCAAACTGACTTCAGAGCAGATTCTAAATTGTCAAATTCATGAACTTCAGATTTTAACTAAGCACACTGACTGCCTGCCTGGGTTTGCCAACCACATCTGGAAGAAGCCTGGGTTCAGAGAGAAATCTCTCAGAACTCACTAAAATAACCTGTTGGAAAGGTCCACATACATAATATGTGTGACCTTCTCTGTCCCCAGGCTTTTGACCATTGCTCTGGGAAAGTGGAGCTCAACTTCATCAACAGTGTTTGGGAAAAAATGTAAAAACTTGAAATCCTCCAGGGCTGAGACCCTAAAACTGGTGTTGGTCCCTCCCCTCACCTCTCATTCTTTAGACCAAGTCCTTTTCTAAACCCTCAACTACACACAATAAATGATTGAGATGATGAGACTAACTTAACAAGTACTTAATTTCCTCAGTATAAGAACAGCCTTAAGCCCTGGCCGGTTTGGCTCAGCGGTTAGAGCGTCGGCCTGCGGTACAGAGAGACCTGGGTTCGGTTCCCGCTAAGGGCATGTGCCTCGGTTGCAGTTTGTTCCCAGCCCTGGTTGGTTGTGCGGGTGGCAGCCACTCGATGTGTCCCTTCACATCGATGTTTCTCTCTCTCTCTCTTCCTCTCTCTCCCTCCCACTCTATCTGAACAAAAAATGGAAAAATGTCCTCGGGTGAGGATAAAAAAAAAAAGAACAGCCTTAAGAGATGATCTACCTGGGCCGTGTGGCTCAATGGATTGAGCATTGTCCCATGGACTGAGAGGTCCTGGCTCGATCCCCAGTAGGGGGCGTGCAGGAGGCAGCCGATCATGTTTCTCTCTCTCTCTCTCTTCCTCTCTCTTTAAAATAATCAATAAAAACATATTTAAAAAATAAAAAGAAAAGATGGTCTGCTCTTGCCACTTTTATTCAACAGTGTACCAGGGCAATTAGTCCAGAAAAAGAAACAAAAGGCAGCCATAAAGAAAGAAATAAAACTCTATTTGCAGATCACATTATTATAGAAAATCCTAAGGAATCCACTAAAAATGATTAGAACTAATAAATGAGTTCAGCAAAGTCGCAGGGTACAAGATCAATATACAGAAGTCTAGCAATGAATATCTGAAAATAAAATTTTAAAAACAATTCCATTTATAATTGCATGAAAAAGAATAAAAAACTTAGCAATACACTTTTATAAAAAGTGTGAAGCTGCTAATCTGAAAACTACACTGTTGTTGTTGTTGTTAATCCTCACTGGAGGATATTTTTTCCCACTGATTTTTAGAGAGAGTCGAAGAGAGGGGGGAGGGAAGAAGAGAGAGAGAAACATCGATGTGCAGGCTCCAACTGGGGCAGGGATCAAACCTGCAACCGAGATAAGTGCCCTTGACCAGGAATTGAACCCTTGACATTTTGGTCCTCGGGCGATGCTCTAATTGCTGAGCCAAACTGGCCAGGGCAAAGTGGCTCAGCTTTTTAATTTAATAAGTCATCATGTTCATGAAATTAAAGTTGTGTTGTACTAATACACTTTGAAATGAAATGTTTATTGGTTTTCAAATTTGAATTTTACTTTGAGATAATATTTTGTCTACCTAAAATTATCTTTTGAACCTCAAACTGGGAAATGCTGCATGGAAAGCATAATTTAATTGGCACATAGGAGACTTGGGTGTTCACCTTTGTCCCCAGTAACTGCTGTTTTTTACCGAGCAAGTTCTTTAACCTCTCCTGAACTCAGTTCCCTCATCTTTAAAGAAGAGAGATGGCTCAGCCAGCATGGCTCAGTAGTTGAGTGTTGACCGATGTACCAAGAGGTCACCTGGTCAGGGCACATGCCCACATGTAGGCCCAATCCCCAGTGGGGGGCATGCAGGAGGCAGCCAATCGATGTTCTCTCTCATGGATGTTTCTCTCTCTCTCTCCCTCTCCCTTCCTCTCTCTCTAAAATCAAGAAAGAAAAAAAATTTTTAAGGAGAGGAGACGGCTGGACTAATGTCTAAGGGTCAAACTCCAGTTTTCTGACTCCAGGGTACAGTGGAGCTCTAAGCTACTCCAGGTTTGCTCTTGTCAACAGGTTGCTTCATGTTTCCAGTGTTTTAATCACATCTGCTGGAATGATTTTAAACTTTACCTATAAAATACAGCCATGGGTTATAAAATACCCTCATGAAATGGTGTTCGGAGAGTAAATTGGCACCATCTTTCTGTAGCACTATTTGATGGTATGATATTTATAGAAATTCCACACTAGGGAATTTATTTGAAGAAAATAAGCAGAGATGCTGTCAAATGTTTATGTACAAGGATAGTCATAATAGTATTTATTATGGCAAAGAATGGTTAACGGCATAAATGTCCGATAATAGGTAAATTAACAACTGTGCAATCATGATGAAACTAAATATTTTAAAGATTGTTTAATAATGTGTGAACATACTCACAATAAGTGAGAAAAAGGTATCTAGCCAATAATTTAAAATATAACAAAATTGCATACACATAAATGCAACAGAGAAGAATATAAGAAAAATCAGCAAAGTGTTCACTACAATTGTCTCTAGGTAGTGAAATTCCAAAGGACTTTAATTTTCTTTTTTTATAGTCTCATGACATGTTTTTCTTCCTTTATAATAAATAACTTTACTCTTAGTATCAAAAAACACTAATCAGTTTGTTTTTTTAAATCCTCACCGGAGGATACTTTTCCATTTATCTTCAGATAGAGTGAGAGGGGGAGAGTGAGAGAGACATTGACTGGTTGCCTCTTGCACGACCCCGACCAGGGCTGGGACCGAACCAAAACCAAGGTATGGTGCCCTTGACTGGAATCAAACCTGTGACTCTTTGGTCCATAAGGCAACGCTCTAACCACCCAGCCAGGGCTAAGCAGTATTTTTTTAATTTAAAAAATGTAAGAAGAGTTTATTATTTGGAGAGAGAGGAAGGGACAGGGAAAGAAACATCTTTGTGAGAGTGCAAAATCAGTCAGCTGCCTCCTGCATGCCCCAAGGAACTGAACCTGCAACCTCCTGGTACATAGGATGATGCCCAACCAATTTAGCCATACTGGCCAGGGCTAAGAAGTATTTTTTTAGAATAAGTGGTATCTCTCTTTTGGCTCTGATCCTGTAGAATATCTAATCCATTCACAAATATATATATATATTTTTATCCTCACTCGAGGACATTTTTCCATTTTTTGTTCAGGTCGAATGGGAGGGAGAGAGAGGAACAGAGAGAGAGAGAGAAACATCAACGTGAAAGGGACACATTGAGTGGCTGCCACCCGCACGACCAACCAGGGCCGGGGACAAACTGCAACTGAGGTATGTGCCCTTAGCAGGAACCGAACCCGGGACTCTCTGAACCACAGGCCGACGCTCTAACCGCTGAGCCAAACCGGCCAGGGCTCACAAATATTTTTTGAGAATATATTCTTAGTGCTGAGATACAAAACATCTGTAATAACAATCTCATGACACCTCCCTAAACTCTATTTTCTGTTTTCCTTGTTAAAGAATTGCCTGTAAAGACTCCAGAAAAAACAGATGCCTGAGGTAAGGTGAACATCTTTTCCCATGATCCTCTCCTCCCTCCCTGTAGCCTCTCTTTTCATGTTGTGTAGCCTGAAAGAAGATAGCAAGCATGTCAGGAATGTTAAAGATAAACCGAATCGAACCTAGGACTCTTTGGTCCTTGTTGTGAGAATTGCTTCTGAATTTTTTAAAAAGTTTACTTATTCGCTTTAAATTATTATTTTTTAAAACATTTTGTGCTTTCACAAAATAACATGTCCTTAACTCTGCTGAAGGTGTTCTCTAACCACACAGCATGCATCACTGCTGACTTGTTTTTCAGAGTTGCTTAAGGATTCTCTACTTCTTTCCAAATGAGTGCAGTACTGGAGACTGTTTACTGTTACCTAACTACTTCAATCTGTTGCATTAAGAATATTTAGCAAGTGAGCCAAACAATTTAATTTTTTTTTATCCACACCCGAGGACATTTTTGCATTTCAGATAGAGCAGGAGGGAGAGAGGGAGGAAGAGAGAGTGAAACATCAATGCGAGAAAGACACATCGACTGGTTGCCACCCACACAACCCCTACCTGGACGGGGACAAACTGCAACCGAGGTATGTGCCCTTAGCGGGAACCAAACCCAAGTCTCTCTGGACGGCAGGACGAAGCTCTAACCACTGAGCAACGGGCCAGGCCAATTTAATCTTTTAAAAAAGTAGAATTAACTGCAAAATACTTTGATTTTATTAAAAAAAAAAAAAAGCCCTGGCCGGTTTGGCTCAGTGGTCGGAGCATTGGCCTGTGGACCAAAGAGTCCCAGGTTCGGTTCCCGCTAGGGGCATGTACCAAAAAAAAAAAAAAAAAAGGTCATTAGTTGTAGAAGAGAAAAATAAAAGTAGTAATTCACCAAAATAGGTGCTGAGCAGAACTCCAAGACATAAACTAAAACACTGGGGTGATTCTTTTCATTTAAAGTCAGTATTTTGAAACAAAGAAACAAAAAACTCCACCTAGAAGTAACCAAATACTCATCAATAGGGGACATGTTAAATAAATTCTAATAGATTCAGCAAATAGAAACATTCAAAGAATGAAAGGAATTTATGTATTTTCATGTGGAAAGATATCCCAGATACAGTGAAAACACACTGGTGCAGAATACATACATAGCATGTTTACATTTTACATAAAATAAGGTATATACATATATGTGCTTGTACAAGAATTTCTAAAAGGAAACACATGACACTGTTCCCCACTGAAGAATGGGGCTGAGGCAGGTCATGAGAGAGGGCTTTGTTTCTGTTTTAAGTATTTTCATTCTGTTTCCACTCCTTCTATAATTTTTAAAAATGAGTTCTATTTTGGAAAATAAAGGTCAGCACTTTTGAGGGGGAAAAAAACACAACTTCACCTTGATGTTCACTTTTGGAAAACAGCTTTCTTAAGATATAGTTTACATAAAATCAACCCATTGTCAAGGGTACAGTTTGTTGACTGGATTTTGTACTGAGTTATACAAATTTATTTGGCATGAGAACAAAACAACTATTCAGATAACCATGCACAAGAATAGCCTTTGTGTCTAGGAAATCTCTGGAGGTACTGAAGATCTATGCCAACTGTGTGACTTGCAACAAGGGTAAATAGCCCAGCCTTCAGTTTATGGGGTAAATGTCAGAATCAGAAAATCCCATAGGGTCAATCAGAAAAGGGAAGGAAGGAAGGAAGGAAGGAAGGAAGGAAGGAAGGAAGGAAGGAAGGAAGGAAGGAAGGAAGGAAGGAGGGAGGGAGGGAGGGAGGGAGGGAGGGAGGGAGGGAGGGAGGGAGGGAGGAAGGAGAAAGGAGAAAGGAGAAAGGAGAAAGGAGAAAGGAGAGAAAGAAAAAGAAAGCAAACAATTCTTTAGGCGCAAGAGCACGTGGAGAATAAACCACAGATCGATGGACTCTCTTCTTCTTTTTTTTTTTTTGGTACGTGCCCTTAGCGGACGAACCGGGACTCTCTGGTCCGCAGGCCCACGCTCCAACCGCCGAACGAAACCGGCCAGGGCAGTTCCACGGACTCTTAAGAGCAGCTGCTACAGGGGCTGGACGAGCCTCTCTAAGCAGGCGGTTTCCTTTCATCCTTGAACTTTGAACTTGTGCTAACTTCCTCGGTCCTTCCCCCAGTACCCGCCCGAGGCTGTCCAGGGGGTCAGAGTCTCGGTGAGCAGTCCGTCGCTCGGCCGCGGGAAGCAGACGCTGCGCCCCAATCCCGGGACCCTCACCGGTCCGGGAAGCGCATCCCCCGCTCCGGCGCTCCGCCCCCAAATCCCAATCCGGGACGGCGCACCGCACCCCTCCAGCCTGGCTCCCACCTGTGCCCCGCAGCATGTTGTCTCGGAGCAGATCCCCGCTGGAGAGGTGCTTCAGCTCGAAGTGTTTGGTTATGCGCGACGACACGGTGCCCTTGCCCGAGCCCGGCGCCCCCAAGATCACCGCACGCAGCAGCCGCGTGGACGCCCCCATGGCGGCAGTGAGGCCGGCTGCGTGGGCAGTGGGCTTCGGCCTGGCTGCGCTCCCGGCTCCCGCCCGGGGCCCACGGGCTGACAGCTCTGCGAGGCGGCGGCGGCGGCGGCGGCCGCGGCGCCCCGGCGCTCCCGGAAGTGAGGCGACGGCCGGGCTGCCCCTCCCTCGCCCGCCCGCCCGCCCGGCTACCGCGCCCGCCCCTCGGACACCGGGGCCTCTTCCCGAGAGGCCGGCGGGCCGGCGGCCAAGCCGCCCCCCTGGGCCACTCCTGCGACCCCGGGGGCGCCGGACGCCCCCCTGCGCCCCACGCGCCTCCTCCCCACCCGCCCGCTTCCGTCTGTCTCGTCAGCCGCCCCCGCACCCTCTTTGCTGTCCTTCGACGCCCACACTCTCTCCACCTCGGCGGCCCCGGGTTGCCCCCCACCTTCCTCAGACCACCCTCGCGCCCTGTCCTGCCCGGTAGATGGCGCCCTGGGCAGCTCCGCCCCACCTCCCTCTCCCTGCCGCCCCCTGCGCTGGGCGGTTACTGGGCGCCCTTTCCCCAGCGCACCCCCATCGACGCGCCACTCGCCTCTAGTCCCTGGCAGGTGCCACCCGCCCAGGCCCCGCTGGACAGACCGCACCCCTCTGTGCCTCTCCCAGCTTCGGTGGCTCCCTGCCCCCCCTCTGCTCTTTACAGTCGCCAGACTCCCTGCCGCCCCCCGTGCCCCACCGGCTGCGCTTCCTCTGCCTCGCCCCCTCCCCTGCGGAGCGACCCGAAAGGACCTGCGCCTCCTCTCTAGCCTCCGCTCGTTTTTAAGGTCAGTTTTCCTGTGTAGAATCCCAGGAGGTGAGCATGAACGGAAAGGGCCTTCCTCCTCATTTCACAGGGAGGAAACCCAGTTGCAATGGAGTGAGGCGCCCTAAGGCACACATCTACGGAGTCACCCGTCTACCTCCACAGAAGTCACACTTTCACACCTTCAGATTCAGAGTCGCTGTTACCTTTACTCGACGACGTAGCCTGAAAGTTCTGGCTGCCCCTCGGGCTCTCTTATTTGCCTTGCATTGATTCCATAAATACTTGTTCGGTGGTTATGGTGTGCCAGATAGTGTTCTAGGGGCCTCGAAAATGCTGTGGGGAACAAGATAACATTTCTACTCCTTGGAGTTTCAAGTCTAGTGGTGAAGGCAGATTACAACAAGGAAAGGAATAAATGAGGAAGATAATAGGAGTTAGTGCTGTGAACAAAATGAGTGTGTGGAAGTGTGCAGGGAGGCTGCTTTAGATCCATCCCAGGCTTTGAAGAAAGGCATTTGCTCTGAGTACTGAATTAGGAGACGCAAAAGCAGCAACACAGGTAAGGGGGAAAGGCCCTAAAATTGAAGGATTGGCATGTCCAGTACCTATTTCCTCTGTAAAAAGGCCATGGAAGCCCGGGCAGTGTGGCTCAATGGTTGAACATGGACCCACGCACCAAGAGGTTACCGGTTCGAATCCTGGTCAGTGCACATGCCCAGGTTGTGGGCCCCATCCCCAGTGGGGGGCGTGCAGGAGGTGGCCAGTCCATGTTCTCTCATCGATGTTTCTATCTCTCTCTCTCTCTTCTTCTCTCTAAAATTCAATAAAGAAAATAAAACTTTTTAAGGCCATGGAAGATTATTAGTATGGAGTTGTTAAAATAACGTGTATAAAATATAATGCCAGGTACAGGGTAAGTGCTCAATAAAGGTTATTCATTATTATTATTATTATTTATTTGTGCCAGGACACAATGCGAAGGCAGAAAACACAGTGCCATCTTCCTCGGGTTGCCAAAGGAGTAGCCCCAAAATGCTTTCGGTTCAAAGACAGAAATTATTCCAGATGGTAACCGAGAGACTGCTCGCTGGTGAACCTGAGCTGGGTGAATGGATTTAATAGGCCGACAGTGCAGTACTTAAAAAGAAATTTAATAGCTCGTGCATAATTCATTACTAAGAATGAAAATAAATGAATTAAACATTCAGTTCACATAATTTAGAAAAAGAACATCAAAATAACCCAAGGAAAGCAAAGAAAGGGATTAAGTAAAGAAAAAGCATAAATGAAAGGGTTAGAAAACTTAAGAAACAGAATTAACAAAAGAATAACAAGGTGTGAACAAGTACACATATTGAAACACTGGAAAACCTAAAGGTACAGGGAAAGTACTTCTAATCCCCAAAGCTGGAAACATTTGTGATTTTAGCTACAAAAGAGACCTGAAAGAAAGAAATTTGGCTTAGAAAAGAATGTTGAGCTCTGGCCGGTTTTGCTCAGTGGTTAGAGCACTGGCCTGAGAACCTCGGGTTCGATTCCAGTCAAGGGCACATACCTGGGTTGCAGGTTTGAACCTGTTGGGGTTGTGTGGGAGGCAGCCAATCGATGTGACTCTCTCACATCAATGTTTCTCTCTCCCTCTCTGTCTCCCTCCCTCCCACTCTGTCTAAAGAGCAGTGGAGAAATATCCTCAGGTGGGGATTAGCAACAACAACAAAAAAGAATGTAGAAACCAACAAAAATAGCTGAGGAATCATCCTGTCACTGGGGAAAAAAAAATCTGAGTGTTGTGGTCACATCAACAGGCCCCACAAAATGCCAACTAACTGCAGCTTGGCTAAAGTTTTTTTTTTTTTTTTTTTATGACAAATGAGTTAGTTACTGCCAAACTGTGGGAAATCTCCTGGCAACTCTGCCTAGCCCAGTCATTTCACCACATAGAGGTATTTGTATGGGTGGGTTCTTCACTAATTAATTTGTTCCAATGGTAAAGACACTGAATTCAAATGAATACATTAGAAAGTGTGAGTCAGGAAGGGATTTAAGAAGTGCCTGTATGTTGGGACTTGTCCTCAAAGAATCATGAAGAAGCCAGGATCTGAGGAAGCCTGAGATAGAAGACCATGTGGAGAGAGGCCCAGCTGTCCAAATCATTCCAGCCATTCCAGCTGAGCTGCCAGTTGTGGCCACATGAGTGAACCCAAGGGTCGGTGGGTTAGAGAGTAGAGAAAGAATTTTTCCTGAGCTACTAGAAGAACAGAATTGTCATTAACTGAGATTGGGACGACTACAGGAAAAACAGGCTTGGGGAAGAATATTAAAATTGTTTTGGAGTAAGTTAAATTGGAGATCCCTTTGGGACATCCAGAGGGAGTTGATAAGGAAGAAGTTAGATATACAAAAAAAATTTTAATGAGACTTAAATTTTTTTCTTTCTTGATTTTAGAGAGAGAGGAAGGGAGAAGAAGAGAGAGATAGAAACATCGATGAAAGAGAACATCAATTGGCTGCCTACAGCATGCCCCACACTGAGGTTTGGCCCACAACCTGGGCATGTGCCATGACTGGGAATTGAACTGGCAACCTCTTGGTGCATGGGTTGACGCTCAACCACTGAGCCATACCAGCCGGGCTAGATATACAAATTTTGAGTAACATAGTAGAGGTCCGGGCTGGACATACAAAAATTGGGAGTTGTTAGTATATTTAAATTTATGAGATTGTATAAACTCACTTAAGGAGTGAGTTTAGATGAAAGGAGAAGAGGTCTGAAATCTGATTTTTGGGGTTCTCCAACATTTATTTATTTTATTTTTTGTTATTCCTCCCCCAAGGATACTTTTCCATTGATTTTTAGATAGAATGGAAGAGAAGGAGGGAGGGAGAGAGAAAAACATTGATGCAAGAGAGACACATCAATTGGTTGCCTCCCAGTCCAGGGCTGGGGATTGAACCTGCAACTCAAGTACATGCCCATGACCAGAAATCAAACCCAAGGCCCTTCGATTCACAAGCCAACACTCTAACTGCTGACCCAAAATGGCCAGGGCTGGCGTTCTCCAACATTTAGAGGATAAGGAAGAAACACTGATGGAAACTGACAGGTAAAGGTGGTGTCATGGAAATCAGTTGAAGAATATGTTTTAGGGGAGTGATTAAATTAGTCAAATTCAGCTGATAGGTAGGACTGAGACCTGACTGACAATTATTTCTAACTATAAAAATAAAAGCAAGACACGCACACACACCCCACAAAAACCTATGAAATAGATTATTTTTCTTTTATAATGTATAGATGAAAAAAATCTGAGGATACTTCTGACCAAAATCCCATAGGTATTTGGCAATTAAATTAGTGATTTCTTTCTTCTTTTTTTTTTTATCCTCACCCAAGGACATTTTTTGCATTTATCTTCAGACAGAGAGGGAGGGAGAGAAAGAAACATCGATGTGAGAGAGACACACTGAATGGTTGCCACCCACGCAACCCCAGCCTGGGCCGGGGACAAACCACAACCGAGGTACGTGCCCTTAGTGGGAACTGAACCCGGGTCTCTCTGGTCCATGGGCCAATGCTTTAACCGCTCTAACACCAGGGCTAAATTAGAGATTTCAAAAAATGCTAGATGAGATATAGGAAATGCTTTTTCTGAGAGAAATCTTCCAGGAGGAGGATTCAGTTTGTCCAGAATAAGGCTATTAGGGGAAAAAGAAAGAGAAGGTCTAGACCAAAGTAGGGGAACAGAACAGAGGAGGCTGAAGTCAGAAAATACAAGGTCATCTTTTTTTCTTCCTTTTTTTCGTTAATTTATTTTTGTTATAGATGTTCTTTTCCCCCCACTGATTCCCTCCTCCCCCTCCCTCCCCGCCCTATCCCCAGGTTTGTTGTCCATTGTTCATGCATATATGCATGTAAGTTCTGTGGTTTATCTCTCCCCCACCATCCCCTCTTCTAGGTATTGTCAGTCTGTACCCCACTTCCACGTCTTGGGGACTACCCCGTTCCTCAGACTGTTATGTTCATTATATTCCACAAATAAGTGAGATCATATGATATTTGTCTTTCTCTGCTTGGCTTGTTCCGCTTAGGATAATATTTTCCAGGTCCCTCCATGTCGTCTCAAAGGATAAGAGAGCTTTCTTTCTTACAGCTGCATAGTACTCCATTGCGTATATGTACCACAGCTTTTTTATCCATTCGTCTACTGATGTGCATTTGGGATGTTTTCAGATCTTAGCTATTGTAAATAGTGCTGCTACGAACATGGGGATACATATATTCTTTCTGATTGGTGTTTCAGGCTTCTTAGGGTATATTCCTAGAAGTGGGGCTTTGCAAAAAACAGAAGAGGGAGACTTAGAGCTAAGACAATTTTATTACAATATTCATTTAAAAGGATAAGTAAACCAAAATGTGTGGGAAAGCCCTGAAAGAGAAGAAAATGAGCAGAGGCTAGCCCTAGCAGTTAATAAGACATTATAAAGCCAGTATAATAATAAGATGGTATTGGCACGTGAATACATAGATCAATTAAACAGAATAGAAAATCCAAACATAGCTAATCGCATCTGGAAATTTAGCATGTGATAAAGGTGGCATCTGAAATCAATGGAGGAAAAGACCTTCTGTGTAAATAGTGTGGGAGTAAAAGTATAGCTAGTGGAAAAAGATACAATCATATCTGTTTCTCCAGACAAGATGAATTACAAATGGATTAAATATTTAAAATTTTTAAAAACTAAATAAATACTAGAAGAAAGTATGAGCAGTTTGCTCTGTAACCAAGGATCTGGGGAAACTTTTCTAATAATCCAGAGGCAATAAAGGAAAAGACTGAAATTTGGATTATACAAAACAGCAACAACAAAATATTTGCATAGCAACATACATTATAAGCAATATAAAAAGACAAATTACAAACTGGGAAGAAAATATTTCAAGCTTAGCCCGGTTGGTGTGGCTCAGTGGTTGAGCACCGACCCACACACCAAGGGGTTGCCGGTTTGATTACTGGTCAG